CGGTGCGGGATCAAGGCGCAACAGCGCCTATTACAGCTCTCCGCGGCAGTGAAGGTTAGCGAGTAACATATCGTGAGGGCCTCAAGGGCAGATCGTGGAATATTACCAAAAGCTCTATGCAGCGGTGGATCCCAAGCCGGAGCACGAGGCATCGACAACCAGGATTTTAGAGGGCATCTAATCGAACTTTCGGAGCTGGTACTCTGCCGAAGAACTCCACGCACTTTGCGCTCCGCTCACTGCCCAAGAACTGCACACGGCTATCAAAGTGATGGCGTCGGGCAAGGGTTCAGGCCCAGACGGGGTTGTTGTTGAATTTTACAAGCACTTATGGGATCTGATCGGAAAAGAGTTCACCAAGATGGTTGCCACTGCAATCACCAATCAGAAACTCCCGTCTGACATGAATTCGGGGTTCATCGTGCTCCTTCCTAAAGACGGTGATCTCGAGATGTTCAAGAACTGGCGATCCATCACATTATTAAATATTGCATATAAGGTACTGGCCAAGACTTTGCAGATCAGACTGCAAAAATTCCTCACCGAAGTAATACACGATAGTCAATCCGTGTTTCTCCTGCATAAATACATATTGGATTTAGTGATGGTCATGCACGAAACGGTGGATTGGTCGAAGGCATCAGAGCAGCCCTTAGCCATGCTTAAACTAGACTTTTCTAAGGCTTATGACTCAGTGAACTGGGAGTTTCTCTTCCAAGTCATGAGTCGCATGGGACTGCTAGTTAGCTTTACTTGCATGGTGAAGATGCTTTTGACAGATGCGAAGGCAGCGGTGTCTATCAACAAGAAGTTTTGCAATCTGTCGTGAAGTTCGTTAGGGTGCCCCTTGGCACCATATTTGTACATCAGAGTGGCAGAGGCATTGTCAACAGCGGCACGATAAGAAGTCTGGCAAGACATCTTGAATGGCATTCGGCTGTCAGACCCCAATGTCCAACAAATTTTGGCGTAGTACGCAGGCGACGCCACCTTCTCGCTGTATGGAGCCCGGCGGTACCTTATAGCTGGCTTTGATCTTCTCAACGACTTCAGCAATGCCTCAGGTTTGATCATCAATCGTGAAAAGTGTGCAATCTTCTGGTACAGTAGACTTGACCCTCCTCAATGGTTGAACTCCTCCGGATGCATGGTGGCTTCTCCACAATAACTTCATAAGCTACTAGGGACTTTGTTTGGAGTAGACTTAGCGGTGCCAAACGTTGATGAATTTTTGCAGGGCAAAATTATGAAGAAGCTGAAGTACTGGTCTTCATTACATCTTTCCTTAGCAGCTAGGGCATTGATAGTCAACTCAGTGCTACTCTCTACATTGTGGTACTTTTTGAGCATTTGGGGAGGCTCGAGGAAGATTTTACGAGCCATTCGCGCCGCACTCCGTAACTTTCTATGGAAGGGTACAGAAGAGCGCGCCAGATCGCGTGTACGCTAAAATGATTGTTGCGCAAGCAACGAAGTCGAGAGATTAGACATTGTCGATCCAGATGATGCCCTCATTGCTCTTATGGGGAAATGGATTGTGAAGGCAATGGAGCCGGGTAACTCCTCCCTACATGTGCTCCTTCGTAACCGTCTAATACAGGTCCGGCCACCTGGAAATCGAGCCTGGTCACCGAGCCTTCATTGGACGCTACTGGCCAAGTTTTCTGCACCTAAAGGATCGAGAATGTGGAACCGTCTCGTGCAGGCATGAAGTTCCCTGAGCTCGCAGGTGGATGCAATTCCCCCGTGGAACGTTGAAGAGGTTGGTAACACCAATCTCTGGTGGACGACACATTTTCTCGGAGCGACGTTTGGATTCACAAAGGCGCGTGCGTGTCAATTGGCAGTAGCCGGCCTCCAGTTTCTGAAGGATCCGTGGCTCTAGTAGTGAATTCAACTCCACATTGTTCACAAAATCGTATATTTTCTTTTTCTTTTCAATAAATTGATGTTTTTCACATGCACAAATTACACTTTTAATAGTTTCAAAAATTTTCACGCAAAATAAACCATCTTTTCCTGGTTTTTTTTTTATACTATAATGTATAAGGTTTTGTTGCTTCACCATCAATTTCATCATTTGGTTACTCTCTTTCGGACCAATTATGTATTTGTTGAGATGACGCTAATTCAACTGGAAGATGTTGATGTTTTTTTATATGTCATACCATAAACATTCCAAATTAGCTTTTATTTTTAATTTTCTTTTAATTTTAATTGGAAATTTTTTTCACATATAATAACATGATGAATCTCACCTGTTTAAACCTGATGAATGTCCCTGTTTCAATTGAGTTAATGCTACAATCAGTTTAACCTGCAATCGTGATTTAATTTTTGCAATCTTGTAGCTTGTCCTACACGGAAATATGTTTGGCTGCGTTAGTATTGCTACCTTGTACGAGAGCCAAGGTCGTACGGCATGTTACCGTACAATACTTACTAATACACCCATTGTTAAAGTAGTGCCCTAGTTAGGCTTCCCGTCATGAGGTGAATTTAACTCGCAAGATTGCAACACTTACTCAAGTCGTTGCCTCCACAATGGGGTTTATTTATATTCTGCCCACCGTAAAGGAGCAGGAAAAGGACAGTAGGCGGTCACGCCTTATAAGATAAGGAGACGAGATTTAATTTATTATAAATTAAAAAATTAGATTTAGTTTGTTATAAATTAAAAAATTAGATTTAGTTTGTTATAAATTAAAAAATTAGATTTAATTTATTATAAATTAAAAAATTAGATTTAATTTATTATAAATTAAAAAATTAGATTTAATTTATTATAAATTAAAAAATTAGATTTAATTTGTTTTAAAACCAAAAATTTCCACCAATCAAGATTTTAAATTTTTTTCCTTTTAAAATCAAACGAAAATACTTTAAATTTAACAATGAATTTTTATACCATTTTTTTAAAGAAAAAGAGTTATGTAAAAAATATCAAATTTTGTATTTAAAAAGTAGAAGTTTTTTTAAAATAATTTTATTCTATTTTTCAATAAAATTTTGTTTTTGAATTTGTAGAAAATCAAAATTTTGTTGTTCAACAATATTTTTATTAATTAATATATATACAAAAAAGTTAAGTTTTAAAAAACTAAAATACTAAGTAAAATTATAATTATTTTGAATTTTATAAATCGCGAAGAAATAATGAAGTAAGAATTTGAAAACCCAACAAAGTACTAAAATTCGTTTATTGGAAAATACCGCAATTAACAATCTAATTAAACTCCATTTTGTGTATTGATTACCTAAAATTTGAATTTTTTGTATTTCATCTAAATCTAAATTTTTATATAAAGATTTTTTTTGGTAATTTTTGTTTCAATTTTTTACAATAGTTACATAAGACTTTACTAATAAATATATTTTGTTATAAAAAATAAAAATACAATATATTTAAAATTTTATTTCACATTTTCTTTCTTACAATTTTTACAAAATAGAAAAAAAAACAGACTACTTTATGTCATCTTCATTATAATGACATAAACAAACTCTTACGTCAACTAAAAAAAAATATAAAAATTGTAATTGGGCCAACGACGGGAATCGAACCCGCGCGTAGAAGATCCACAACCCACTGCCATAATCCACTTGGCTACGTCCGCCCTTTTTTTTTCTGTTTCTGTTAAAAAAAACAAAATGACCTTTAAGATTTCAAGTCTCAAAGGCCATTATTTTCTAGTTTTTTCCTTCTAAAAAATTTTTAGTTTTTCAATTTCTGACTAAAATAAAAAATATTATTTATTATTTTTGTAACCTTTTATAGGATATTAACCGTTTGCAGCAGGAGCTTCAACAGCAGCTAAGTCTAGAGGGAAGTTGTGAGCGTTACGTTCATGCATAACTTCCAAAGCAAGGTTAGCACTGTTGATAATATCAGCCGTAGTGTTAATTACACGACCTTGACTATCAACAAAAGATTGGTTAAAGTTAAAACCATTTAAGTTGAAAGCCATAGTGCTGATACCTAAAGCAGTAAACCAAATACCTACAACTGGCCAAGCAGCCAAGAAGAAATGTAAAGAACGAGAGTTGTTAAAGCTAGCGTATTGAAAAATTAATCTACCAAAGTAACCGTGATCAGCTACAATGTTGTAAGTCTCTTCTTCTTGACCAAACTTGTAACCTGCGTTAGCAGACTCATTCTCAGTACTTTCACGGATTAAACTTGAAGTTACCAAAGAACCATGCATAGCGCTGAATAGAGAACCGCCGAATACACCAGCTACACCCAACATGTGGAATGGGTGCATAAGGATGTTGTGTTCAGCTTGGAATACAATCATGAAATTGAAAGTACCAGAGATACCTAAAGGCATACCGTCTGAGAAATTTCCTTGACCAATAGGGTAGATCAAGAAAACAGCAGTGGCAGCAGCAACTGGAGCTGAATATGCAACAGCAATCCAAGGACGCATACCTAAACGGTAGCTAAGTTCCCATTCACGACCCATGTGGCAAGCTACACCAAGTAAGAAATGAAGAACGATAAGTTCCGAAGGACCACCGTTGTACAACCATTCATCAACAGAAGCAGCTTCCCGAATAGGGTAGAAGTGTAAACCGACAGCTGCAGAGGTAGGAATAATAGCACCAGAAATGATGTTATTTCCGTAAAGAAGAGAACCAGATACAGGTTCACGGATGCCGTCAATATCTACAGGAGGAGCTGCAATAAAAGCAATAATGAATACTGAAGTTGCTGTTAATAAAGTAGGAATCATCAATTCACCAAACCATCCAATGTATACACGGTTTTCAGTGCTAGTAACCAGTCCGAAAGTCAAAAGGCTCGCGGGTGCCTGTTATTTATGGTGTGCAGCGGCAACCGCTGCTTATTTTTCTGCTTATTGTCGGCGAGCCAAAAGTGACGATTTCTCGTCACTTTTGGCTCGCCGACAATAAGCAACAACCGCGACGATTTCACCGGCGCTTTTGACGAGCTACGCCGACGCCGACGATAACGTGTCGATGGGAGTAGCGTAGTTATAGCAAGTTTGCATGAAAGATTGAGATAAGAATAGCAAAAGTTTTTTTGGGAGCATCTCATCCGTGACATTGAGCGTGGGCGCATCGATCTCGACACGAACATGCCATTGTTGCACCATTTCTGTAAGAAGTTGGACTCGTGTCGATGTAGAAATCTTTTTAAACTGATCTCGAATTGATTCTAACGAGACCTGTATGATAATTTCTCTCTTTCCAGATTTTCGAAAATGCCGATGCCGCTTTTTCATAGGTGACTCCGGGCTGATTCAGAAAATCCAAAACTTCTAGCTTCGTCTTCACGTCCAAACGCTTGCGTTTAGACATGTGTGAATAATAACGGGTGCAGATTAAGAGAGAAAAAACTCCCACCGAACAGGGACAGATTGCGTCGCGAGAGAAACAAACGGCCACCTAATGAATAACAACTGTGACAGATTGCACCGAGAGAGAAAGAAGCGTCCAACGAGCGCACTGTGACAAATTGCAGCGAGAGAGAAAGAGGAGCTCACCGAACGCAAATAACGCGGGACAGGATTGCATATCCTCTTGTGAGTTACACCTCCGAATAGTGACATAAAACCCTAGATCGGTTATGTGTCGCTATTGGGAGGTTTAACTCTGTATAGGGCTTCGGGGGATTGCTCCCTGGTATTGTGCTTTCATCGAGCATGGGCTCCCCTCCGAACGCAGCGTGCGCTGCCTGCAAGTTCCAGCGTCGGAAATGCGCTGTGGACTGCTTGCTGGCGCCGTGGTTCCCTCCGGACCAGCCCAGGCGTTTTGCCAACGCGCACAGACTCTTCGGAGTAGCGAACATATTGAGGCTTATACGAGAGAATCGGAGCTCCGTCGAGGATCTGATGAAGAGTGTCTGCTTCGAGTCTGACACTCGGGAACGAGATCCTGTCAATGGAGCGTACGGGACATTACGACTTCTTCAGCGAGAGGCCGAGAGACTGGAGGAGGACAGAACGGCTTTGTCCGAGAGGCTAAGGATACTGTTGCTGGAGGATGCTGCTGCCAACAATGTCAACAACGCACCGCATACCCATACTGCCTACAACGCGGTGCCTCCAGAGTATTACGCACATGCACGGCCTACTCAGGTCGCCTTTACAGAGGCAACGCCAGCGCTGCAAGACAACGATGTTTATCATATGCAGCACCACCACCACCAGCATCAACAACAGCAGCATCAGCATCATCAGCATCATCAGCAGCAACAGCAGCCGCATCAACAACAGCAACAACTGCATTATATGCAGATGCCCCAGCATCAGATGCCTTCTCTAGAGTATTTTGTTAATTTCAACGCCAGTGGTGGCTTTACTCCGGTGCAAGCAACGGACGCGTCGACCTCTCATCCACTTATGCAGCTTACGGATAGAAGTGCAGAAGTGCCTCTTCATCGGGCCTCTTCTTCGTACACTGGAACAGCAGCGAGAGACTTTCTCTCCCTCACAAACAACTCCAACTCTCGCTTTTATTGACTTTTGTCGTAATTGCAGATAATGTAATTGTACATAATCGTTACTCCTCCACATGCTGTGTCTTCCCAGGAATTTTGTTTAGATATCTCCTCCACGGCAATAGATCTTTCCAGACGCACATGCTGTGTCTTCCCAGGAATTTTGTTTAGATAGCTCCTCCACGGCAATAGATCTATCCAGAGGCACATGCTGTGTCTTCCCGGGAATTTTGTTTAGATAGCTCCTTCACGGCAATAGATCTTCCCAGACGCACATACTGTGTCTTCCCAGGAATTTTGTTTAGATAGCTCCTTCACGGCAATAGATCTTCCCAGACGCACATACTGTGTCTTCCCAGGAATTTTGTTTAGATAGCTCCTTCACGGCAATAGATCTTCCCAGACGCACATACTGTGTCTTCCCAGGAATTTTGTTTAGATAGCTCCTCCACGGCAATAGATCTATCCAGAGGCACATGCTGTGTCTTCCCAGGAATTTTGTTTAGATAGCTCAGGTACATAGTCAGATACATAATCGTTGCTCCTCCACAGCTATAGATATATCCAGACGCTCGCGCATGCAGTGTATTCCAAGGATTTTACATATAATGACAATCTAATAAAAAAACGTGGCTGATTCAATCGCCCGACACAAGCTGCCCTGTATTACCGTGAGTATCAGAGCCTCGTTTCTATCTGTCACCTCGTGTTGTTGTGTACGATTGCAGATTCCTGGGCTGTGAGATCTGAATTTCGAAGACTTCAGCTCATTTGTGTAAGAATTATTTCCGAGTTATATGTCGCACGCTAAAATCATGAGATGTCGTATTCATCCTCTAAACTCAGAAGATGCCGTGCGATGGATGAATTAGGAATAAGAGTAGGAGGAATTATGCACGCTGACAATTGTATGAGAGTAATATAACATGCAATTACTTTCACGAAATCTTGCACACATCTTTTTTAACCACACTTCACCTAAGTTAATTGTTTGTCCGTGTCAATATAAGCGTAAAAACATGCGGCAATTTCATTTATAATTGAAAAGTTTCCTTCATAACGAATGATAAAAGAGGAGGTGACACAAAGTAGATAACAGCCAAGTGCGCGATCTTTAATCGCAGCAGACAGCAGATAGCAAGTTAGAGTTACATAATACTAATAAACAAGGAGTCTCACTTTCGATGCCAACAGACACAGTTGCTAGCTCCAGCTGCTGTGTATTATTCAATATAATCCAAGGGTAGATTCCCACATATAGACATGATGAACTAGTAGTAGTGGACAGATTGCAGGGCCACTCTCCCCCTCCAAAACTTGCATTCTTGCACAGTTTCTCAACCTAGAATGTTCTCAACGGTGGATTGAATTGACTAGATGCAGTATGCATAAGAAGACATAGGAGCAACACACATTTCAAACTCAAGACTACGCCAAGTTTCCTTATCAAACAAATCTCCAGTATACAGGAGTCTAAAAGCCGAAATTGTCCCAATGAACGAAATTGCAAAAGGCTATTAATGCTCGGCATCCCTGCTGTAGAAAGCATCCAGGGTCTTTCCAGGAATACGTCGAAGAAGCTCCCTCGGGAAGATGCGAAGGAGAGTCCACGCTAGGTCTAACGATTGATAAATGTCACGAGTATCGTATGCCCCTTGTGACACAAACTTTTGCTCGAACTTCTCCAAAAACTCGAGGTATAGCTAGTGTCAAACAACCACCAACGCACAGCCCAGTGAGATGACATCCGATGTGATTAAAAACAAAAAGCACGACAACACTCTAGTACATTTGATAACAACGGAGGCGTGGCCTGGCTAAATATAAGCAATGAGATGTAGAAAACAGGAACGTCGCATCAATCTTTCTACAACCTATAGATAGTACCCGTAACATTGAAAAGAGAACTCAATATCAAATATTACTTCGTAAAACAAAAGGCACACCAAGGTGAAAATGAAAAAGCAAGTACGTACCAAATCTTCCGAAGACAAAGCTTCCTCTCCCACGACAGCCTTCATGGACTGCACGTCCTTACCAATGGCATAATTGGCATACAGCTGTAGATAAAAGCGACACAGTCAGCGCTGCTCTCAAGTTCACAATACAACTGAAGTGGCAACCAATTGATTATCGTATTATTCTTTGAGTACACTACTCTGAAAGTACAAACCTGATTTGATACATCGGAGTGATCTTTTCGGGTCATTCCTTCTCCGATGGCACTCTGCGTTCAGAAATTAGGTTGAAGGTTACAGTTACATCAGCATAGATAAGCCTTATGATAAAATCTGACAGGAAACTCAAATATTATACAGTACCATGAGAGAATCCAACAAATATTAGAACCAAATTGAAAAGCATTCTACAATCAAATTACCTTCATGAGTCGTGATAGAGAAGGAAGCACATTGATTGGGGGATAGAAACTCAAATATTATACAGTACCATGAGAGAATCCAACAAATATTAGAACCAAATTGAAAAGCATTCTACAATCAAATTACCTTCATGAGTCGTGATAGAGAAGGAAGCACATTGATTGGGGGATAGATCTGCAATTAGAGATTCATATGTCAGTCAACATCTACGTCTTCATCAGGGAAAACGTCATCATAATCGATCTACCGACGATACGTAGGATACTGAACTAACTGTAAGTTCACACCCACCTGTCTGTTTTGAAGGTTACGATCGATGTAGATTTGTCCCTCTGTGATGTATCCAGTCAGATCAGGGATAGGATGGGTAATGTCTGCAGAACACGTTTTCAGAGTCGTCATTGCCTGTCGATATAAACCGCCCTTTCAACGACAATCGCATGTATTCATAACATGAGAAATATTGTCGTTGTCTCCAGAATTATCAACAACTGACTGTCGACGTTTCAAAGCTATGGGTAGTATCAAAGTACTAACGTAAACATCAGAAAGTAGGCATAATGCACACTAACGCCATAACAGTTTGAAGGTCTTCATACCATCGTTGGGCATAGTCAGGATGGGAATTTGAGTGATGGATCCCTTTCGTCCTTCAATACGCCCAGCTCTTTCGTAAATTGTAGCCAAATCAGTGTACATGTATCCGGGGTATCCACGTCGCCCAGGCACTTCTTCACGGGCAGCAGAAACCTGGAAGATCCACAATGAGAATAAGAAGAAGAAAGACTTCTCCAGCGTAGCAAAGACAGCGCAGATAAACTTGACAAATGTCAGAACTGCATCTTCAACCAAAGTAGGACGAACAAATGATACCTACGTTTACACTATACTTATCACTTTACCTCTCGCAAAGCATCTGCATAAGAACTCATGTCGGTGAGAATGACCAAGACGTGCTTTCCACATTCGTAAGCATAATATTCAGCTGTGGTAAGGGCGATTCGAGGGGTAATAATACGCTCAATCGTGGGATCATTGGCCTGCAGAAAAAATTTATAGGAAAGGTCACTTTGCTGCAGCTCCAGCCAAATATATACTTCCAATCCACTCTGTTGTATGTCCTATCAAGCTTCGAACCAGCTATGCGGTGAATTTACGAAGACAAAATAATAAGTCTACCAGTAGCAGAATAAGAGAAAACAACCTCGGGTGCAAGCAAGATAAATTACCAAGTTTAAGAACAGCGTCACCCTCTCCATGGACCCATTCTCTTCGAAATCACGCTTGAAAAATTGTGCAGTCTCCATGTTGACTCCCATAGCGGCGAAAACGATAGCAAAGTTGTTATCCTCTCCTTCATCCTAATGTAGCACCGAATGAATGGTGTTAAATTAGCTTTCACACGACCTTATTAAGAAAACCCTTCATTAAGTATGAAGAAAGCAATTGAATGACGTTAGAGGAAGAACGTATATACCTCCAACAAGTCTTTCTGTTTCTCCAATCTCTTCACCAAACCTGCTTGCCTGCAGATTTGAGCAGCGATTTCATTGTGGGGCAGACCTGCTGCTGAGAAGAGCGGGATTTTCTGTCCACGAGCAATGGAGTTCATCACATCAATGGTAGAGATTCCTGTTTGAATCATTTCTTCGGGGTAGGTTCTCTCACTGGGGTTAATAGAAGCACCTGACCACATAAAGAAAAGATAAGGTCAATTGCAAATGGAAAACGAGGTTTTCACATCATGATCATCCCAGTGCTAGCATTGACACCCACAACATCTCATCGTTCCTAGCTCTCATTGCCATGTCGACCGGTAAGTACCTAACGCTTGTGCGGCAACACAGATGGCAGTAATAAAAAAGGTAAGGAAACCCCATGTTCTCATACAACGTTGTCGAGTGATGCTGAATCACAATGTCCTCAATAGCTTCTGAGACAACTAGTTGAGAAAACTACGAACCTTGAATATCCAGGAAAGCTTCTGCCAGAATTGGGGGGCCGTTATCAATAGGTCTTCCTGATCCATTGAAAATACGACCCAGCATGTCCAAGGATACAGGAGTTTTCAAGACCTGTAATCATATGAGTGAGTTCAGTGTGAAGTCTTGCTATGAAGACAATCCATATAGTAAGCTAAAATGAGTACCGTGAACGTATCTATACCGAACATTTTGTACGATATTCCTTTGATTATCAGTATAACTACAATGTCAAGCATCCATAGCTATAGCAACAAGGAAATAATACCATGTCAATCAGGAGATAAAACTGTCGAAATGGCAGAGACGCTAGAGAAGCTAGATATATCAGGCCTTCTGGCCAGTTACAGTGTTACGAAAAAATCTGTGCTGGAGAATATTGGAAGCCGCATCTACCTCTCCTGTGAACTCAATGGTCGTATGCTTGTTATCAATACCAGCTGTTCCTTCGAAAACCTGCAATTAAGTCGCAAGTTACAGAGGCCAACTCGGTCAAGTAAAACTAACATTTTGCTTCAGCAAGAAGGTGGTTGGTAGTTACAAACGTTGTTGTTATCCAGGTTGATAAAAATTGAAAACACCCCATGTACCTGACTAAGACGCCAAAAGGAAATTGAACAACTTGCACTGAAAAACTGAAAATTACATTTCACCGCACACATGAAGAGCAATAGAAAGAACTTTTGGAAAAAGAAAAAAGACGAGCATGAGAATACCTGAACGACGGCCCTTTCTCCGTCAACTTCCAAAACTTGTCCTCTACGGATGGTTCCATCTCCCAATCTCAGGTTCACAATCTCATTGAATCTCGGGCCCTGTGTAACGCAGGTCAACGGATGTAAATAAAGGGTATATCTAGCCGGCCACGCTCACTGCTAAGATCTGGAACAAGAAAAAGCCATGAAGTTTTGACTTGACAACATGTATACCTTCACTTTATCGAGAATGACCAAAGGTCCTGCCACTCCAGTCACTGTCCTGTACTCTGTTCAAAATAAAAACAGAAATCTCAGTTATCTCCGTGACAGACTACCCAACAACAGCTCGTACTTCGACTTGGCGTACAATCCACAGCGCGTAATTAAGAGTAGGAATGCGGAAGCCCATAGTATGCCGGATCCATTTACAGGTACTAGTATGGTGGTCACTCAGCATGCATTTCTCCTTCTGGCTTTCCACTTGAATTTCGGTGGGAATGACCAGGAATGAACAATTCCCATACATCTGTTCTCGGGCCCTCATCCATACATCCCCCACGTGTCCTAATCGAATTAGCCCTCTCAAACGTCCACTTCCGTTGGAGTCCTGGGCGAGTAGAAGTCGCAAGTCCGTCGATTAACTAGAGGAGGTGAGTATTGCAGTGACAATCTAAAAGATCACAACTTCTTCCCATCTGATGTTACCACAAACTCCACTAACCGCCCTAATCCACAGGAGTGTTACTGGATCGCGTCTGTGCGAAAATCGGGGCATTGTCTGCGGTCGCGATTAGACTCCTCGAAAACAGCTTCCACGCACGCTTTCCAAATTCCAACTCAGAAATCTAAGTCACGATAATACCCCAAAAGATGATTTTTCCATCCAGCCGCGAAATGGACGACTTACACAAAACACCCGCTCCCGACGTCATTCACAGCGGCTAGATCTACGGTGCCTAGCTCTCGTTCTCATTCTACCGAGATGTTCGAGCTCGAGATGATGAGCTAGAGCTGAAACTCCGATGTATCAAGGGCTCAATGACAGAGGCTGCTCTGAGACACCAAAGCAGGAAGCGGATCATAGAACGAAGAAGCTTCTCCATCTCTAATAGGAACACGGCCCATCATAAGCAACGGCCCAGGCCAGAAATCAGACAGAGAGAAGCTGAGCTGACAGATCTGAGAAAAATGCATCGTCGTGACCGGGAAACCCGATCAGAGAGGCTAATGTGCCACGACCACATCCGGGTTAACCACAAAGGGAGTCAAATCTGTACAAAGAATCACAAGCAGCGACAGCGAGAAAAGATCGAATCGCATTCAAAATCCATACCGAGCAAGGGCTGGCAATCGTATTCCTTCGTGTTTCCATCAGTGGTCACCATGTTGGACGACAGGTACTCTAGTGGCCTGTGCTCGCCGAGATCTGGCGGAGGACGAGTGCAAACAAAGAAAGAGAAAGACCTCCCGACACAGGACAGGAGGCACTCGCTGCTGATTCAATGTCTGAGACCACCGATGTATTAAAACATGAGGAAGATGGGCGATCTGGACAGAGTCGGCCAGAGATCGAAGCGAGGCCCCGAACAGCAGCGGAACGCAGGAGACGATGAAGGGCCAAATGCTTCAAAGAAAACCGGAAGCTCATCCGGAGGAGCCCTGCCGGTTCTCCGGTGGGCCAAGGCGCCGATCCCACCGGAATCTGGCGGTGTGCCGGTCATTTCACCACGTGGCGCACGTGGATCGATCGCGGTGAGCCATGAGACCTTGGAAGTCATGATCGCTCACTCCTGCCACAGCAATCATTCCCGTGTTACCACCATTCACGCGCAGTAAAACGTTCGGATTTACCCGTCTTCCTTCGCTGCATCTTTGAACATCGTCCATCCGATTCCCCTCTCGACGGTACAGATGTCATCCGCAACAACCTGTGTTGCCCCCGACGTTTCGACCCCTGACGTGGCCAGTTACAACTGGATAGTGTACAGATCACGATTGTCCTGTTCGCCATGAATCTTAGAAGCACATTCGTTACAAGAACCGTATCGAGGGGTCCGAGCCAGCTTCGTACTGTGAGTTTTCTTATAACCAGACTTCTCCCTTCTGCCTCCAGCTCGAACTCGCGCTATTGTGACCATTCAGTTCGATTGCAGAACTTGGGCTGTAGCTTAGACTCCGTCCTCAGGACAAGAATGTGGGGTCCAGGAGGACTCTCGAGAAAATTTTTTGTTATTTTTTAAATAAGGACTAATTAGATGAGAATAGTCGTTTGGACCCAAAAATATCGGGAAGTGGCACAAAAATGAAAAGGCCTAGTATTCTCCTCAAATGCTCCGAAGGCTCTCACAACCAGCTTTTTGAAGGGCACTTTCTGACTATCTGAGCAGTTCTGATAAGCCAGCTGTAACTTGCTCTCGCGACTCCGAGACCCAAAGGAGTTCCACGCTATGGACCATGGTTTGTGAGCTTTTGGCTTCTTTCCTAGTCCTTCACTTCCAAGTTGAGCGCAGACCAATGATAATCAATACGTCTACACTTGACTATGATGAATTAACGTGATTTAACATTATCTTCCTTCTACATATTGGAGATTATGTAAAGAATACAGATCCCATACAGGTCATAGTTGAAAATAAGAAATTTTTATAAGAAATGTATTGGGCTCACCATAAGCTGGATATTGGCTGAAGACTTTATCCAAGAAATAAATCTGGAAAACATGGAAATATGGACATGGTCTGGCACTCTTGGACTACAAGATTACCCATCTTGCTGGACCTACAAAATGTGGCACATAGGATACTTGACTCCTCGTGAAAAAGCTCAACTTTTACATGAACATTAGCCTCTTGCTCTCAGGGCATAAAGAAACAAGTGAATTTTCTTATGTATGGCTTAAAGTAACTTGATAATATAACCTGTGAAATGAACGCTTCACAGACGGTGAGTAATGTAGAGACCTGACCTATATGGCATCCTGAATTAGTAATGCAGCATGTCTTCATGAGTAATGCAGCATTACTCGTGAAGACAATATGAAGCAAATTCGCGACTATTAGCTTCGTAAGAATCGATCGAAAAGACCGAAATATTTTAAAGTCAGAATCAAGTTTGATGGCAATACATCAACTCGAGGGTTCCTGCGTGGCGCTGACATGTAAGCAAATGAAAGTGTGGGAGGTACAGGGACTGAGGACTGTCGTCTTCTCAGGCACTACAAAGTTTTGAGAAACTGGAGAGAGGAGCAGATCCTGAGTGGCAACGTTGGTCCTTCTTGTGACTCAAGCGTCGCCATCTCGCTGGTGAAAGTTCCTCATAGGCGAATAACCCGGCCTGGTCCCACATTCTTCGTTGAAGATGCTGCTCACGTCATTGCCACTGCACAATGCAAACTCAACTGTTCCCTGATTACGACTTTCCTCCCCCTTCGGTACTCGATCTCGGTGATTTCCCATCGTACTGTCGACTGAGTTCCTTTACGGAGGCTTCGAATGCCCTGACCGATGTAACTGGTGCACTCTGCGCTGACAGTCGAGTTTGCTTTCAACTTTCTAATACTATGGTACGTCGTAACCTCACAGTAGGTGCGAGAGGCCGAACTATTTAGCGGAGTAGTGCTTTTGCCTTCTGCTCAACTGACCTCGGCCTAACCCCTGGAACGATTTGTGTTCATAAGTAGATAATATATGTGTACAAGTAAAGTTGAAACTTCCTTCCATCCAGATTTTCACTTCAACCATGAAACATTTCGGATCAGATGGGAAAACTTTCTTATGACCACTCTCATCATTTCACATATAATTACTGAATCTACTACAGAAATTGTTCAGAACGTTGAGGCCACCGCGTGAATGCATCATGCTGGAGCTGGAATCTCACTGCTCTTGGACGATTGTTCCATGACACATTTTGCACTTCTTAGAGGAGCTGAACCGTCGTCATGTGGGCATACTATCATTACCGACTTTTATCATTAAAACTCAATAGAGAACTGATTTTGGAACTCTGTAAAGATCTGGTTATTGGACTCTTACTGATGTTCGCATGACAACATAGAATATATAAAAACACAGCATCAGAGAGATTACATATCTTGTAGGTGTCTCACGACGGACGAATGGTAAGAGGGTCAAATACAGTCAAATATATTCCTCATCTCAATGAATGAGCTTAATCAATCTACAATTTCTTGGAAGGACAAAGTTCAAATTTTTAATCTAAGAAATATCAGCTCCCTTATATTTAATCAATGTCAGATCTCCACGGTTGTCAGTCCAGACAACTCAACAAAAAATTGCAAAATCTTGAGAGAAAGAGTGCTCAAAACAGAACTAGCCTTAGAGCTAAAGGTAGGATAAGCTAGCCAATGCCAAAGAATGTCGCAACCTGGCAAGAAGAGGAAAACTAATTCCAAATCTCAAGTATGGCTCGCATACAAGGAACAACTTGGAAAAGGAACCTGATATACTCGCAAATGATAATATCGAGAACTCGGAGATAAAGTCCCTTCTTCGACAGATTTTCCTAGATCGAGAATTATACTTATGTTTACAGCAGGGTCAACGAGATTTGATGCTCAAGGACCGGACAACAAGTAGGAGAAAAGCTTTGACATGTACACTGTAGTCGATGTGAATCTATTGTCGAAGGACGTGTGGCGATGCCTACAAGTGGAACACATATGACCGGAAAGGTTCTTCGTGTCCAGCAATGAAGCCACTGTCAAGCCCCTTACATCTACTTCTGGCAAGAGTTTCTCCTAAACATATGGGAGGACATGTCCATGATCTTTCTCTACAGCATTGTGCAACAGTGAAATCTAAATGCAAGACAGATAGGTCTCGACTAGGACACGAATTACTGGTTGATCAAAGAGGACTCATGAATAAACAAGACAGCATGTAATATAGCAAAAGGAATGGAACGACCCGTCAAGTCTTAAATGGGGTATGATGCGATGAGACCCACATATGCATAGATCGGAGAATGTAAACTAATACGTATTACGTATTATATGTTGGTTTGGCCATCTATAAATTACTTAAGCTTACAATGTGTTTATTCGACTATGGATAGCACCAAACAGTGTTCTTCATCAGCCATCAGATATATGTTGCATACAATGGACTACATGTTTATGACAGGGATACCGAGGTCGCTTAATATGATAGTCTACGTGTGTGTGTGTCTCTCTCTCTCTTTCTCTCTTATTCATGAATATATTGAAGTCGATATGTAAGGGATGTGAGATATCTATAAACGCCTATACTTTGATATCTTGGCAATTATTACTCCACTTGCACCTTCCAAGACTATAGTATGCATAGAATCCAAAACAATATTAAGTGAAACCACAACGAATGCAACATTCGCTTGTCACTCTAAAACAAGTCAAAATATGTCCTAAATCAATTCGAATGTTATCTATCCATCTTCATTTACTATGGCAAACACCATAAGCCTAATGACATCCTACATAGCATAATATGACAACCAAACAACTCGCTTTGCAGGATCTTAGTATTCAAGATTTATATTAGATGTACTAAGCTAATGTAGAACTTAGAAAAAATATCTACTGAGAATGAAAAACTTTGATCCATGATTGTGACAAGATACACCAGCCTAAACATTTCCAAAAGTAATAGCATAGATGTTAAGCAAATCACATGTGATATGTGAAAATAATTACCGTAGAGTACATAAGAATGATATCGAAGAATTAAGTCGAAGTGAAACTTCATCGATATAGAGTTGTCAGTTGGTGTTAGTCGGAAAGCCTGTATCCATGGTGGACTAAGATCCACCAGTTTTCTACCTTGCTAGAGCAAGAGGTTTGTCAAACCCCAGCTGTAATGTGCTTGGCCGATCCAATAAGAAAATGTAAAGTTTGCTAACATTGCAAATTACTTGAAAATTATTTACTCAAAATGACATGTCTAGCAAATGCAGCAACGCTCTGAAAACAAGTCTCATCTTCTTCCATGCTGAAGGAGATTATTCTTTCATTCGAGAAGGAAATTTTTTTTTGATAATTAAGGCCGAATGTTTTTTGATTCTGAATGAATGTCTATTTTCCACTATGAACTCATTGAAACTTCGTGTTTCACTAGCGATTTCCGTGGTTAAAAGGAACACAATTGGTAAGCTAACTGCCAATTACGGGGCAGTTCTGAACCACACGTTTCGTTAGTGTTGGAATATAAGAGAAAGTGATAGAGAATTCCCGTCGATACGGTCAAATTCATTTGACCCTCTATAACCGCACATTGACATCTGAAAATTTCTTTGGAGCATTGTGGAATACAGTTACTAGACCTTTTTGCACTCTAGTTTCTTCTATTTTGAAATTGGTTGTACAAGTTGATTGCACAATATATTTATTTATTTATTTACTTATTCATAAACAAGCAGGAGAGAGATACTTGATATACTTAAAGATAACAAATAAAGGAGTTTCAAATTATTATTTTTTCAATTCAGGTTCATTCTTAGACGTTTTCGTTGAGCTGAAAGAAGAACGAAGCTGGCCCTATTCTTCTGTGTATAGATTTACCTGTATATCATCTAATGGGACAACAAAACATGCCTCATCTCCTTGACTAATTTCCCCCCCATGATTATGCAGTGCTGTACTATCGACTCTGAGATACCTGTAGATCGTCTGGATTAAGTTTGAGGAAGTTTTGATGGCGAGAGGATACGTAGAAAAGCTTCCTATATTTGGCGTGAATGGTAGACTTTTACCCGAATTCGTGACTGAACAAGGGGCCACCTGGAGCACTGTCTTCTTTTATCAGCAACATGTCCATGTGAGTTGGATAAGCCAGGAAGTACATTCTTCTGGCTGTGCGCGTATTTGGCTTTCATTTATACGTCCTGATGCATATTTGAGTGGACATCAGTCCACCGTTGGTGTGGAAATGTGAATCTGCTGTTTAACGTACTACTACATCTACGGCACTAGAGCATAGACCACGAGCAACATGTTCGGCAGTCAGGAAAGACATTTGCTATTTACTTTGCCTGTGGAGGTGGATCTGATTGACCGCCAGAGTATGATTTCCTGACGGTGAAGAAGACTTAGATAATCAAAATTTGTATTTGTACAAGAAGGGTTTATGCCCTGAAGTTGTTTCGGTTCGTGTTCTGATTCAATGGTCAATCGCAAGAGGAGAAAATAACACGTATTAGATCGATCTGTACATTGTAAGTTCATTCATTACAGTTCCTCACTTCTGAGGTCGTGGCACGATTTGAGGCTCATTCAAAACTTTCAGAGGCTAGACAGCTCAGGAGCATTTGGAGCTGGTGGTAAAAGTCCCTCTCTTGATGCCATTTCGTAAAGCGCTATAGCTGCTAGAGCCTTAGAATCTGCGGTGGCTCGCCACAGCGACGAGTAGGGCACTACGTGAACCTTGATCAGCTCTCCATGGTCTCTTAAACCTGTCTCTTGGCCCTGAAGTGATGTGACAACCTGAATAAAATACAGAACAGCGTTACAACTTTCATAAGCCATCAGACTGGATTCGACAATACCTTAGTATACTTCTAAACCAAGTGACCAGAAGACACGACCAAGCACTTTGAAGTTTCTCTCTCAATACAACGAACTGCAATTCTAAGAACATCACAGTCACAGTGCGAAAAAGATTCAATCGCCCGATAATTGTTTTGGGTCTTGAATTGTGTATCACATGATCAGTTGCACTAACCTTCCTATCAACATATCCTCTATACAGGAAAAGTGTTATGTCTTCATCGCTCCCACCCTGATCAATTCGCAAGTTCAGAACGTAACCAGTCAATGATTCTGACGATTCTCTGCAATTTGCTAGCTACATACTGAACTTGATGGGAAGAGTTAATCAACAGAATTCAAGACAAGTCTTCCTGTGCGTAATACATTTTCACACACCCACGAAATACAAGTAACATGATAGAAAGTTGCATGTAGAAAGTCAGGGTAATTATCAAACGAGGCATAAACTACTCCTCGGAAACAGATACTGAAAGTGCTCGGAGACGGTCTTACTGGTGAGGGAAACATCTTCCGACCAGTTGACTCATCGAGCAGTGCAGTCAAATCGACAAGATCTGAGGTTTTTACTTGAATTCCCGTCTCCTCTTCTATCTGCAAAAGTTTTTGAAGTTAGAGCAAAATGCCTGATAATTATACTAGATAACAAGAAACAACGCAGTCAAGATCATCAAAGTGTGTTTAAATGGTCAACTGCAGTAGATTGTGACGCAGCAAAAACTTCAAATTCAACGGAAGATAAGATCGGATCCGGCTGCAAGAAGTGTTGAGATTAGAAAAGACTGAGATGAAGCAAGAATGAATGATGTCAACCTCTCGCGCCGCAGTTCCGACAAAGTCTCCATCCTCCGAATCCAGCATACCAGCCGGCAGCTCCATCAAGGTTCGACCCACAGGAACCCTAGCCTAACGACAGGAAGTTTCGTGACCATTTGCATGTAAGTACGGTGTGAGGGAGTAAAGAATTTAAACAAACACTTCTCAGTTCTTCTATTGAGTTCGAAATCTTGAGTACACAGTTCAGTTCAAAAAACGAAAGATGTTTTCCGGACATGTCAACGTGAGCCATTTCAAAGGACTTTTTGTGTGCCGTGCATCTCAAACTACGTCAATGTTTACTTCGCTCAGTAATACAAGTTTAAGAGCAAGATTCACTAGGTGTTGCAACTGGATTGATACGAATTCCACAAGACAGACCTGTTCGGTGAGAACTGCATATTTTTCTCCTTCACACTCTAACAACATGAGAATCCCAACTGCTCCTCCACGTCCGAAGACGATGCCAGGCAGCTGTCCAAGAAAACACACCGTCATGATTTAGACAGATGACAGATGTATGGTTTGAAGTAAATATGTAATTTGGGGTATCAAGAGGAAGTAGGTCTGCATCAATTTTTTTTAACACCAAAGAATAAATTCTTCGCAAGTTGAAGAACCCTAAAAAGGCTCGAAATATTGGCGATGTAAGTCGTGGAGCATACACAGCGATGGAACTTACCTTTGCCCCGGATTTCTCGTCGATGACCTCTGCTTTGAATTTCACAAATCCAACTCGGGACCCAAACATGTCAACACTCTGTTGGTAAGAGCCCCAACTGCAATGTCAGAGGAAATAAATGAACCATCCACAAGGATATCGTGCTGGTATATACAACAAGGAAGAGAGCAAAAATCCTTGACATGCCAAGTTACTGTGGAGGCAGGAGAACAATACCCTCGAAAAGAATTCTAACTCTTGATCCGGTACACAATGGGAGGAATGTGAGGAGATTTTGAACTGATTATGCCTTAGATTTCAATAGCAAACGATACGAACCTGAATAACTACTTGTTTGAGAGAGCATCGGGCACCACCACTTCCACCAAGAGTTAGAATCCCATTCTGCCCGGTCATGTACTTAACCCACTGCTTGAAAACATGGGAGTTCATGGCCTGCCTGTGTACACACGTCCTCGCGCAACGTAAGTGTCACGTCGCGTTTACATATAGATTCTACAGTCTGAAACTGATTAAGCATGTCTTTATACTGCCTTGAGGTAACAAGGAGGATGTTGTACAACTGGGAGCACATGTAAGCTAGAGAAAACAACCTTCCCCACAAAAAAGTGGGATGTTGGAAGCAAGAATTATGCTTTGAACAGCCAAAGGGTCTCATTTGAGATTTATGAGTATAACTATCATGATTACAGACGGCAGGAAACAAACATCAACGACGGGTCTCCATGATAGAGATGAAACACGGGATAGAAAAACATAGAATCTATTTTACAAAAAAGGATAAAAACCTTATATGAGATTCAGTCACTCCATCAGCTCCTCTGATCGGTACTGCAGCTCCACCTATTTGAATCGCTGGTGGTTCTGCATCTTCCAGAGAAGCCATTGAGCAAATCGGTTTTGAACGACAGATTCCTACTGTCAAACGAGACTCCAAACGACACCGTTCCAATATTGTTGCAACCCTTTTGGTGTCGCACGGATTTTCAAAAAAGCCAACAAGCTGCTCCCGAAAATTCACTGCCTTTGACTTCGAAATCCGAGGAGCCCGACTCGTCGTGATCTGTTTCTGCAATTCAAGACTGTACACTTGAGCTAAACCCACAAGAGGCCGATCAGCTATCACTTATATTACTTAGGAAGAGTTCAACAATCTCTTTGTGTTCATGGATCTCAGGTCAGCATTTGAGGCAAGTGAGGCGCTACTGCTTTCATTTCGAGTGTATACTCCGAGCGTGTCGCGTCTATCATTTAAATTCGTTCATAGGTTTAAATTACAGGTTGACAAAAGTCAATGTCGCTGGCATCCCATCTCCTTCTGAATTCGAGAGCGGAATTACATTCCCCAAGAAGATTATAGACTGACATAACAGATGAAACAGGCTTACGTATCTTGGACATGTCAAGACGAGGAATGAACAGCCAACATAAGACGATATCATTAGTTACACCCATCACAAAGAGAAGATAATTTTTCAAAATCAGCCTCGGAAGAACATCCCCACCCGCGAAAGTTGCACAAGTCACTTTCACTAAAACAAAACTGCTTAGCTGAAGACTCGTCAATCAAAATCTATAACGAAAGAGGCAGGAATGCGCCAGCTCCCATGCAATATCACATAAGAAAGGATGGAAGATCACAAGGTGTGGAGATCAAACATGAGAATCAGGACAAGTCAATTCACTCTTGACTCCATCAGCATGAAAGTACACCCATATTCAAAATCAGAGGCAAACGACGAGGATGAAAAGTTCAGGCACGGGGCACGCAATTACCAGCGGAAGAGTGATCGCATGAGAAAATCCTGCAAGGAAAAGTCCCGAGGCTCGCATCGCATCCACCCCAACGCTCCCGTCGCCACTACCTGGCCCGTCTGCGACTCTCTCCGAAGTCAGTTCCTCCTCCTCAGCCTCCCGGGACACGAACAGCAACAAGAACACTTCCGTTTCTTCCGCCACGGCCTGTTAGGCTGCTCCGAGGCTCCCAGCCCATGGGCCCACAACAAGAAGCCATCTCAGACTCTCTCTCACGCGTGGCAGTATGCCGGGTTTGCATCCACTTCCCTGACCTTGTGAAGAGCGACACGACATGCCGCGTGGGCGATGGACGGGAGAGCACAGAACTCTAGAGCCTGGAGGAGAAAAGATTCCCCTGCACTAGGTCGGGAAGAGACTCACTGGAAAAGTCCACAATTCCTAGAGCTGCAGAGTGCTGCGATGCTGACGGGGATGGCACGGAAGAACACATCCGAGATCGTTGTGTGAGTCGTCCACCATTCTTGTTCCGTGTTCAGTAACGAATTCTTCTCCGGGAGCTGAACAACGAGCTTGACGATCTGCTTCCTGAATTTGGGTGGTCTTTGATTGATGCAGGAGTCGAACTGCTTGGGAGCGGGCTTTTCCTCAAAATTGTAGTTTTGTAAAACTGGATAATTAAATTCTACCGCGCATATGAACACCGTTTCCTTTTGAAACGCATAGCGTGCATTGCGCAGATGGGCCGCTTCCTTGGTGACTAAACTTGCTGAAATCACGGAAATTGAGGGGAGGGGAGAGGACGAGTGTGGGGATGGTGGGACAGCAGGGCTGGCTATGAATTCGCTACCTGGTTTTTTTGCATGTGGTTGTAGCTCGTTGAGGAGGCGGAGGAGACCAAGGTCACTCTCCACGTTGGGTACGGAGGGTGAATGTTTGGTGGGGTGGTTGAATTTGCAGTTTGTCTGCTTCTTTTCCTCGAATTCTATCTGACTATATGGAGAACTCAGTACTTGAATCTGGTCGTCGTGTTTTCCTTTCGGTTTTTACCCTGTCCGCGTTGCCCGTCTCAGGTTTTTTTTGCTGAATTCTACAGCACATGCTCTGTCATCTCATATGCACTTGTACCTGAGTTGGTCCTTTCTAGTCTCGACCCTGCTCTGCATCCATGACCAACACCTTCTATTATGACTGTTCCAAGGTTGAGCGGGCAATGAGAGGGCTAAGATATCAATATCGAAAAACTTGCTTAGATACTTGTCCTTAAGATTTCCATGTCGGGTGGATTTCAGTAGTTCTCGTACAAAATAATCATAGCACATTCACGCTTAATGTTTATACGCACAACGCCTAAAATACATGATACCTCCAAGTCGCTGTTCATGAGTTCATCTACTGTGAATGATGGAGCTAGAGTTAGCAACTGAGCGAAGCAAACAACAATGTGATGTGGGCGTAAGTTCTTACGCTGCCGAAGAAAGCATATTTAGCTTGCCCTCTGACAACATCCCCATATGTTTGTCCTCAATAGTTCCACAGCGTAAACGATGAAGGCTTCAAGCGTCGCATTAATGTATCTCGTCCATTTTCGTTATCAGCTTCGATAGGAGTCGGTGGTTTATGTGCTTCATTTGGATGTATAGTAAGGGTTTAGGTCTTAGGGTTCTTAGTAAGGGGTTTTCGTCTTGTTCGTGATTACAAGACTACGGTTGTTTCAAGCTCGGGGCGATTGGCCAAATTCAAGTGTGTATCTCCTGAGGTACGTTCACATGCTTGTGTGCCAACAAGAATGTTGCAAAGTGGTCACTCCGCTTGCTCAGAAAGCTAGTTGTAAACTCCTAAAAATGTTGAAATGTTGCGAAGGCATACACATGAGAAGCTGAGTGTGGAAGTCTTCAAGGGAGTTTTCATTCCTATGGAAACAAGCAGGGTCGGGTAAGCAATTTCTTCCCTTATCCCTTCGCCCACATAAGGTGCTCATGATAGATGTGCGCCGGCTGGCTGTGTTGTCGCAGTAGTAAAGCTTAGATGTTACATGTATGTTGTTTTGCTGGCAAAGGTAAAATGAGAAATTGACCCCCACCCTCGTCCTAATGTACCGTCCAAGCTGTCAGGGATACAAATCCCCAGCCTGCGCAAAATAAAGAGTTTAGTGTAGCGAAGCGTTTGATGTATGAGGGATAGGTTTCCTCTGTACCTGTAGGCTCAGATGGATATGGTGCGTAGTACTGAACAACAATGGGACCAGATCCAAGTCGATCACCTGAAGTTTTTCGACGGCGGATCTATTTACACCAGACCCTTCACGTTTGAACTCAGAAATTGTAGATGTATAGACGCAAAGTACTCCTAGATCTCCAATGTCTTCAACAGTCAATGCCAATGAACTCCCGAGTCGAGATCTAAGTGTGATGGTTATCAAACAGGGTTGCTGTGTACCTCCGCTTCGAGTACTTTTCCTTGCGCATAAAAAAGAATCGCACATTTTGTTGATTATGTACATGTCCGTTGGTAGGTGGCCATTTCCGTTATTTGCAGTAACAATCACCAAGGATGATGGCACCTAGAGTGTCTGTTGTATAAGTTCGTAGGGTCAGAATTGATCATGTAAGTCATTGGTCTACTGCACAATCTATTCAGAGATATCAAAAGTTATTGACTTTCAGGTAGGGAAATCTCATTAAACTTTATATCAAACTGCTTAGCCTTTTTGTGTTTGAAATCATCAGGCCCTCATCTGGTCTACTTTTGTTCCCTTTTAGCTGATCAAACGCAAGATGCCACGTTGTGTTCCTACTGCATCCCATGCTGAAAAGTTAAATCTGGCTGTTAATTAAGTAACATAAGGAAAACGTGTTGCTTGGTTTATCGAGTGTGTCGACAGTGTTTATTGTAGGATTGTCTTGCGTATACTGGTTCCGTCCTCTTTCTTGCAGCCATGGTTGGCAGGTGCAAGGTTTCCATGGCGATAGCAAGGTTGCTCTCTCGCAGTTTCTTTGTGTTTTGTGAATATTGGTTCGTTTACTTCAATTACGACTTTGTCCAAGAAGCATCCATGTTGTCATCGATCTATGAAGATATTGACAGATTGCAGAGTACATGATCAGCCGACGCATCGTGACCCTAAAGTCAGTGTGAAGAGAATGTTACTTGAATGCACTTCATGTGGGAAACGTGCTTTCTGTTGCAACTTCACACAGTATCGCACATATCGGTAGATGTTTACATGAGTTGATCGGTACATAGGAACCACACGAAGAACACCCCTACAGAGGCTCCTTTTTGTTCTCAAGCAGGCCTCTCCTGTTCCCTATCTACTTGAATTCCATCTCCAACTACTAGATCTCTTCACTGGTCAGCCAAGGCGCGGGGTCTTCTGTCTTAGGGCTATCAGAAGCACGCATTAAAATGAGTACAGTTTGTAGGGCTCTACACTGAAGACATAAGGTGGTACTAAACTGTCAGCTTAAAATTACTTCACTGAGTTCAGTGCAAGTTTGCCGTTTTCGTGGAAAGCGAAATTGTGTGCAATCATGAGCGGTAACGATAGCAATTCAGCATTTTGATTTTGACATCGTGCCTCACGTTGACTGGCTGAATTCTCCACTCGTGAGGACGAGGCGCTGTTTCGAAGGTACTTGAAGATTTTTAGCCAAAGTCGGCAGTCCATGAGAGATTTAAGATCAGGAGTTGTTGAGCGAAACCTCACAGTATATCCCCGTACGGTGGGCTTAGCTCGAGATTTCGAAGACTGGCCAAGGCAACATATGCTAGAAAAGGTCCTTGCAACAGAAGTTCATACAGTCTACGAAGGTAAGGGTGTTCTACAGATTTAACCGAACATGTATATTCACATGGGTTTTCATGAAGTTATCATTAAATTCAGTTGGAGCTCCCGTGAACCTTGGAGAACCTCAGCCTGCGAAATCCAAAAGACTCAGTGACTCAAAAGACGAAGGAAAATGAAAGTAATTGATGGATAGTAAAAGTGAGAAACTCGGGAGATAAAGTTGCTCCGTTCAACTGATGAGTTTCGTCAGCCCAACCGGAATTCTCTTTTGACACAACCACAACCAAAACGAGGGTCTCGGCTTTACCTAGAACGTCGAATATGGCCTGGAGCTATGATAAGGTACGCAGAGTACAGAATGGTAGACCTTCGGTGGAAAAGAACAATTACGTTGGTTCGGAATCTGCTCTGACAGAGCGGTAGGAGAGCGAGAACTTGATTACAGACCTCAAACTGAAAAGCCGGTACTTAAACCGTTGCGCACCGTCGTGCCAGTGACTCTGAGCTTTGAGCTCGTTCGCCGTCCATGTACAATACCCACCCAGTCATGGGAAAGACCGTGCGGTGAATCAATCGGGAACTCTTGTCTGCTTGTATGAGAACATACGCACAACAAGAGAGAAAGTTTTGGACTTGACCTCAGTCACTCTGCAGAAACAGGTTGCTTTCGTAACTGACCAGGAAGTCGTCATACTGAATAAGAATAAGAATGAAGAATGAGATGCTATAATGGCTGCGGATGACCACGAATGCAGGACAGCAAAGCCTGGCACATAAGAAACAACCGTCGACAAAATTTCCACCGTCCCATCCCGTCCATGTGAGTCAAGTAGATAATTGTCTCCTCTGCTGTCCTCAGTTGCAGATGGTTTATATCTGGGCGAAATGGTCCCAGACACTACACATTACATCCCGATGAGGTAACTATCAGGTGTACTGTTGGAAGTTTCTGCATGGTGGCCCTGGTACCAAATCATTGGATATCGGATGGATGTACTTTAAAAACCTTGGAGTGAACTAAATGGGAGCTGCGGATCGGCCACCGTCTAGATCGCAACCCATTGCGAGCAACTCCTACTTTCAAGGTGGCGTTGTTTTGTGCGCTACAGAGTTGAAGTTGAGTCTCCCTATTAGCAAATAGGTCAGCCGTCCTTGCTTGAGATGATGGCCCGATGCTCCAATCACTAGTACGATGGTAGTTTCAGGCAGTTGTAGACCACAGCTTCCTCCTTTCATCTGTGGCAGCCTTTGAATGATCGAGACTTACACTTGATTAGTCGGCACTTCAGGACACACCGAGAAGCCAGATGCAAAGTTTGAGTAAGCCCCAAGACTTCATCAGTCCATATGCTTCAGTCCCACATCTTGGCGCTGTACATGCCAAAATCTTCTATTCTCATCCTTGGACTGTCTGCTTGACGTGACTGGATGATTCCCGTTTCGACAACAAGTCTCTTTGGGTTCTTTACTCCAAACGACAGCCGAGAAGTCGGCTCCTGATCTAGGGGCGACTTTGAGACTATGACCCGTACACTTGTGATACCTCATTTGATTTTGCGCTTACACTGTGCTCCACTTGTTGACTTAGGCTTTAAAACATTGAATACTCAACTTTCTGTAGCGAGAAAAAAGCATACGCGGGAAATCCATCACAAATATCCATCACAAGTATTTTATCTTCAAAACTAAAAGAGTCACTTTACACGTAGCACATTCCACTGTGTTTGGTACGAATAAGTATGAAACTTGTCATGATTTATGTACCATCTTATCGGACTTGGCAGAGTAGATAAAGTCGATACGTTCTGTATTTATAACTTGTTAGAATGAATAACTATATTTTTCCTTTTCCCACTTTTCTGTACTTTTGACCTTACTATCTCATCAAAATCTCGTCGAATGTTTTTATTAGAATCCTATATGTACGAAAGCCATGATTGTAAAAAACAGAGGCTGCTCGTTTTCAGTAGCAAGCCTCAAAATTTGGAATAAAGCATACATTGTACTCCGCATCAGTTCTTGATATTAAATATGAATAAGCCCAAAGCAAAGAGAATAGATGTGGTGATGGTTTTTCGACATGAAGGAAGCTCTTGTGTGGATGTTTTCCTACAGAATTCACGTGAGCTCAAACAATTGGGCTGATTCAGGTACAAAGGTGAGGATTCTCTTGTCTGATCATATTTAGACAGTGATATGAACATTCACCTTTCACTTTTACAACGAAGACTTTGGAATATTCAGCGTAACTTCTTGCATGATTTCGTGAAATTCTAACCAAGTGTTGAGACTTGACTGAATCACGCTCTTGGTTTGTTGGAACGCAATGGCCCAAAATGAAACTTGAAAATGTTTGGTGACGAAAAAGAAGTCATGATAAAAGGTGATAAGTGACCAGGTTAGATTTTTGGTGGACATTCTTTTCCAAAGGTCTTTTTTCGCAGAAAAGATGACATGGTTTGTCCCACTCAAGAAGTTTATTGAGAATTACTCCTTTGGAATGACAAATTTTGATATATATATCGAGGAGCACTCATGGAAGACAATACGTAATGTCTACACAACCATAAAGTCATCACTCAACCTTCTGGTTCTTTCTACTTCCTCACAGAGCAATGGTCATCACACATGAGAATCACAAATTGATCATTCACATCCACATGTGACTGATTCAAAGTGAAACAACGTTTTAGCCAAAATATGTATCCTGTCACTGCGTGTTTGGAATCTATTTCTTATCATCGCTTAAGATGAAACGTTTATTGGAGTCATATTCTGAAAGTGTATGGTGTTACCTCTCTAGAACACAAACCTGAATCATATTAATGAATGTAGAGAATGAAAGTGCTTGACTGTCGCATGGTAAAAGCACTAACATTGGATGCATTGAGCTTGAAGGTAATGAAATGAAGTATTGAAATGTTGTGAATATTTTTAGGAAAATTAGACTGTATAAAGGCATTCAAAGATTGCATAATATTGGAGCTTACATAAGATGAATAATTTTCACTTTACATGCTACTGTAATCGAGCAGAATTTTTTTAAAATTTTGGTCTTCATTAGAGAGGCTCGATGTGGAAGATGTCTTCTTAAAAATTGTTCTTTTTTTATAAATATCAGTAGGACTGTTGATGTCCTTTCATTCATTGACACACGACCTAACCTTTCATGTCTCCTCATTTCTTCAAACTTAAGCTCCTAATCATTATACATAATGGCTTGGAAGATTAGTTCAACGTGCGTATATCCGTTTCAGTTCATCACTCCCAAAGCAGAAACCTTTGCTCTCCATATTATGTTCTATGTTCTACAACTACGACTTTTGTACATGTATTTTCACGAGCTCAAAAACATCTCTTCAACGTGCGTATCTCCTATTCAGTTAATCACTCCCAAAGCAGAAACGTTTGCTCTTCCTATTATGTTCTATGTCCTATAACTACGACTCTTGTACATGTAATTCACGAGCTCAAAGCATCTCTACAACGTGGTGGCAATGTTAGAACTCTTTCCAAATCATCTATTTTATATTTCTCATGCATATTTTGGCAGAACAGGATGACGCATCAATCTATATTTCTACCTGTAACATGCAGCTTCAATATTTCGTCACTTGGCAGACTTGTGACATAAGCTGATTCTGAGATAACCTTGTACAGCAACTAACCTACCTAAAGATCTCAACCTAACTGCACAGAGAAGGTAAGATGAGAACCACATCTTCCTTCTCAAGATGTTGAATATTGAAATGGCTGATCTTCTTTAAGAATTGTGATGAAGGAGGAGGTGGATTCTTGAATCTAGAGATTCTTCCAAGAGGAAGTGTATTCTAATGGTAAGAGTTTCGTGCAAAAGCAAGAGGAATGTGAGATGCAAAAATGATGATGACAGATGCCAATGTGATACATGATTGCTCTTAAATGATCACAATCTCAACTACTTCACCCGGGGCTGAGCGACTAAGATCTAGCTCACAAAATCGGCATTCAAAATCTCTGTATAAATTGAGAGAGAGAATAAGATAGGGAAAAAAAACTTGAACTTCATGTTGGAAATCCAAGTATGATCACTTCAAGTTGTGATGTGTAGATTGTATGGTTGTCACAATGTCTAAACTCGAAAAGACAGACCATGTAACATCGAAAGTGCAACACATTGTAGGATAAGATGCGCACATGAAGCGCCACATTCTGCTCATACCCACGCTCCTGTGTCAAATCCAAATCGGGGGCCAACTAGATTACAACTACTGTTTCAACTATCAAGAGGTTTTCAAAGGAGAGACATCATGATGCAAATGATGTGCTCATGGCCCAAACCGTGCGAGGCGCTTCCGCGCTATGCATTATTTTCCGGTTGACATTCACGCTACCTGATGCCATGATAAAAGGTGCTCCTGAAAGTTCCTAGATATTCGAATTTCGATAGAAACACAGGAAGACGATCCATAGAAATGTACAAAAGTCTCTATCTGCACGATTCTCGCTATGCTGTTGGGATTCGTCTATTGACATTGAAATCTCTATTTCGCAAAACTTAGATTTAGGATGAGGACTCAGAGTGGTTATAAATTGTGAGTCTCAACCAGCGTCTATGTCGTTGACACCTGAAAGGATATGTATAATGTCATCTAATTATGCTCCATCGGTCCCTTTCCTCTTTGCTGGCCTCGGTTATACTATCTCACAAATGGCTTTCCACATGGAAAAAAATTTGTCATCGTATTGAGTAGCTGTTCGGCAGTTCGGATACTTTGATGTTTAATATTTAACTTTAATGTTTAATTGGATACACTTGTTTAAAAAAATTAGTTAGTCTTGTCCACATGTCCCGACTATACGGTCTCAGATTTACAGTATCTAGAATTGTATGGCCTTCGATTAAAGCTTGTATCGTATTCACTGACTTTTTCTTCACTTAGTGAGTCGTTTCTTGTCAGTATCTGTCATTATCGCACTCTAGTTTCTTACCTATTCATCTTATTGTGCACCGGGGTTTCTTCTTTCTACCATCGACTCTTAGGTACCCCACTTCTTCTCTTTGCTCTTTTCTCTTTTCTTCCATACATTGTTTATGGTGTCTACGCGTTCTAAAGCTATGTATGCTCGTCAAGCTGCCTTTATACTTCATATTTGGTATAACATATCATTCAGCGAGTGAAAGTCAATGTAGCGCTGTCGTTGCAATGCATCACGGTATCTACTGAGAATAAAATGTCAGGCATAAGTGAAATAAAAATATTTCTACATCGACTGCTCTTGAAGAATTATAGACTTTGTTGAAAAACACATGGAAGAGTTTTCCCACATGAGAAGTAATCATTGTGTTCCCACTAGCTCTTAAAGGTATACTTGTATCTCTCCTTTCTCATATTTTTTTTTTCTTACAAGATTAACGTTATTTACTGATACATTTTACATATGAAAATGTAAAGAACAAAAACACGTTAACATAGGTTTGATATAAGGATAATATGAACTTTACACGTTTGTAAACAAAGTGAAATTTCTAGTTTCATTAACATTATATGGAAATTTGAGCAAAACATAATATAGCCAACTTCGGATTGTACTCATGTATGAAGCAAACACAACGTAACATAGCAATACTAAGCTGGGATGTGAGGAATCCATCGAGTTGGACTTTGAAGAATCTTACGGTTTAGGATGGGACTAGGAATGTATCTACATAACAACAACCAAAAGTGAAATCGATAGTTTTATACTGTAGCAGGTTGTGCACATGTACAAAGCTTGTGTTCCACATATTACAGAAAGTCTATCAAAATTTAATTTTGGGCAAGAAGTCTGTGCTAATAATCTTATGGTAGAAACATAAATATAAACGATTATATATCCTCGATGTAATTTCTTCATAGTGAAATTTTTTAATATAATCTCAATAGAAATGAAAAACAATTTTAAGTGAAATAATTAAATTTTATAAGAAATAAGCTAAATAATTAATATAATATAATATTTTATGACCGTGTTACAATGAATCATAAATATTTGTGTATATCGTTAGAGTAAGATTGGATAAAAAGTATATGAGATGAAGCAACTTTTTGTTAGTCTATACATCATATCAAGTTACCACAACTCAACATCTACTTAATTAAAGCTCTACAAAACGGTAATTATTTTTATATATTTTAAAATATGATTTTTAAGAGTTGAAAGTAACCCCATTCTCATAAACTATGTGTGGATTAATACTATTAAAGGCTCGAAAAATTATTCATATATGTCTTAGCACATGAGTTTACAAATTCATCTGTGAGTAGTTTTACATGTGATTTAGAATTTCATTACTTTGTTGTATCATATTTAAAATATATTACATGTGATTTATCACGACATTAGACTTACTATAAAATTTTACATTGAGGTAGATTTTTTATCAATAAATCATTTTATAGTAAATAAAATTTATCTGTAAAATAATTTCTAAAACTATTTTTCTGGAGATCTTGACTATTTAAACTGAAATTTCTTTTCATAAGCTTGCCTTGATACATATCGTCGCAAATTTTGATGTCATAATCCTTGCTACATATATGACTGATCTTTCTTCTATATCAAACACATAATTTGAAAAGATGAATATTAAAATCTCGTGATAAAAATTCAATATTACTTAAAAATTGCCCGTGTAGATGATAAGATTGTGCAGTTTGGGTTGATAGTACTTTATTAAATCATTATATTTATATTGAAATTTAAAGAAAATTTTATTATATATAATACATATATGTTAGATTTGTTTCAAATGCGCTAAATTTACTACTGTAATATGGGTTACCCATATTACAGTATTTTCATACTATTTTGGGAAAAAATTCTATCTTCAGAGTAAGAAGAATATTATGCCATGAAACTTATTCATGGTATCCTACGTAATGTAGACGTAGAAAGATGAAATTAAGAATGTATTTTTAAATTTTGAATCGTAAATTTGAATTAGTTTTACCCTAGTCGATTTGATATGTATATAGTACGCTCTCACAAATTATCTTAGATGGTCAGATTTGGTTCACAAAACTTTAAAGATGGGTAGATACAAAAACGTAGGGTTAATGAAGAGAATGTAGTCTGATATATATAACCAAAGATATGATAAGTAATAGAGGGCAAGAAGATGTTTAATTTTGATTTAAAAGATCGAAGTTATTTGCAGTATCAAAATGAAAAAATATATATACTGCATGAGTCTAGGAAAAACCTTGTCCAATGAGAATTTTCTCATAAGGATTGCATCATGCAAATTTCTATGTCAAGAAGGGGGTACATGTAGCAAAAGGTATATTATACACGAGCATAAAGACAGGGGTATACGTGTTTCACATTATGGTTGTCTCTCACACTTGATCACATTGGCCCATCCAAGAGGATAGATAATCACCGCTCCGTAACATTATCACGTGTAGACTTCGTTAGTCCAACCGAAGTAACAATAACTCGGTCACTCCGAACCAAATCTAGAGGAGTGTTAAATCGAGTAGTATGCTTTAAAGTCAACTCCAAAGCAAACAACTCTCACTCCATGTGAGTTATTCATATAAAGGCAAACACCACATGGGTAGGATTACGCGACAGCTACATGGGACAATCATCTGGGCTAGTGCTGCATGTAACGAAATAAAATGGATGACACAGGAATACTGTTGGTTTCAAAAAACACTGTGCATCGGTAACGTGAGAATATGCTCCACCACGTCCGCTTCGATGCTCGAGGAACGAAGTTTGAAGTGGACACGGTGGGAGAAAAGACGAAGTTGTGAACGAGGAATGTCGAGAAACGAAAGAGATACCGAGTGGCTGGCAATGGACGCGGTCGCGGTCGCGGTCGAGGTCGACACGAACGAGGAGCTGGCGGGCACTTTTCTGACTGCGGTTAGGGTTTAGAGCGCGGAGGCCGGACAGGTGATGAATGGAAATCGAAAGCAAAAGGGCCGAGCAATGAATTGATGAGAGGGAGGTGAGGTGGAACTTTGGCCAAGCCAGTGGACTCATAACACTAAAGGGGGCCGAGCAGGAGCCTTTCGGCCTGCAGCTGCAGTTTCCCGGACAGCGTCGGGCCCGGGCCGACGCAAATCACGACAACGCGCGAATTTGTCCGGATTCTTGCTGGCTCCCGGCAACTGGCAACTGGCAACTGGCCCCGCGACAGCCGCGCAAGGTCCCCCATAGGCCAGATAACCGAAACACGGTGCGCACGGGTCGCCAAGAGAGCGAAACGTCTCTCAATCTCTCTCTGTCTCTATCAAGTGCCGCCGTCGAAATCGACTGAGGGACTTAAGGCGGAGACGAGGAGGAGCAGCCGGAGCAGGACGAAGGAAGGAAAACGCCGGAATCTGGGAACGAATGAATGAATGAAGGAAGGAAGGAAGGAAGGAAGGAAGGGTTGGAATTGTTGGAACCGGTTTGATGAGAGCTGGGAGGGGAGGGGAGGGGAAGGGGCCGGTTATCGGTCGGGGGAGCGAACGCCCGGAGCTCAGTCAGGCAGGGGGGTCAGGAGGCCTCGTATGTGTGTCGTGTCCTCCGTACCCAGTCGCGAGCGCGAGCCATGGAGCTTCCTTCTCGGGCGTCGTCGTCCTGCGCGGATCCTGTGCCCCGTGTTTGAACCTTGAATTTGATTCCGACCTTTTCCCGGACTCATTCTATTCGGCCCCCGCGCCTCGTCGTCCTCTCTGAGCGCGCGCGCCTTCCTCCCTCCTCTCGTCCGTCTCTCGCTTCGCTTTCTTCTTCTTCGTGACCTCGTCAATTGTTCTCCTTCTCGACCTGTCTGCGAGAGAGAGAGAGAGAGAGAGAGAGAGAGTTGGCGTTCGTTAGTCCTGTGACCTGCGGCGGAAGTGAGCCTTATGATGATGGTGATCGTCAAGCGCGGTGCACGGAGATGGGAAGGAGGAGCTGAGATTCGTGGGTCGTGGAGGAGGATCGTGCACTCGGCCGTCGGGTCGACGTCTGCTCGGTGGTGCGATGCGTACGATGTTATGATTGTGGGCTCAATCGGAGTGGCAAGCGCACCTTTCAGCTGTAGTATAGACTGACGAGGGAGGGTGCGAGGAGTTGGACGGAGAGAGAGCCGAGATGAGGCGGATCACGGCTTCGGAGTGGGGGAGTTGGAGTGGACACGAGAATTTAGGACTGATGCGCGCACACTTGGCCGGCTCGCTCTAGGAAGACGGCCCGCTGGAGATAGTCAATAGTTTCAGGTGTTGCCGCTGCCGAGGCCCCAAGAGGCGGAAGAAAATGCCAACGCTGTTCAAGCAGCTGCAGACTGCTCGGGATCACGAGCCCCCGGCGCCTGTGAGCCCTGTGCCGGACAAGGGCAGCTCGAAATCCTCGAGCAGTGGTCGCAAGGTCAGCCGGGCGTCGCAGGCGCGCGTGGAAGCGCGCAAGGAGTTCCTCAAGGTGACCACCAAAGGCACTCGCGATGAGGCTTACACGAACCCCGAGAGCTTGCCCCCTCTGGACGATGCGTACAACAACTTCCAGCACATTTATCCCAAATTCGCTGAGACCTGGGCCGTGGACGATCTCCGCGAACGCGAGTACTTCCATCTCGAAGAGGGTGAGCATGTGTGCATGGACTACTGTGGGTTCGGCCTCTTCTCCTACTACCAGCAGGTCCTCAACAAAGCCTCGTCGTCCTTCGGCCTGGCTTACATCTCTGCCAATCTTCCGACCCATGCTCTCTATGGAGCTGCCGAGGAGGGCACGGCCGAAGCGTACATCCGGAAACGGGTGATGGATTATTTGAATGTCAGTGATCGAGAGTATAGCATGGTGTTTACGGCCAGCAGGGGCTCTGCGTTCAAGCTCCTGGCAGAATCCTATCCTTTCCATCTCAATCAGAGGCTGCTCACCGTGTACGACTTTGAGAGTGAGGCCGTGAACTGGATGGGGGACTGCGCGAAGCAGAAGGGCGCAAAAATAATGAGTGCCTGCTTTAAGTGGCCGTCTCTCAGAGTGGGCACGAGTGATCTGAAGAAGCAGTTGCAGGAGAAGAAGAAAAAGGGCGAGTCTGCCAAGGGTCTCTTTGTGTTCCCCGTGCAATCGCGCATGACCGGGGCCAAGTATTCGTATCAGTGGATGTCTCAAGCTCAGCAAAACAAGTGGCACGTGCTTCTGGATGCCTCAGCTCTAGGTCCGAAAGACATGGATTCCTTGGGCCTGTCACTCTTCAGGCCGGATTTTATCGTCAGCTCCTTCTACAAAGTGTTCGGCACAGATCCCACGGGTTTTGGGTGCCTGTTCATAAAGAAATCTGCCCTTCACAGTCTGCACAATTCGTCTCGGGCACGAGCTGTGGGCATGGTGAGAATCGTCTCTATCAGTAAAAACCCAACCGACGGGCCGGAAGAGAGGGAAGCCGAGGACGAAGACTTCCAGCAAAGTGCCTGGCAATTGGATCAGCAAGCCAGGATGAGCTCGTTTTCCGGCCCAGTTTCCTCGTTCTACGCAGAAGCTGATGCGAAGAAATTGAAATCTTTCGTCAATCAGGATAACAATTATCACGCTGCGTCGAAATTGCCCAAGAGCAATGGGAGACGGGTCGGTGAGATTGAGAACTCCGGGCAGTTGAGAAGGGTGATCGAAATCGAAGAGGAAGCTTATGCCGATGAAATACACAGCGGGCGGTTCAGCGGGCGGCTCAGCAGTGGGTATCACAACCGCCAGATGGGAGGAATTGAACAAATGAATGAAGTCGAGTACAGCGGAGAGTTCAACAAATCGCGATACGACCTGGACTCGGAGCGGAGGGGTCGGAGGTCCAGCGAAATCGAAGAGGTTGTGCCGAAAAGTGGACTGATCACGAGACCTCGCTCATCTTTCGGAAGTAGCTCTGGCGAGATCGAAGAGGTCATGGAGCAAAAACCTCGCAGAATAAGCCTTCGTGAACAGCTCCATGAGCCTCAGACGAGTCCTCTGAAAACTGTGAGTCAGATTCTGCACGAGGATGACGATCCACTGACAGCGTCTTCTTCCGCCAGATTTTACAGCGCCCCTCCCAGACGGTCTTACAGGATGGACGACCACGACGATGACGACGAGCTCTCGCAAACTCCGGTTATCAATGATAGAAGAGCAGGCGATAGTGATGACAGCGGGGGCGAGGATTATGAAGACTGTAGAGATTCTAGCTTTAGAAATGGCAGAATGGGCGGGGCCAGAGGCCAGTACGACTTAAGCCCTGACGTAGGGGTGTACAGCGGGTCCACCTCGGACGATAGATTTGACTCGAATTTAGATACGAGTCTCATCGAGGAGGAGATCGAGGAGAGGGAGTTTTCTAGAACAGCTCTCAGTGACATAGAGGAGGAAAAGGGTGAGGGTGAAGGTGAGGGTGAAGACACGGTTTGGGACCAGAGCGATTATGATGATAGAGGGGCTGAACAGAGATCCGGTCTTGAAGCAACGGAGAGAGGGATTGCATATTCTGGGGAATTTCGGACTGGGATGGGCCATGCTCCAGCTGCAGCACACGAAATTGAAGACGTGAGGAAGATAGAGGACGCCGAGGAGAAAGCGGAGCGAGTAAAGAATGTACAGCCGCAACCCGTAATGGCGGAGAAGAGAAATGTGGAGCCGCCAGCTGTAGCTCAAAAGGAGACGAGAACTGTGGAGGGTATCAAGGCAAGACTTGCGAGGTTTGTCGGAAGGGCCAGCTTTCGCAGGCATTCTGGGAAGGAAACAAGCGATTCCAAAGAGTTTGGAGTAAAAAGACCTGTTAATAAGATTCAGAGTTTGGACAGTGGAAAGGGCCAGCGTGAAGAAGCTGAGGGTAATCTGCAACCGAAATCAGATGCTCCTTTGAACAAGCACCAAGCCCCCTTAGCACAACCGGAATTTCTAGCACAGGAAGCCTCAGATGTTTCGGAAGGTACATCTTCTGAAGCGCGAAAAAACGCCAATGGTGACGTCAAAAGTGGAGGTTTGAGTCCTGCTCTTCCTACTCCTGAAAAAATTCATGAAAGCGTTGGCCAAGCTAGTGGCAGTGACAGCGAGGCTGAACCTGCTGCCTCCAAAGAGATTGTCCGTCCGAGCGTTCAGGATGGAGCAAGTTCGAAAGCTTCGAAAGTTGTTCCAGCTTCATTTGATGCAGGAGAGGAAGTACATAGTGAGTTCTCAGAGCAATGTTCTCCGAGGGACTTGCCTGCGCATCCTCTAGACAATGCTGCCTCTCCTGACACGAGTGAGGATGGTGCGACTTCAGAAAGTAAGGCAGCCATCATTGATTCGGGGAATAGAAGAACGCCTGCCACCGGACCAAGCTCCAACTTCTCACATGTGGATGGCAGGTCAAACCAGACAGAGGACGACGAGGGCTTGTGGAATGGACCAGAAGAATTGAGAAGATCTGGCAGGTGGAGTCCTGATCAAGCTGCACCTGCAGGCTCTCCCCGGGACGGTAGCATGGATGATGAACTTGATTCTAGACCCGCAGATTCGAGTCTCTGTGCCCCTCAATCTACCAATGTCGCTGCGCAGGCTCTACAACATGCTCTCTTGTTTCGTGCGGATGGAGGAGGAACACCTTATGAGTCCGGTGAGGAGAATTATATTACAATACTACCTGGCAGCAGAAGTGGAAAAAATTGGGATCGAATTCCTGAACCTGTAAATGAGTCTCCAGATTCTGCCAGACAAAGGGATAGCAAATCTTCTCTTGAAGAATTACCGGACACGCCAAGTCCAAGTCCAGCTGTTGGGAAAGGGATGGATAAGCAAGTCAGTACAGACGCTTCACCGGTCGAGGTCGCTGAATCGTCGGAGGTTTGGGAAAGACCGAGATCCTCTGGACAGGATGATACGGAGAAAGCATTTGATACTTCACCTCAGTCACCAAGGAGTGAGTATTCTGAAAGCAGAAGGGGAGCTAATTCTACAGCACTCTATCTCAGGGCTACTCCTCGGTCTAGTGCCAGCACACCCAACAACGCTACCAGCAGTTATCAGACGGAAAGAAGCATCACGGAGGATTTGAGTTTTGACGAAGCAGATTTTCACGATTCCAAGGACCAACGTGGGATGAATGGGTCTTCGGATGACTTGCGTAGTGGCAGAACCCTGTCAAGAGACGTGGACCTTGATGAGAATATGTTCACCTCATCAACAAGAAGGAATACACTAGCAGAGGATCTTGCTAGAGTTGATCTGCAAGATAGTGATGATGAGTCATTTTATCAAGCCCAGTATGACCGTGATTCCTATCATGGATCAAGCACTTCCCGGTGAGTTGCAAACTCATGGAACGTTTCATATTGCAGCTGAGTCATTGTAATCCATTGAGTCGGGAATTGGTGGCTAATGGTCTCAAGCAACCAGCTTGATGTCTTCAAGATGTCACACATGTCGTTTTACCTTGAAATCGAACTGTGGATCGGCAGAAACTCTTGACTCTACTATACTTCACAAGCTTCTTGTTTCATATTCTCACTGTAATGGTCTGACTCTGTCGCATCATGTCAAAGGTGAAAAAGTTGCTGAAGTTTTCCTCTAGTCTTTCGGGGCCACAAACTAAGGGATCATGCATTTCAATTGCTCACATGTTTCGTAGTCTTCTCTTCAGGTACTTTGGAGAAGATGCTGCCCCGTCTGCGTGTTATCAAGAGGAGGAGTCAGATGACGATTTTGAGGAGGGGGAGGAGGTGGGAAACGGCGACCTAAGGCAACCCAAAATAGTGTGCAAGGGCCTTGATCTGGCTGATTCATTAGGGCTTACCAAGACAAACTACCGATTACGGTACCTGATTAATTGGCTGGTCAACTCTCTCCTCACGCTGCGACATCCTAGTCCAAATGATAGAGGAACTGCCTTGGTCCGCATCTATGGCCCCAAAGTGAAATATGATAGAGGGGCAGCGGTGTCCTTCAACTTGTTTGATTGGAAGGGAGTGTTTATTCAGCCGGGTTTGGTACAAAGACTTGCTGACAGAAGTAATATCTCGTTGGGAGTAGGCCGACTTTGCAACATCGTGGATCCAGATCTGTCTCCAGATTTTTTGGCAGAGAAGGAGCGGTGGGGTGGAACCGAAAGAAGTGACCATGGTAAAGAAGGCACTCCTTATTGTGCCGGAAGGTCAGATGGTGGAAAGTCGTCATCTGCCGGGAAGTGGGACTCTCTTACCATCCCTGTAGTAACAGCTGCCATGGGTTTTGTGACTAACTTTGAAGACGTATACAGGCTGTGGGCTTTCTTGGCAAAATTTTTGGATGCAGATTTTGTATCTAAAGAGGTGTGGAGATACCATTCTTTAAATCAGCAAACAGTAGTTGTGTAATGTTTAGCCTAAATTTATTCTTTATACCAATTTCATGAGAGGTGGAAATGTAGAAACATCCCACATGAGCAGAACTCAAAAGTTCTGGTGAGCTCCAGTTTGTCCTATCAATGGAGAGGTGGTGCATGCAATTACTTGCCGATGCTTTGTACAGAGATGGAATACTCATTTTGAGGCTGCTGTGGCAACTGCATCATGAATGCGGCTTGCTCCAACCTTTCTCAAGACATAGAAACTATTATTTAGCAGTGTGCCTATGAGCCTTGTCCCAGATTCAAAGGAACTGGCAAGAAATTTATGGACAGATGCTTGAGGAATACACACACATCACATTGAATGAGAATCTTTTGAGAGGCAGAATCGTTGTACTTTGTCCACCTGGTACACCTGAGAGTACAGATCCGATCATGGTTTCCAACGCTTGTCATCTGGGTACATTTTTATGGGTTAAACATATCTCATCTTCAAGGTGCAGCCTTAATTGCTTTATGGCCGTGACCATCTATATCTTTTTAGCTTGTTGGGCGAAAGTTGTACACGTTGAAACTTGCTGTCCCCTAACCCATGGCCCATCAGATAGGATATTTTCTGCTAGACACTCCAGATAGTCAATGGTTTAAAGGTTATATGGAAAAGTCGTGCCCCCTCACACCGCCTCTGGGTGTGAAACAGAAACGCTTGATTCATCTACGTCTGATTGAATGAGTTGATAGGTCTAGGACAGTGGGAGGATTTTACCTCCGAGATTATGAGGCCGTGTGCGGGCAGTCCATGGTTAGCCGGAGGTTATCAACTACTAAAATGGATCCTTGGCAATCTTGCTTATATCCAAAATATAGAAGGTATCACCTGGGAAGCTATGAAATGAGCACATCACGGTGTGGTATCAAAAGGAGTTACATCACCTCCTAAGAGAACTTGCGTTCAGTCACTTCAGTAAGTCAACGTTCAGAGAAGCAACAGCGTCGTGCTTTGAAGGGACGGTGTCTCTTGTTTCCCGCTCTCGTCACTGATGCTCTTCTACATGATGGACCCCGTTAACAGCGTAGAAATAGGATGCAGTATCCAATCCATTGGATACTCATTGATGAGAAGTCTAGGGTAACACCTTTACCACCGAAGCATTTCAAAGGCAAACCTTGGGGATCGATGGACTGTTGTCAACAATCTGACGTCGAAATGATCAGGAATCCTGTGCACGCTTTGACCAGATTTGCTTGTCGAGAATATGATAGGCAGCGCATTTCATGCTGCAGTGAAGTACGCCAACGGAAGAGACGACATCAGGTAATGTCATGCGCCATACCACGGAGTGAGTGGAGTGCTGGGGGATGATGAGTGTAGTAGTGTGGATCATCCACGAAGACTAGAAATTGGCACTGCCATAAAGCCCAGTGAGACCAAACTGCTTCTCTGACCGGGATTGCCGAAAGCCGAATCAGAGATAAGTATTAACTCCTCCCTCTCCGGGTGGAGAGGTAAACATCATACATCTTTTATTGCCCTGGATCCATAATTGCATTAGAAAGTGGGCTTGATTGTACATCATCATTTCGAGCCAAGTCTTGTCCTCTTCCTGTTGTGGCAGAAGAGAAAGTAGATCTGCATGTACTCTCCGTTTATGCATTTCGAGCAGAGCTAAAAGTTGTCAAATATTCTGATGATTTGCAGTTTTATGTTTTTGTGCTGGTCGCGCTTTGCAAGTTCTTCAGATGCCTTTCCAAATAGCTGAGGGATCACAACGGACATGGAATGAGGGAAACAAAGATCGCGTTACCAGTTGCATCTTGACCATTCTATTAATGATGGAGACGAATGTGCTGTTGCAGCTCAAAAAGCAAAATGGGTGGAACGGGTGAACGAGTTAAACTTTCCAGATAAGAGGATATGATTTAGATGCAAGCAATCATCTAGCATCCGGTTTCGTGATGCTTTCACGCTTTCTGCGATGTAGAACAATCCGATAGTATTGTCGGTTTAGTACTGTAGATATCTGTATTTTTGCTTTATTTCTCCAACACACTTAGTGAACACGATTACATGTTGTATCTTAAGTCGGAATATAGATGGTGGTGATATAATTTACATATAACTTGACATAAAGAAAAACATGTAATTGCAGATTTCAATCACTTGGTGAACTTGATTAACAGGTATATTAAAAAAGCACTATTTAGTATTTACTATTTCATTTACTATTTACATAGTTAATGAACTTTGATAATGCACTTTTACTGCTACGATAGCTAGAAACACGTTTTCCTCTATTGAACAATAATGTGCTATATGTTTGGTACATCTTATGGATTAGAAGTGGCATTCAACAACAAAAAAAGTAGCAACATCAACCTTATTCAAAAAATAGAATGAAATAAAGACCGATATAATTATGAAGAAATCAGTCCTTCTCTTCAGACGATGAGAGCCAGAAATATAAAACCACACATGAATTTGTAATATGAACCACCTAAAATCAAACTTAATCTAAATTATTCTGAGTGTTGAAATCCAGATTATTTGGGGTCAATTCCATATACTACTATTAAAGCTGCAAAATTCGAAATTCAAATACTAGACCCTGAGATGACTCTCGACCAGCCAGATGACTTCAAACTTGCAGACAGACATGAGAGAAAGAATGCAATGTAAGACGTATCCATCTTAACGAATAAATGACAGGAAGCAACCAAAAAAGTTACATGTGATTTGAATTTCACACAATTTTAAAGGTGACGAACCAAATGGAGCTTTGATGTGTTTCCACGAGGTTGTTTTAAAAAACCCATTGTGCTAGAATAGAAAGTCTACAACATAGCTGAAGTAAGTTTCAACAGCTGAAGTAAATTGCAAAAGATCAAATAGTAAGTAGAGCTCTAAGAAACAATCTGGCTTCTCGGAGAATGAAGGAAATAGCAGAGAACATGTGATGAACATGTTATCTGCTAATATTCCCTTCCGCCCTCTGATCCGAACTAGAGGATTTCTCTCGATCCCAGAACATCTTGTCCAGATGATTTCACAAACCAAGAAAGTCTTCACATCGTTGAGGGATTTTGTGTGGTCGACCCATGTCCAGCTGCATCGCTGACGGGTGATATGCTCAAGAGGGGATCCTTTGGCAACTAGTATGGTGGGGAGGAATATTCAACAACAGGAGTGTGCGTGTCTTGACACCGGAAGTCTTCATCATTCCTCATCTGCCTGCCTGCCTGCTGCTGGTGCTTTGCGAAGCGAGCTTCGCGCGACTCATACGTAAGGAGGGGGGGGTACAAGGGCGGGGAAGGAAACCACGAGAGTCGTGGTCATGCACGTATTTCTAGAATCTTTAATCTGAAAGTGGGAGTTGGAGACATGTTGAAGTCACGCACTGGATAACACGAGAGGCGATCGGCCACTGCCATCGCTCGCTCGCTCCCTTCCTTCCTTCCTTCCGTCCGTCTCGCCCAGAGGTTCTGTTCGCAGAAGGGGGTCACCAAATCCGCAAGGCCCTCGGAAAAGCAAGGGGCCCGAGCAGATAACAAAATGCAAAATGGAAACGAGTTGCGCAACGCACAAGCTTCGCAATCAAAAGGAGGGCGATCGATGACGCCACGGATGACGCGAAGCTCGGCCACGTGGCGGACCTGGACGTCATCCGGCCGCGGGTCAGAATCTTGCTTGGTAGCCAAAAGAGGAGGACATGGTTCGAAGCCCACGAGTTGGAGTGCAGGGCAGGCAGTCCGACGACCGGTCACCGATGCTCGGCTCCGTCGGCCGTTGCTCGCCTCGCTTTCTGACCCCCGGGCCGGCGACAGCAGCAGGGCAGGGCAGTACAGTGCACGACGTGATGCGGCCATCTTGGTCCGAGTTGGAAAGAGCTGGGGAACGAGGCAGCTCGTCGAATTCAATTTATTGCGAGGCCTTGGCCGGAGGTCGTGTCTCCAGTATGATAGCCTCGGTGCATCTGTTCATCTCATCCAACCGTCGTTTCCTCCTGGTGTCAGACGGTCACGCGTTTATCAGGTCGCCCTTCGGAGCTTCTCCCCGGCGCTGTACGTGATCCACAACCCACCCACAGCATCTACGTCCGCGCTCAGGATCCGAGAATTCATTTCCTCGAGCATCTTCGCAAACCCATCCATGCATCCCACTGATTGCACACTACTCCTCCACCAAAAGCAGGAGGACGGTGAGTGGGTCGTGCCTTTTCCAAGCGGCGGGCTCCCAAGCGCAGCGCGAGGCGAGGTCCATGTGGAAGCGGAGCTCCCCGCGAACGCTTTCCTCGCCGGCCAGCGATTCAGCAATTCAGCAATTCGTTCCCTCGATGATCCCCGGCGCTTGGAGAATCACGACTGCTAGAGCAGATCGGCTCGGCCGCTTTTGCGAATCTTCGACGCCATGTTCGCGCTGGGCTCGCGCAACACGGGTCACCGGCCAAGCCGTGAGGGTCGCGGCTAGACGACAGAGATGACCGGAAGTTTAAATTGGTTGGTAGGTGGTGTATAAGAATGTGTGTCAGTCATAACTCAGGCCGAAACGTGAAACATCTGTGGCAGATATCCGCCGTTTTGAAACGGACAGTCCCACATCCTTTTTTAGACGCTTCTGTCAGCAGGATTTGTTCCAATTTAGAAAGTCCAGAATCCGGAATCCGGAACCCAAATGTCCTCCCCCTCCCCCTCCCGGCTCCGCTCCCATGTCATGCCCTCTGTGCCCCCGCAGATCACATGGAATGGATATCCGCTCCCCATCCCCATCCATCCCCATCCAGAGCTCGCCGGGCTCGGGTTGTGCATCTGCCCGACCCCGCAGCGTGCATCGGCCCGGCCCGACGCCCGGCCGATCCAGGTCAACGGCGACCAGATAGGCTCTGATGCCACCCTCCACTGACGCGGCTCTGCTCGGCCCCAGTACCGCACCATTTCTACGTTGCCGCCTTTAATGCCCCCTGTCCGCGCTCCCACACACGCGCGCATGATTCCTGAGTCTAAGCTCGGGCCCTTGCCCTTCATCCTTCAGCCGAAGGGAAGGGAAGGATTTGGAGCTCCGGGCCCAAGTCCCGGATGGTCAAGTCGGTCAGGGAATCGGTCAGTCATCGGCCACGTCGTCGACTCGCGTCCTACGTCCGCGACATAGCGCGGCCTCCGCTCGTATCCAGAGTCAAGTCCGTCCAAGCGCAGGGACCGGACGGAGGGATGCGTTGTGAGCTCCCTGCGTTCCCATTCCCAGCGTTGACGCTCGAGCTCGGAGGCCGAGATTCGAGGTGCCAAGGTGTCCGGCTCACGTCGTCGGTTGGGCTAATTCCGCCGGGTCTGACGTCAGCAGCCAGACAGAAAGAGGGAGAGCTGAGTCCAAGGTCCCAGGCACAGCTCGCTCTCCTTCGCTCGGGATGCTGTGCGAGCTCGCGAGGTGCGCTCATGGAATGGAATGTGAGGATCCAGGATCTGACTACGACTGTGACTGTACAGTGAAGGGCGTGGAGCCTAGGAACCGCAGACAGAGGAGGTTTGTCCGCTTGCGGGTCTGGGTTCGCTGTTGGGGCCGGTCGCTCGCATCACCTGCTGAGCTGCTGAGCTGCTTGCCGGTGTTGCAAGCCTAGAACTAAGGGATATCGGACAGGCGGTATGAGGTAGGGATATACATGAGGACATGTGTTGCGGTACATGCGTCCTTCGTGAGGAGGTTCGGATTGCATGCTCGCTGTTTCCTCCTATTGCGACATGGGGGCCGGGGCCTGGCCAGCCCCGATCGCTCGGCACTTCTGAACCGAGCGATACATGTCCCTTCTTTCCGGGACTCTGTTGGATTAGGCCAAAACCTTGTTTCGCTTCCGATCGATGGTGGAGAGTTTTGGACTTGGTCGGCCCAATGATGTGAATCTGCCCCATCATCACTCTGCACTCTTCAATCAGAGCCGAGCTAAACTCGGGGGTGGGGGCAGCTTCCCCCTCGCTGGCCCTCGCTCTCGCTGCCTCGGCTTCAGAGTTGGGCCTTTCTTCGTCGGATACATCTACAAAGATAGCTTCAGATCAAGAGGGCAGGCGTTTGGCCAGTGGCGGACTTCACCAATTCTGGAGCTGATACAGCCGAGAACTACAGCCTCGGTATCTATAGATAGGTCGTATATAGCAAAACGCACAAAAGCGAAAGGGAGTCTGGGTTTGTCTGTGAGCTGCAAAAAGTCGAATTTCCTATTCTCCAATGATGAGGCGACCTCTACTTTAGTTCTTCAGTGGACACATGTTCACGTCCTTGTACATGGAAAACCGCATCCGAACTGACCTCTTGTGCGACAACCCTCGACCCGGAGGCGACGTACTAGAGCCATGCAGGTTTGATACACAGGTAGGGTCCGGTTCTCAAAGTGCTGGCTTGACCGTTCTCTTGCGCCGAGGACCCTATGTCGTGTATGTTTGATATTCCAATGTTCGACGCGCTGATAGGCCTTGCAGACGAGGAACTTGTTCATGCCAACAGACTAGGTTCCTCCCTGCGACCCAGCCGATACCCCACCCCCGTGATCGCGTAAGAGACAAGGCAGCCATGAGAATCGACAATCCGCAACAACCAGACGGCGAAAACAACACCACGCAAACGGTTTGCCATCCATCATGAGGAGGAATGGGATTGGAAAATTGTGTCTTATTAAACAGCGTTGGTCACACCTCTTCCACCTTTCTGGTAGGTGACCAAAACAAGAGGTATGACAGGAACCGGTACACACCTCACCTTCGAGGAGAGTTTATAGTAAATAGAAGATAGATACAAGGTACTGTGTCAATTACAGCGTAAGAAAGTAAAGAGTGCTTTCTCTGCAGAGCACCACATCAAAGTATGTAACAATGTGAGTGATGACTAACAGTGTGTGATAACTGTACCTGCGAGCCTTCTGGCCCGCAACTGGTTTGAAAGGTAATTCACCCTCATAAGAACAGGGCGAAAAAAGAGTGTGGGGTACAAAGAATGAAGATGAGCTAAACTATCAATCCCACTTAAGTGTAGAACCCCAGCACTAATCATAAAAATCTACACTGTGACTCTAATCTCGACTGGACTTGGAACCCCTAGATGATCCGTCTGCCTTGCTTTTCTGTCTACCGTCGGGAATACTTTGCCGTGACGACTTGACAGGTACAGGGGCCGTCCCATGTGAACCGGGAGTATTGTTGTTGTGAGCAGGTCTACTGCTCCGAGACCCTCCTCCTGATGCTACTCTTTGTGTACTGCAAGCGGTAGGTACTTTTGCAAAATTTGCTGTCGCCGAACTCCCCTTTGGATTGCTTGAGTGTGTATATCCGTTGGTTTTCGCCCCTTTGTGGGCGCTCTTGGAGGAAGGTAAACCTAGTGGAGGAAGGGAAGACAGGCTCCGCCCACCGGCATCCTTGTTGCTACTCGAATCCTTCGCTGATTCTTTTGCAGCACACTTCTCCATCTTTACAGACAGGTTGCTGGTACGAGCCGCTGTATGTGAACCGCCACGCGAACTCGTAGAGACACCACCTCCACTTGAATTCCGAGGAGAAGAAATCGAAGGCTTCTCTGGGGTGTCAATCTGACTTAAACTCTTTCGTCTCTCGCTGACCAGCGCTTTACTTGGAGGTACAGATCCTGCATCCGCATTCGTCTTTCCCTCCTTTCCAGCATCTCCTCCTGGCTGTCTGTGGTTTACAGTGGTACTACTAACCCTCATGCTCTTCGTCGCCTTTTGTGTCGGTGCTCCTTGATATGGTTGAAAGACTCTCCTTCGTCTTTCTCTCTCCCCGTCGGTCTTCTCTGGCTCCAATTGTTGGAAAGTATCTTTGTGGATGGACATCAATATGTGGGCAGCTATCGATACTCCCGGTGACAATGGTACTGCTGCGTCAAACATATTGCCATGCAAGATTAGTGTCTGGAAGTTAAAGAACAATCATACGTTTCAGGCAAACAAACTTGGCTTTTACTCAAGCATCTCCTTCGGACTACTCCCTAGATACTATTTGTGACAATACTCGTCTTAGTGTCCACAAACACCAGGGCTAGAACGAAATACAAGAAAGAACAAATATCAAGCCTCTAAATATTTACCAGGCGACGTTGATGCCGATTCGTTTTGAGGGGGCGATGGGCACATAATTTTGATGTCGACAGACGGAAGCGCTGGTAATTGTTCTTCTTTCAGAACCGTCTCGTCAGGTTTGGGTTCTCCATTGCTCTCAACCAGCTCCTTCCCCTCTTGATCACCACCAGCCTCCTGCTTTACATCAGCTAACGGTTTGCTTTGCCGATCACATACATCCATCTCTTGTGGTCCTAGCAAGGTAGCAGGAGTTTCTAAAGGTCTGACAGCTTCCCCACCACTTCTCTCTTGATCACACTCCATATTCTCTGCTTGCTTACCAGGTAATGTTTCTGGTCTATCTATAACAGTGACAGCAACGGCACCGTTGTCAACTCTGCAGGAGTCCACTTCCATGGGGTTTGGGGTACCCTCTGAACTAAGCACCGCAGCATTTTCCACTTGTCGTGGCTCTTCTTTGACAGATACAGTACATTCTTCGGTTGGAGGATTTGAAAGAGGAGTTGGAAGAGGAGCTGTGGGCGGAGGAGGAGAAGACGGAGGTATACACATTGCCATGGCTTCTGGTGTCTGCGCTTTCACCTTGCCGTCAAGTTTCCTCCGCCTAGAATATGATGACCTCGGAGATGCGTCCTCTTCAGCCCCAACTTGCGCGTCCTCTACACTCGCACCAGCTTCACATGTCGCAGCATTGCTTGGTATGGCCGGTTGAAGACTCCAGACTCGGTGATTCCATCTATAATGTTCTGCTTTCACAGGTCCGACAGGTGGATACGAACAAGGTAGAGGTGGTATACTTCGGTTCCTGTGACACATATCAACTACTGCGCTATCCATACGGGTGTCCGAAGTAACATTCGCGTCGTTATCGCCTTGCGATTGCGCAATGAGAGACTGTAGCGACTCGCTGGGCCCGAGTTTCAGTCTCGTCATGAAATCCTCAAATGGATGTAGTGGGAGACCATCTACCTTGAAGCTGCCCACACCTTGCGTAGTTCCATTGATGGACTGCGAGCCAGCTCTCATATCCTTTTCCGATCCAGTCTGAAATGAAATACAATTCTGTCAATATGGGTGGCATCAACTCCTTCGTCATTTGAGTAAACAAGAAACCTATAAACGACGAGTAAAGATTCATAACACATCGTGGAAGAAAACTCTTGTCAAGTACCTCAAATTTGCTTCCTGAGAGAAAATTTGCTCCCAGCACTTTCTCTACTCTCTCCTGTTGTTTGGACAGCATTTCGTCTTCGGGAGGAACAGGAGATTCCAGATCCACGAGGATTTTGGAATTTTTTGTTAACCTCGAACCTGCGTTTTCTGCAGTTTCTCCATGAACCTCAGCCTTACTCGGACGTACTGGGAATAATTGCAAGATACCGGAGATCTTTTGATCAAGTGTCTCTTCGTCTTCGACCTTCTCGAGTTCCCGGTATTCCTTCAGGACTAATTTTGGGGCTTCGTAGCCGGCCGAAAGAAGCTCATTCAGCGGAATCTCGACCATGTACTGCCCAATATTTGCCTTCCTTGTCCTCAGGCCGTAAATATCTGGAAAACAGGGACGACATGAATCAACGGATCAGCAATGTCGTAAGCTGAAACAGTCCTTAAAGAGGGAAGCAGACTTGAAGAATGCAGAGGAACAAGGAACACACTGTGCAAGTTTCTCTCATTCTACAAAGCTTCGGTCCAAGGAAGGTCTAACATACCGAGCACACCGCCGGTCCAATCGGCTGGAAATCCATTAGCTTCCGCGACTCTCGTCGCATGGGGGACTCCGTTGTAAGGTGCGCATGGAGTCTCACTTACAGATGGTGGAACGGGTTGTGGCTGCTTCTTCTCACCGCGTTTACTACCCTGCCCGCTCTGTCGTCTACCAGTTGACTTCTCTGCCTTCTCTGAATTTCAAGGAAACAAATAAATGCGTCAGAGAAGGTGCAACTGAGCAGAATCAATATTCATCCATCCGCATCAAGAATTCTATCCGAAAAAAGCCTCCACGTATTTACGAGATCCAATAAAATACTTGCAAAATTAGAAGATGGCAGACCGAACTGACCTCCAATGCTGTTGTTTTGCTGACGAGCACCACCATTGGCAGCAGTGGCCCTGCCAGTGGATTGAGCTCCACCACCTCCGCTGAGACTGCCCTCCAATACACTTCCAGTTGTAAGAGAGTCGGTCATTTGGCCTCCTCTCGTTCTCTTCCGACCGGTTGTTGCACCACCTCTACTTCCCCTGCCACCTCCTTCTCCTCTCCCATTCCTCTTGGTTTTCTCCATGGTGCCATCTCCGAGCAGCGACGATGCCGACTCACCAGGTGTTTGATGTTGAATTATTCCCGTCATGTTGAGTGGTGACACGGCCATTGGGTGCATGTATGGCCTTCCAATTTCCTTAAAATGTTCTTCAAGAGACCTTCCGGCGAGCCCAGCACCTGCATCGTGAACAGAGCTTTGAGTTTGGGTCTCCAAAAACTGCTCTCAGCTGGAAAGATAAGACTCATCACAAACAAATCTATACACATCCTTGCGTGAGCACGTTTGTCCCGAAGAAACATGGACACAGTGAGGCGAAGAAGAGCATCAGCTTTGGACGAGGGGCTGAAGAGAAACTCTTCAGTCAGCCGATCAATGATAACGCCCCGAAAATTCACTCAATCAGGACATCCCAACACCCGGCCCCAGCCCCGACAGCGAGAAAGATGCATCGTTCACTCAATTGGTACGGCGCTCATCGACGGGGTACGACTTTTTTATACAACAGAAACGTTCTTATCCACGCTTGACCAGAAGTCAAACTCAAGCTCAAACTCAAACCGAAACGCCCACCCATCCCCCCACCAGCGCACTCATTCTAGATTGGGTGCGTCCCATGGTCTGCACGAGTCCGTCCTACCAAGGGATCCCCAGGTCCCCTCACTCAGACAGACCCTGTTTGAGGTGCCCTCGCTACACGGCCGCTCGAACGATAGACAGTAGAGCGGTAGCACTGACGTCGACACGACCTGCAAAGATGGCTGAAGGAAGGTACCTTGCTGCTGAGGCACGGAAGCCCTGTCCAACGAAGCAACTGCTTTGGCATGATTCACAGGAAAGACGGGAAACGAGGTGGGCATCGGTCGATATGCTGCTCCGCCGGGCCCGCTTGCGCTGAAGGGAACTCTCATGGTATCGGAAGCCATGATTTTGTCGAACATTGCATTCGCGGTGGGGACTTGACATTCAATGTAATCCATCGAGGTCGTCTTCGGTCCCAGATCTAGATAAGCACCTGCGCGGCACGGTAGGTGCTTCAACACACGCCCAGCACGGACACGGGCGCAAGTATAGTGCCTGTCTTGGCTCACGTCGTAATGGTTGGAGATGTTTCTGCCGACTCGGTCCAGAGGCCTACTGCCTAAACAACGCAAACCAGGCGCTGCGGTACACCCTCCTGCCGCGCTCACGTCGTGAGAGTGCAGGCAAGTGACAGATAACGCTCTCTCGAACGCATATGAGATGCCTCTTTCCAAAAATGCACGGTCCTCCGAACTTCTTCTGCCATTAATTGGCCCACTACGCTTCTCTTCGGGTACGGTAGATCTGCTTTCACCACTTCTCTCCCGGCCGGCTTCACATCATAAATTCTGCATCCAGACAACCACCGAGGTGCAACGCAGAGTCAGAACACCCGTGTGAAACAGAGAAGCTGCTGCCTCGACCGGCGAGACCAATTGCACTGAACTTCGACAGCAGCAGTCACCGCACGACACAAACGCACTAGTCAATTCCCAGCGTCGACGCAATTCCAGTACAGAGGGCCGGGAGGGGCTCATGAGCCCGGCAACACGTCCTGAAACCAGGACTCTTATAGCTAGGGGATGATGATGCCTTGGGTCAGGGTGGCCAAATGGCCGGCAAGTGTAAGGTCGTCGGTTCAAGAAAAAGAGGGGCCACCAGGCATTGAGGGCCCCTACACTGCGAGCCGGAGCGGCACGCATTCATCTGTAGGTGGCCACGACAATTTGGCAAAGAACAGACCAAGAAGGCCGACGGGGAACAAGAGGAACTCCATAGGAGCTAGTGGGACAACAAGGTCCCATAATCTGGACGCGACCTGGATTGACACCAATTTGGAGAAAATCCATGATGGTGCGAAATGCGTCGATTAGCGCAACACACAAGCCACTCGGGTGCTAAGAGGCAACGGGAAGGACTGAGGAATATGGAGGCCATTTAGGAGGCCAGCACCTATGCAATAGGTGGCTCTCCGACAAGATGGGGAGCTTTCAACCATACGGCCAAACCGGAATTTTCACCCCGCACGACGAGAGAGTCGACCGACTCGACGGGAAAATGCTAGGCTACCGAGAATAAGAAAAAGGGTCCTCAGAAGACAGGGCGGGAAGAATCAGACACCGACGATGGTCTCTGCGAGTAATCTTGCCAGCCAGCGCTTGTGCTCGAGTGATTCCGTTTCCGGGACGGCGGCCAACACAGCGACATCGGCTTGTGAACTGCAGGAGACGAGAACCGGCGAAGAATCTGTAATACCTGTGAGAAGAGGACGCCGTAGCAGCATCCAGGTTTGAACAACTCTTTTCTCGTATCTGCAAAAAGGCCCACAAGGCAAGGGCGCCATCTTTGACTCTCTCCCTCTCCCTCTCCCCCCTGGCCACTCCCTCTCTTCGCGCAATCTATCGGGACGGTCTCGACAGTGGCGTGTGACCCTCACCGCTTCCTATCCTTTCCCTCGCTGCTCTTTCACTCACTCAATGAACCTGTCTGCCGTCCGAGGCAGCCACCGCTCGCTCTTCTCACCACTTCGCTTCCACCCTGCCTCTCTCTGTCTCTGTCTCTCGCTCTCTCTATCTCTCTCGTCTGTGGGAGGATGTCTGTCTGTCTGTATATCCGTGTGTCTGTCCGTCTGTCCGTCTCTCGGCCTTCACAATCTCTAATGAGCGTTCTCGTGCTTCCTTCGTCCCTATTCGGCTTTTGCTTTCTCACAGCCTCTCGGTGGCTCTCAGCATCTTTCTACGGCTCCCATCCTCGTTCTCCCAGCCAGCAAAAATAAACAGGCACTGGTTCCTCTTCTTCCCCTCCCTCCCTTGATTGAGCGACAGGTTGGTGCTATGCACGACACGAGTCGCTGCGGTTCATCACAAGAAGATGCAACCCAGATGTCACTACGCTGACGAGAAGCCGAGCGACCTGTCTGCTGCGAGAAGCAGCACAAGGAGGAGCGCGGCGGCGTCGTCGTCGTCGTCCACGAAGGAAAGAAGAAGAATAGGAACTCTGCAAGGCCACCACCGCACTCCAGGCGAAGGCGACGCGAGGCAAAGCGTGAGCGAGGCAGGCCACCGAAGAACCAACGCACACTCGCAGCCTGCAGCACGGACCAGAGAAGAGGAGAGAAGGAGAGAAATGTTTCTTCAGAGCATGGGGGAGATGAGAGAGGGAGAGATAGAGCACAACTCCGACGACGACGACACAACAACAGCAACAGGCGCACCACCACAACAACAACAACAGCACCACAGGGCAGTGATGAAAAGGAGGCAGGGAGGAAGGAAGGAGCAGAGATGGTCTGCCGAGACAGAGGAGGAGGAGGAGCAGGCGACGAGAAGGGAGGCGAAAGGAAAGGAGAGAGCGGATGGCACTGGAAGAGGGGAGGGGGAGGGGGGGGGGGGGGGGGAGAGAGAGAGAGAGAGAGAGAGAGAGAGAGGAGAAGAGTGGTGCTGGTGGTGGGCCCGAAGCAAAGCGGAAGCGGAAGAGAGCCTTCGCTTCTTTTTCCTTTCCGTCTCGCCCTCGCCCTCACCCTCCTGCTTCCCTTGCCTGCCCCTCCCTTCCTGTCTGGGAAAGCAAAGCAAGCCCGAGCCGAGCCGAGCACGGCCCCGGCCCAGGCACCAACACACAGACAACAGTGGGAGGCGCTGCAGCAGCAGCAGCAGCAGCAGAGGAGGAGGAGGAGGAGGTGGCTGGCTGGCTGGCTGGCTGGCCATAATTCAGATCAGATGGGGATGAGAGCGAGGCGAGCGACCGAGTGGAGCCATGGACGAACTCGGAGAGCGCCGGGGGCGAGATAGAAAGCGAAAGCGGAGCGCCCGCCCGCCACCAAACCCATCCAGAATCCTCGGACGTCGCGAAGACCGAAGTGGGGGAGCGAGGGGGGGGGAGTGGGGAGGGGGGAGGGGGGAGGGAAGGAGTGGGGACCGAAAGGGCCGGGAGGAGAAGATATGAGCAGGGCAGGGCAGGGCAGGGCAGGGCAGAGGGCGGAGCGGAGCCGGGACCGTGCCTTCGCCTGGCCTGCCCGCCCGCCTGCGTGCCCGCCTGCCTTCGTGCCCGGCGTTCTTCCTTCTGGTGTCGTAGGGGCCTAGGCTCCGCCTACTTCTCGGCCCTCGTCCTCCGGTGCTGTTGCGCTGCTGCTGCTGCCTGCTGATGAAACCGGCTGTGCCGGATGTGGCCTGCTGCCCAGCTTTACCGGCCCAGGCCACGGTAAAAAGCCAGGCGCTCCTCGTCCGCCTGACATACATCGCCATGCCTTTCTGAGCCTGCCTGCAGTAATAAATTCTCCCGAGATGGTAAACCCTGACGGAGAGGGTGGGAGGGCCCTATTCTACAGTGTCTCTATCCCCCGCGGGCACCGCAGGCACGGCATGGGGTGTTCGCCCTCCGCCTCGGACTTGCCTCGGTGCCGACCCTACCTACTCCCTCATCTCCCCTGCCCCACCATCTCCGGTCCGGCCGGTCTCCTTTCTGACCACCACCTTCTCCCAGCCTCCTCCTCGCTCTCCCACTCCGCCGGCGGTTTCGCCTTTCTCTGTTTCGGTCGCCTCCGGCCACCTGCGCATCGTCGTCCGCCCCGTCTCCTCCCGATCCTCCGATACCGATGGCCTCCCGCCGGCGAGCTTTTACCGCTGCCTGCCTCGCTTCGCTGCTTCCGTCCTTTGGACTCCTCCTGGTCCGGGAGGAATACCGTGCCGCTTGACTTGGACACGGCCTGGCGGAGCGAACGAAGCAACGGAATGGGCACCTTTGCTCTGCTTTCCTTCCCTCCCTCCTTCCTTCCTGAATCCTGATGTCTGTCCGTCTTTCTTTTCGCCTTTCTGGGAATAGGACAAGGAGAGAATTTCCTTTTACTGCAGAGTATAATTACGAGCTCCACTCAATACCAATGCCATCGCCATCCCCCCATGAAGGGCCATGGAGTCATGGACTCATAACTCCATGGGCGGAATGAATGCACCACCTCTTGACTCATGGAAAACTCTTTCCTCCGTGACGTGGCCAGCCCAGCGCTGTTTGCATTGGTCCGCCGCGCTCGACTGGATAAATAAAATATTCACATAATAATAACCTGGAGACTCTGGAAGAGTAAAGGCCGGCCTCGCTTCCTTCTCATCTCTTCCTTTCTCCTTCCTTCTTTTATCTCATCCCGTCTCATCTCCCGCGGTACAGCAACCCGGTCGGTCGGTCCCGAAGGTACAAACAAGACATGCGCACGCGCACCCTAACGGAGACAGCTCAGCTTCTGGTTTTCCCTCCCCCGATGACATGGCACTGACCCGCGCTCGCCACCGCATGCCATCCCTCGCTGTTCTGGTTTTGGTTCCGACTTATGCCGCTACTTCCCTTCCTTTACCGGGCGGGGAGGGGGGAGGGAGCGAGAGAGGGTTGGTTGGTCGCGGAAGGAACGCATTGAGCAAATCGACCGTAACGGATCTCAATTTGTCTGGCTCTGCACTTTGAACGACTGTACACACAGCCTCAGATTGTACCCTGTGGAGCCTTTCTATTTTGGGAAACGGAACTGGTTCGTTCCTATACTTTTCGCTTATAGAATTTTAGCGTCCTCGTTCTCGGCCATTCCATTCCCCTTCCTTCTTCGGCTCGAAATATACGCGCCCAACAGTTTGCTGCAGCTACGACGAGCCAGCGGAAATGTCCGAGCGAGAGTCGTTCGTACGCTTTTGCTCGAGCCCATTAGAAAACAATAGAGGTCGGCGTTTGTTGCAGATGCCAAGGGGCGGAGAGGAATATCGAGCCGGTCTCTCTCGACTGCGTGGCAGGCTTGGCGGACAAGATTATTCGGCCTCGACGCGAGAAGGAAGAAAGTACGACTTGCCGAGGGGGTTGCTGGGGGTCGGAGAACTGGCAAAGACCAGTTCAAAAGGCGCAGCTTGAACTCTTTCACTGGACGAGAACGTCAAGGTTTGTTCGACGGCGACCGATGGAGCGCGAGCGATCGGTGTTTTCTGCTGGTCACGGCATGAACCGGAGGGCGACAGATATTTGGGGCATCAGGTTTCGGAATGAGGGGCGACTCGCGACGATCGAATCGGATGAATGGGTGGATTGTGTTTCCCCGGAATCATGACGCTGTTACCATCCCCATGCTGGATACACATGGGGGAGCAGCCCCGGTGAGATAGTTTAAAGCACATGGGAAAAAGACCACCCACATCTGCCCTTTTCGTGAAGATCACAATCTTGGTGACAATGGAGTACGAGAATGAACTTAGGGATAAATGTTGGGTTGGGTTGGGTAACGTTTGTTTGTTTGTTTTTCTTTCTTTTCGTTGATGACGTGAGGTGGGAACTGGGTCAAAATCTACGAATCAAAGGAAAGGTAAACGATAGGGTTGTCGTTTCAAACTCCTCTCTTCTCTCTCGCTAGGAAATCTCTGCGAATTGACCAGTTCGTTCAGTCTCCTCTCTCTCTCTCTCTCTCTCTCTTTTCTTGTCACTGTTCCTTCCAAGATCACTCACTACAAACCCATGAGTCAGTAGCATGTCAACCTCTATCTACTCTCGAACAAACAATAATTCAACCATAACCCGACAAAATCCAAATTTGCATCGAGTACCTACTAAATCATCCTGAAAACTTCACTTATCTCGATCCTGAATAAAATCGTCGGAGGAAAAGGAAAATAATACTGGCGATCAGGAGGTGATTTCCTTTACACCTACTTGGCTGAACAGTTTAGGATAAATCCAGATCTTTCGGACATCTAATGGGCCATGATCTTGTGGCTAGCCCGATAAGGCAAGGCGGAGCGCGAGGTTAAAGATGACAGAGAAGTCATTATAATATCAATCATCCGAGAAGAGATGCATCGTCCTTGTGTCTTAGAAAGGTACTCAATAGGCGAGATGAATCAATCCAAAACGAGTGTCCTACTTTCCAATTCTCTTTGATGAAACAAATTATCAAGAAGGAAGGTGGAGGGTGGTGAATGCGGTTGGGAAGAAGCAAACAAAAACTCTTTCACATATAAAATGTAAAAAAGTATATATTTCTAATTATTGGTAGGAGAACAGGACATTGCTGTCCTTGAGGAAGTATTCATCATCTTCTTTGCCCAGTCCTTTCCCTCTCTCAATCTCGTACCCTCCCTCCAGGCGAGAAGAATTCCGAGATTATTTACATTCGTTTCGCAATATTTCTTCAAAAGTACACAGAAGCTTACAATCTTTTGTTGCCGCCCCCTTGCAAGAATATTTTGTATCTTTGAAAACCTGATGACAATAGATTAATATTCCATGCAATTTCACATTTAATAAAATACAAGAGAACGATAAAAAAAAATTACGCATGACAGCCTCGATCTACGATTTATCGTTTAGCACCGATGGACTACTGTTGAGGAGAATGGACGGCATAATATGTACATAGTTTTGAAGGGGAAAATTTACTCACAAGACATTGCATTATTATCCTGGGTAGTGAATATGTATCTTTTGAGAAAACATAAACATAAATTTCTCGGGTTCTTATATCAAATGGAAAGTAACAAATGGTGAATGATGGTCATAATTTAAAATACCTAGCAAAGAGGAAAAAAGAGCAAATTTTTTTAATCAAGTTATGGGTATTATTTGTGTAGATTATAATGTCATTCACTATGAAATGAACATGCGATAAAAGAACATGTGTGTGTATATATATACACATACATGCATGTATACATCTTCTTTTACAAGTAATGTCTACACATACACGCATGTTAAACTAAAGGAATCCATTGAATATGTTTTAAACATCAAATATTAGACTGCTAAGTTGCCTTTGAATAGATGATATTCGATACAATTTTTTGTTAATGGTGAGTCATTATAAAAATTCTCAAGCCATACAATACTGCTTCATTATCTTTGCACAGTTTAGTTGTTATATTCCCCTCCCTATATATTCAAAAGATAAGAATAAGAATAAGAATAATTTAGTAAACTAGCCTTGGCTCCGCAAGGCTGAAAAGACACACACTAAAATTATCCATAAACGTAGGAGTTTTAAAAAACCAAAATCATTACATTCAAAGTTATAGATCCGAAGGATTTTTATTTTCTAAAATGTACGATTATCGTTGTTCTAAAACCTTTCAAAACAAAAATAATCGATTTTTCTGGAAAATTAATTCAGAAAATTATTTCCAATAATTTTTGAAACAATCGAATGAGATGGAGGTCAAGACATGACGCACTAACTTACGAATCGAGAGTAGAGTGAAACATATATTTTATACGAAATTGATAATTTCTCTGTTATACATATATGAGGAGGGTCACCATTAATCTTATATTGATATGTATGATGCAAAAATTGCCCAAAAGAACTGAACATTCACTTTTACGAGAACAATGATACTTGAAAAAAATGCAAGTCTTATACTTAACCTGTGTATAAGTATTCTTGTTCAAATTCAACTATGACTTGAACAAGAATAATAATCTAAGTGATTTAGAAATGTTAAAATAAGACGTTTCAAATTAACAAATTTCTTCAAGTGTTGTTATTTTGAAAAACCTCAACCTTTCCAGACGAAGTAAACGCGATTATCGAAAATAGTATCATCTCAAATGAAAGGTTGCGCAATGTGAAGCAAAACGTCATTCGAAGACTCAAATGATGTACATCGTACTACTCGACCGAACCCAAAGGAAATAATAAAAGAAAGAAAGACTACACAAACTGCAAAACTGCAGAAAACTGACTCGTGAGCTGACCTGAAATGTGAATTGTGCAATAAAGTACTAGGTCGAAGCTACGGGGCAAAAGGGTAATGAAATCGTCAGCCTAGGCTACGGGCCCAACCCGAGAGAAGTCCCGTCAGCCTAGTTCCCGGGCTAGGCTGAGACCCGAGAGCGGGGACGAGTAATGCGAGCTAGATCATCAGCGTAGCCTTGCAAGCACACACATCAGAAGTTATGGGTCCTATTGCGGGATTGGATGGGGTGCGATGCCATGGCCATGCGATGGGCGCCGCGATGGAGTAGAGTGGATGGGGGCGGGAAACCTACAGTATCGTCTGTCTGTCCGGTGGGGTGGGGACCGGGGCGGAATCCCGTCCACCATATCGGGAAATCCAATTGGGGCATGCGGAAGATGAAGCCGACGCTGCCAAGGGCGTCGTCGACGTTGCCCGCGAGGAAGAACGGAGGAGGAGGACGGGCGGGCGACGAAGGAAGGAAGGAAGAGGTAGGGAGAAAAGGACAGGGCGGATAAGTGGCCCAAAGGACGATGCGAGCCCTACACCATTCTTCTTCTGGTGCAGCGCCGAAACCAAACCGCACATGGCTTCGCCCGTGTTGGCAGCAGCGTGATGCGGTATGGGGTGAGAGCTTTTCGCGAGAAAGGCCCCCGCGCCTGCGGGTGGCGTGAAGCACAAGACGCCTTGCCTTGCCATGCCACGGGACAGCGCAGCACGCAGTCGATACGATCCCGCTTCGCAGACGAGCTCCTGCGCTTGACACCAATCCCCTTCCCGTCCGAACGTTGTTCCGCAGGTCTCTCGGCAAATCGGAGCTCATGAACGTTGTTGCGCTGCTCAACCGTCAAATTGGAGCGCGTGCTCGCGAGGAGCGATCGATAGTCCAAGATGCTCGCGGTGAAGGTTTGCAATCGACTCCTAGTCGATTCCGCCCACTTATTGGCCCATTCTGATGAATTATGGAGAGTTGGTCCATAATTCATCCGCACGGATCAATAATCGGGATACGGCTCTGCGCTTCAGGGATTGCGGTCACCAACTGCATCGAGCTCAACGTAGCGGTTCAGTTGTGTTGCGAAATTACAGCCATTTCCCGCAGGCCCTGCGGTTTGAGATCGAGTCTAACCCACCAAATTTGGCATTGTCATGTTTGCATTGGTTCAGTGTGTTGCGAAATTGCAGCCATTTCCCGCAGGCCCTGCGGTTTGAGATCGAGTCCAACCCACCAAATTTGGCATTGTCATGTTTGCATTGGTTCAGTTGTGTTGCAAAATTACAGCCATTTCCCGCAGGCCTGCGGTTTGAGATCGAGTCCCACATACCAAATTTGGCATTGTCATGTTTGCATTGTCATTGCTTCCATTTTATTGCTCGGAAGAATTCAGTTTCACTTCGCAATTATCGGTCTAGAGGCGATTCTGAATTGCCTACTACTCTCTCTGCCTCCTGTGTCAAGGAATGCGGTTACCCACCGGGAGAACGAGCTCAACATAGAAGTAAAGTTCAGGGTGTCGCCCCGTATCCTGCTCTGCTCGTTCGACAATTCCGAGTGGTCTACACTCGTAGCGGTTCCTCTCATCATCACAGATCCTAGCGACGAGGTAGGCGTGTGTTTGTCCCTAGGGGCTACTACTTCATTCTAGATGCGTTTGTTCTTCCGAACGCTCAGGTCCTGATTTTCTCGGCACATTTGGCAGAAGTCGGACCCTCTGGACCAGCTTTGTTTTCGGCATCGGGGTTTTGCATGTCGTGACCGGCGTCCGATCTCGGATCCTCTTGCAAACTCCGCAACTGCCAATCGACATACCGCGAGCTGTCAGTCGCCGGACAAGACTTGTTCTTCTCTAGACAATGTTCATTCCCTCTAGAATTCGCCACTTAGCGATGGATTTGTCGATGCTTAGACGTACCCTCGTCACGCTACCTATGATCGACTCATAGGGCGGCGTTGAGCCTGGCCATCGTCGGGTCGGCGAGTGGGTTGCCGAGTCCCTGTCGGGCTTCCACATTAGGGCCAAGCTTACAGCGAACACGGGGCCTTGGAAACAACAGCTGTTCGTTTTTCTCGGAGCCCCTCGTAACGTCGTGGCAGCTCGTGATCACGGTCGGTTTACGACAAAGACAAAGTTCTTAGGCTGTGAATGAAGGTACAATGTATCTCGGCCGGCTTCGGGGCACGCTTCCGGACTTACCTTGGCTTCGCGTGATGATGGGCGAAGGCAAGAATGAATTGAGCAGCGAGGGGCAAAGTGGAATAATGTCATGAACACATTGGGTCCTGGGTGGTGGTGGTGGCCACTAATGTCAATGCGCTAAAGTCATGAGTTGGGATGAATCTATAAAGTGCACAACGTAGACGTCCGTATTCGTGCGCCGGTAATGATGCTTAGGTACACAAGCGAAGCGAATGCCACTTAGGTCTCGGACTACCAGTTGGAGACTTGCTTGCACAACATCCATAATTGAGGAGAGAGGATTAGCTGCATACCAGTGGTCTGAATTTCCGCGCCCTGAGGTTGACAAAATGATTTGTCACCTGTAAACCACTTCAACAACTCAGTACGGCGATAATTCAGGCAGGTCTGACAGTGCACGAATCATCTGACGACAATTTAGCACGCCCTCAGCTGCAGGATCCGTGATCCCCTTGCCGTAGGTGCAGTCAACTGAGCCTGCCTGCCTGCCTGCCTGCCTGCCTGCGTCCCTCCTGCTGCTGCTACTGCAGCTTCTGTCTCTGCTGCGTCAAGATGTCAAGTACTGATCCAGTGTACACTGATTCTAAGGCTTTGGGTTGGGGGAGAGGCCTACAGATACTCTACTCACCTCACCGCCTCAGGCTCAGGCTCAGGCTCAAGGAGGAAAGTGCAAAGAATGCTTACTCTCAAAAGCACATCGCTCATTCATGCAAGCATGCCGTAGAAGTTATCGTGAGGCCATAGTAAGGATGCCCTCTGATTGTACAAGGACTTGACAACGAGTGTGATGCAAGCTTGTGCTGGGAACCCTAAAACCATCAGAAGTCTGAGCAGAGCATTTCTATGAGCTGCTTTTCGGCAATATGCGCCCTTTCTCTAGCTCTAACTGTCTCCAGAAAGCCAACTGTTCTAGCAGTAACAGTCAAAAGCCAGGAACCGATAATGTCTCCAATGTGCTGAGCACAATCTGCAGCGATTAATTCCACGCCAGCTCCCTTATTGTAGAGCGCTTGGCGTCGGTGCACTAGCCAACCTTTTCTTTTCGCCGCGAGGGTTCCCCTACACCCCCCGGGGCCCCCGAGCCCACAGAACAGTTGCATTTGATTGGAACAGAGGGGAGCCGAGATGACACACCTGCTTTTCTGTGATGTTGAACATCGTCGCTATCATAAGCTTCGTTTCCCTCGTTGGATTGCTGCAGGTCAACAGATGCAAACAGTGACGGTGAAAGCAAATAGTGTATGGTCAACCTGCCCAGACACATACGGACACAAAATGCTCCTCGCTGCCAATCACGACCCCAGCAACGCTTAGACGTGACTGACCTAGTTACAAACTGTTTCGCCCCGGACTGCGACTTCGTTACCAATGCTTTGACTATTCTGGAGGAGGCCCCGCAATCCTCAAGCATTTCTACCCATGCATGTTCCAGATAATTTCCATTCACCACCTCCTTCAATTTTTACACGGATTATATGATCTAAGCAGGAACCCCAAAGAAAGTCTCCAGCAGTTTTCGGTGCAGAACTTAGAGAGAGGAATATTCAGAGGCAGATGCATTGTCAAAGAAATCCGGGTAAAGTTAATCTGAGCTTCCAGTTCCATGATTGAAACGCGCAGACCATACAAACAAGCTACATGTTCAGACAGCCATGAGATTGTTGGTCTTGGGAACAGTTGCTCCAGTTGACACTGTGGACAAGCCCGTCTTCATTAGCTGCAAGAGGCGCGAATTCAACAAATCCTTGCGTCAAACAGGGGATCGCCACTTACGGATTCTGGAAGTTCTGGAATAGCCATTGACGCATGTAGTCAGCTGCCACCTTGGGCAGATTACCCCTGGCTCCGGACAGCTCCTTGCGTGAGGCCATTCGGCTCCTGTCACTTGTTTCAACGACGGGTGACGTGCCCGCGTTGGCTTCTCCCAACACTTCTACTGGAAGCGGCCCTCGGACTTTGGCATGTACATCGGGTGCACCCCCTGTGTTGCTCGAATTCTCGTGACCTTGTTGCCCTGATGATGAAGACGCCGATGACGCTGATCGCTTGAAGAAAAGACTACATCCTCGGAAGTACTGACAAACGACGTTTTCGAGATCCTGGTAGTACTTGCTTGGAATTGCTCTCTGCAGCCGCATTCTGATGATTAGGCGCTTCGATCACAGCAGTACAGCATGCAACGATGAACATGACATGACCACTAGATGTCGGATTCACGGCCGATGTGTGCACAATAATCTTTTACGTCGACAAATCGAAACCTAGAAATGACCAGTGGCAGTCAGCCCCATTGAGCCAAGAGACCGAAGACTGATCATGCAATCTATGTATTCCGGTTTAAGCCCTCGTCTTCCATCATCGAGTACAGCATTGAGGACAAGGAATGTTTTCTGTGTGTCGCGGCCTTTTCTAGCTTTCTGCAAGGCTGACACATGCTCTGAGCTGGTTTCACTCTTGCAAATTCAGCGGTCATCTAAGATCTTCACTTTTGCAGGCAGCCTTCTGGTCTAGAGTCGACTATTCACAAGCGGACCGATTCTTTTCCGATTGTTGACATGATTTTAAAAATTGGCAAACAGTGGGAGTGGTTTGGATTCCACCATAGCAGTAACTTAAGTCGGTACTAGACGGGGAGTGTTCCGACAGACTGTCAAATGTGGGTGAAAATCGGCGACCTACGACTCTTGTCTGTGGCCTTGTCGGTGCGAAGTACTAGCCAGAATGTATGATTCGCTCTCAATCCGGGAAAAAATCGCCATCAAAGAGAAGGGTTTTTTTGGTGTGACAAATTGAACTTGTGAATGCAAATATTAGAGTCTTTGAACCTTGTCGAATGAGTCGCTTGCTGAGCTTGGGAAAAGAAAAGAGTATCTCGTGAACGTGTCTCTCAATTGCGCGAGGGTCGAACGTTCGTGATTGCGACTTTCTTCCATGAGAGAGGCGAGGCGCTGCATCGACGAACCACACGATTAGTACGTGTCCTGCAGGATTTCAGCAGATGCAGAGTGATTCTTTACTCTTGCAATTGGACCAGATTTACTCTCAACGAGCTCGAAGAGCGCGCTCTAGGCATCAGATGACATGAGCGCAGTACCCATTTCAGCTGCAAAATCTGCTCAACCATGTCTGGGTTTGTTGCCGCCGGCTGCTTGCCATGTCCGATCTTGATCACTGTCATGATGAAACCTTTGACCTCTGGGCCCAAAGCGTCCCCGATGCAGAGGGCTTCGAGTTCCGCGTTGAGCAGGTCCGTCACCGAAGGCCGTTGGTTCTGCAGCTTCTTCGCCTTCTGCCTCACACATACAGCCTTGCAAATTACACGATTGCTGGATGCTCGACGAATATATCAGAACGTGAACGGCGAGCTGGATCATGGACGACCACTGCAAAGTTGACGACTGCTTTCGTCCTTTTTGCGTGTTCTATCAGAGTTGCCTAATGGATTGCACGGTCAGCATCAACGACAAGGCCATCATCAGCATTTAGCGTGGCGCATACTTTTGGGAGCCAGTCAAATCGGTGTCAACGACGGTTGGGAAGAAGAGTCTTGTTCAAGGATCACCTCTCTTCGAGACAGAAGGCCAGAGGCCATTCTCGGACATGAAGGTCAAATTGGTTTCGACCCTGGACCCTGGGCCCTGTCCCGATAAGAAGGGACTGGACGCTCCGATTCCAAGTCTCAGTTACAACCGAGGGCGTTAGGCCGCACTGATGCTCTACCCCTGTCAATGTTGCCCCGATTGGACGCGGGTCACAGCAGTGGTCTCTTCACCCTGTTGGGTCACCCGTGGACCTTTTGATTGGATGCTCTCGTGGGGAAAACTGAAGCACTGCCATGCTTTTAGATGATGATACTTTTAGAGGAAATCGGAACGTGACTCAGTCAATGTCGACAGTTCTACTCAAGTACTCCACTCTTCGTCCCACCCCCATCCCCATGTGACGAGAACAGAATCTCGTCGACTCCTGAGATTTAAGCTACACAGTTCACAGGTCCGAGAGATGCTGTGCAAGGGAGAGGGCCCTTGTTCGTTTCTTCGTTTCTTGATGGACGTGCGGGAGCCACATTACTTATTCACTGGCATATTCTGGCTCGTATCCAGAAGAAAACCTGCAACAGGGAACATTACTCGAAAGTTCCACCACTCACAGTACGAGACCAGTCAAGGACGTAATACTCAAGCCTACGTCGCTACAACACTCGCATACGGTGAGCTGTACCTCTTCTCTGTCTCGACCACTACAAACTGGACTCCGTGATCAGATTTGCGAGTTCATTTTCTGAGCTTTTCGTGATCAAAGCCTGTAATCGAGGGTCCACTTCAAACTCTCTGTCCCCACCTAGGCAACTGCGATGCGAAGCTTGAAGGTAGAAAATCGGGGCTTCTCCTTGAGGGGATAAAGCGCAGCTGCAGGGCTGATTAGGCAACAGGAAGTCAGTACTCTGTCCAATTGTCTTTTTGGATGAGTTTTGGAGGAAAGTGTTAGCGTTGCTGTCATGGGCTGGGATACGTGGATAGTGGAACAATTGGTCCTTCTACAGGAATTGGGATTGGACTATTGTCCACATAGGTCTGCAACATGATTTTAGGCACGGAGTGTTGGGTCTTACCAGAATAAGACCGGCACTTTTATGGAAATCCTCCAGCACGTTTTGCACCGCCGCCAGGCCGTAGGACAGATCTGGGTCCGTGCAAATAGATGTTCCCCGGAGTCTTCCCTCGGGAATTTCCTGGTCTTTCTGCTTCTTCTTCCGCAATGAGCTTGTTGGCCTCGAGAGCATTTCAGTGGAGTTCGTCCGATCCCGCTTGCTGTTCTGCAGTATATCTTCTTCTGAAACATAACTTACCGTTAGTCTCCTCCGCAAGTCAAAACCATGTGTTGACTCCCCAGGACGCAATTCTCCTCATCTCCAACAATTCTATTACCAACTGTGACCGACGTGTTCTCCTACGAATCGAATCAAATTTCCATTGGGCATCTCGCGAAACAGAGGAACTTAACGTACTTGCATGCTCTTGCAACCAGGCGAGTCGAGCATCACGAACATGTTTGTTGTCCTCTTGGGAAAGGTCGAGCGAGTCAGGAAATACGGTCTGCAGCATTTCCAGCATTTCCGTCCTTCCCTGTTCTGCAGAGACCCGCTGGCAAATGGAGATTTTGTCAATTTGTGATGTTGTAGAGACTGCGATTTGCTTGCCTTTGGCACATGGAGACATGGAGCAAGTAGGGGATCCGCGTGATTCCAGCCAGTCTCCTGAGGAGGCACAAGGTTCGGCTGGTACCCCGTGTTTTCTAGCAGTTTTCTCCGGTTTTGCATCGTCTACCGCTGCCGTGACCAGTGATGAGTCCGTGGTTTTCCATGTATAGGACGAGGTGCCTGCCTCGGTGGGATAGGATGGTGTTAGAGCCTGTTCAGAGGTGGGACTTCCAGGCCACACATATGGAGTGGACTGGTCCTCCAGACTATGGTAGGTGGATGAATGTTCTCCAGGCCAAAAGCTGAAACAATCTGTGGCAACATCAGGGGCACTAACGGCGTGACGGGTGGGAAATGGATTGATGGCCTCAAACTGAGGCTGCTCTGGAAGGACCGGCATCGTTGCAGAACCTTTGTAGCCACTCGTAAGGCCCACATTTCCCTCAGCGTTTGCTTCGTGGTAGTTGAGGTTCATGAGCTCATCCTGCCATTGTTGTGCATGATGGTTAAAGATCATGATGTCATCGTATTGTTCAAGTTGGAATATGGGAGATGTGGGAGCAGGTAACACTTTCTCTTGAGGATGAACTGCGGACTGAGACGTTTCCCCATGATGAATGAGATGCTGGGACACAGTTTCTGCAACAGAACTGTTGGTGACACGGAATGCGGATCTGAGCTCAGGAACGCAATTGTCAAGGGTTTGATTTCCTGAGGGGTCGGCCAAGAAGAAATGATCGGCTCTGTAATCGTCGAATGCAAACGGTTCATCGTGTTTCAAGCCTTCCAATGTTGCTATGGTCCGCTGGCCTTTGAGGTCGCAGACATTTTCCTCGGTGGAGAAGCCAATGCCGAATTTCTTGGGCTCAATTTCGGAACAAGCGACTGCTCCGGATGCAGTGCCGGGACATGCGCTCGGCACTATGTGGAACAGGGGATCATCGCTGTATACGTCTCCTGCACAGACAGAATTGATATTCTTGAAGCTCACAAACATCACATCTGACTTCCAGCACCGTTCCGACAATATCGAAGCGATGGTTACTAGGCAGACTGCTTTACGAGGTAATTCATTCATGTCGACGACTCATGTCTCCAGATAAATCTTCCCAACGCCCTCTCACATGTACCTTCTTCACTCAGTGACGCTACCGCTTACCTCCAAAGTCTCTGCAATCAGCAACCCTTGAGTCTACATCACTAGAGTTGCTACTTCAGGCCCTCCACATTTCTACTCGAGACAAACGTGTCGAATAGTTCCCACATCTTTAAAGCATCAGATTGGCCCATTAGTCTCAAATGCGTCATTTCGACCCACAAGTCCAGGGACCATTCAGATGGTTTGAAGTTTAGTTAAAAGAGCGATACGACGACTCGTGTAGCGGTTCAAACGCGGAATAGAAACGCGTGACTCCAAGCGTCCAAAGAGTTCATTGAAACTTACCATACAGAGCTTGTGCATCCCATTTCTCCTCCGAAGAGACCTTGTGAAATGATGTTAAAACAGAAATGTCTACGTTACGTCCAGTTTCTCCACGGGTGGACGAATCACTGGGATTGTTACCAGCGTAGCATGTTACGATCCGACCAGTTGGCATAGAATTTGTAAGCCCATGTTGATACCAATTGATGTAATTCACATTCTCCTTTGCAGTCCCGTTCAAGTAGTCGGACGGTGAGATTTGTGGTACGGCTGTCCTCTCACCGTCCGGTACACAGATGACTTCTGTGGGGTGATTGTTGACTGCACCGCCTCTGAGACGCCACAATTCATTAGTGGAGTCCAAGATTCGATGCAGTTCCGGAACAGCTTGGACTGGACCTGCTGACCGCTGCGTCTGCAAGTCTGAACTCTCCGATTCCTTGACGGTCGATCGGGGGACCTCTTTACTGGCCCTTGACATGGAGTCAATTCCGGGGGCTGCGGGTTGATCTTCTTGCTTCTGGGAGTGCTCGATGCTCTTATCTGTCTCAAGAGGATTTGCTACATAGACCATGTTGAGGAGTGCCTGTGTCTTTATTCAATTTTGAAGTCGAAACCTCCGCATGCTCGAATCTTTTCACTACCTTGACACGAGATTGTCCGGCTGTTCGCCTTCCCTCTGCATAATTATGCCCAATGAATGAACCTGTTTCCGCAGTGTGAACGAGATCTACCTCAGCAGCACCCTGCACATGTCGAAACACAGTTGAAATTACAACTGCGTGAATTTGATCGTACATCTCAGATGACTGGAAATCTCGTCTGTAAGACATCCCAACTCCTCAAGCATCACTCCAATAAGCATGTCGTTCTTCCTCAAGGGCCCAGGCTTTGTCTTGCGAACAAATCCTCTGAGATCAATGATGCTGCAGAAAGCAGCAGTCCGTGTCTTCCAATGTTAAAGCACAATGTTCACTGCCATCTCGCTGTGTAATCGAGTAATGCCTTCTTCTGAAACCGCTTCATTACAATTTTCTCGAAGTATGAGACCAGGCAAATCAGTGGTCACTGCGGCGGGCGTGAAATGCCCAGGGTAGTTAAACCAGAGTAAAGTCTCAAGTACGGCTGACAGTGAGAATGAGTCAGTGTACTTGACAGTCTACTTCTGCGCAATGACAACAAGCAATTAACTCTGACGGAGGGACGGATGAGTCAAAACACCTCATCAGGAATAAGATTCTTGTTAAGACAGACAAGCACGTTCAGCGCCCATCTTGTTAATGTTGATCACTTTCTTATGTTTTCAGTTCTCAGAGAATGGATTCGTCTGACGTTGACGATTAGTCTGATACGCCCACAATCTTCTTTCGAAATCCAGTAGGCAGCGTCCCGGTGAAATACTTGCGGAGTGAGGCGTTCGGTAGGTCAACGTGTTGGAGAATTAATGCGATCGAATAACGCGGAGGGTCTAATTTTCTAGTGTAGTCGATGACAGATGAGAGATTTATTGTTCCCGCCTGTCTTCAGACTCACGTTGGGATATCATCGATCTACTTAGTAGCCAGTCACACACCTCTGAGAGTGTGCAGACAACCTGCTGCTAAACAAAAGGGCAAATCCTCCGCAAGATGTGTCCGACATATTGAAGGCTACGACCCCCAGACGGAGAGGATCGCCTCTTCTGGAATGGACGTCGAGGGCAGGTACAGAATGTCCGGAGTGGCCTTTCCGAGACGGCCACTGTAAGCCTCCAGTTTGTCATTCGTTCCTGTGCTCTTCCTCCGTGAAAGCCAAGGGAGAGTGATCGAATCGGCAGAAAACGGGTTGACGAGCAGCAACGAAGTGTAGACCGACTGCCAGCCAGGAGGTCAGTGTTCAAGATGCCACATGAGCGGAGACTGGGAGACCTTGCTTCAACATGGTGCCCTCTGAGCAAGGGGGTGCGATTCTTTAGGTCTTCCGAGTCCCGTGGGGGGGCACGAGGAGGGAGAAACCGTCATAATTCTGATGAGCGTCCACAAAAGCCGTCAAGGCCGGCCACGCCAAAGGACAGGCGCGAAAACAGGAACACACGTATGCCTTTCTCGCTTATCCCACAAGCTCGCTCAGCTCAGCTCAGCTCAGCTTGCATTGAGCTCGCCCAGATGGTGGACGGTGCCACGGACAACTCTCCTAGAGCTCTGCCAGCCTAAGTTTCACCACGACAGTGTAGCTAGCCAGGCACCCCAGCGTAGACTTCGCGCGGCGGACGGTGCAAGTTTCGATCCACAAGGCCCTACACTCACTCATTCATGTGGGAGACAGAGCGACAGAACCCTGAAAATTACCGCAGTCGACCTGACGCTCCATTCTCAGCCAGCGGACCTTTTCGGTGACAAATTCATGTGGATTCAGTGACTGCTCTCTGTCTGTGTGGAAGAGCTGCAACATCGACGAGCTCCCACGCGGTCGTTCTTTCTCGCAGTCAGTCTGTCAGTCGTGGGAAATTACAGCAAATATAAGTAAAGCTAACCCTGTCTCCGGAAGGTTAGCAGGCAGTCGAGCGCTAAATTTTCTGCTCCTGCAAATCTAACCTCACCTATTGGACAAACGTATGGATGGACGGGACATGGGGCAAACACATCACCAGTTTTGTGGTGGCTGGCTAGTCCTACCTCCTGCTACGGATAGGAAGGATCGAAGTAGCCTCCTGTTCCCTGTATGATGGAGGCGGATCTCTTCACGGCACAGTCATCCGAGAACATTATGGACCTTCAATAATTGCAAAACGAGAATGAATGTATGTCGTGTACTCGAAGGATTACCAACGCTGCGGATCCTAGACAACGAACACAACAGAGTATTGGACTTCATAGATGCACCCAAACGAGTAGTGAGCATCGTCGCCGCAATGTTTCTGTCAAGCCAATACAACGCCTCGACTTCTTGGCCATGGGAGTCTGGAAGTTGAAAATACCTGGCATCATCGAAATTTGATCATATGAATGAAAGTCCTCCTCTCGCTCGAGTGTGCTGCAAGTACGAGTCGGCAGAATACTCCGGAAAGGAAGTGCGCCGCGAGACCCGAGAGGAGAAGTGCGCAAGAGGGTTTTATCGCCGCAGAACACGTACGAGGGCCGACTGGACTTTAACATTGCTGATATGTCGTGAAGAGATGGAAACCAACAGCCAGTCGTCGCCCGCACTGCAGCGAGAAAATGCAGTTACAGAGAATCGCCGCAAGTTTCTCGTTCCGTTACATCTCAATCATTGATATGTGGTAAACTGGACTCGATTCCGATTTTTGTACTTCCAGCAGTATTGCGCTGCGCGGTGGAGGATTTCAAATCGTCGTGGACAGGAAAGCTCTCGCCTCTCAAAAGGTAGTGATTGTATGGAACTCCGTGCTGGCTGCAGGGGAAATCGATAGCGTCCACGACGATTGACAATCCCGGGCCCAAATTCAGCCCCTGGGGTGACGGCCGCACTAAAACTGCGTTTCATTCTCTGCACCTGTTGTCCATGCTCCTTCCGACCTTGCCTCCAACCCCATACGGACTGTTGGCAGGCTGCGCCATATCGTCCGTCGAGCTACTCTGACGATCGAGTACAGAAGTGAAATATGAGATCTCAATCTTAGCTGGCTCCACCACAGCAGCTCAGCCATCAAGATACCAAGAATACTCCGTATGTTGCTGGCAGCGTAACGACCCCGAGTGTGTCAGCTTTACTGAGTCTAAGATCATGAACAGTTGATGCATGCCCTCTCCACACAATTGACACCTTGTGAGTTCGTTTCCAGTGGAATTTCCTCGAGTCCCACCGTCTAAGCACAAATGCGCGAGCTCAGTTTTTTGGCAGTCGGTCAATCGATACGGCAGGGAGCCGCCAGCCGTGGGACGACGAAGTGGATCGGTTGTCCCCAAGATGCAGGGTTTCGACTGTACCTAGATTCCAAATGTGTGGAGGGGCGACTGCGAAGAGCTCTGTCTAGTTGGCGATCTGCTCGCATTCCGCAGAGGGAGAAGGAGAGGCCTTCTCTTCTCGCACGGCTATGGTCATCGATTTAGGGTGTATATTCAGCTTCTTCGTCTTCTTCTTCTTCTTGTTTGACAGAAATACAGGTCAACGGTTTTGATCTCGTCGGTGCGAGCTCGTAGCTGCGTGGAGTTGGAGGCAACGAGCATCTTCAGGTCATCGACGAATCGTTAACGCGTGGATAGGATCGAAGCTCGAGCTTCGGAGCGGTTCTCAGGGTCATGCCGAGACTCGATCTGAAGTCGTCACCGCGAGCAGATCGTCATTTGGCTGCAGGCTGTTGTTGATCTCTCTGTGTTTCTTAGAAGAGCACCTCGTACGTGGAGAGATTGGCAAGCTCTGCCTTTTGACTCGTAAGATGCAATCATTTGACTTTGACTGCCGCAGCGCGAGACGCATGTCGGCAAACTGGGCAGAATCCCGATGTCCGTATGAGCCAACTCTTCCGTGCATCCATCTATGACCCAAAGTCCTTAGAGATCTAGAACAGCCAACAGCGCGACTCAGCCCCCGGCAGACGAACTGCTCTTGCCTCAAATCGAGAACATGGGCAGCCGAATCGCAAATATACTCGATCACAGCTTTGTTTCACCGCTCACTTGCAAGCCAGAAGACAACTCACGACACAAGTGTTGTGACGGGTTGCATGCTCAGCTCAGCTCAGTGTATGCAATCCTGAAACAACGGACGTGACAGTCTCATACTCGATTTTGATTCTTCTGGTGCATTGGAGGGTTTGAATTCCGGTCTCCAGCTCATGCTCCAGCTTATGATCGTTGTCATGAAACACAACAAGTATCCCTTCGTCAGGAAAGCAAGAGCAGACCAATGGTACTTGTTCGAGGATCGCGGATTTTCAGCTGGACTTTAGGTCCTCGAGAACGAATCAACCTAGCAACCAGAGCTAGGTGGTGAGTGAGAGCTCGTGGAGACTTGAAGACAAGCTGCCTAGGCTAGATAGACATGGAACTGGGCGCACCACGCGTGTATGCCACCAGCTGCGCTCGCGAGCAGTTTCAGACGGTCACCGCTGCGAAGTTTGACGAGCGGCGGCAGATAGGACGACATGTGCATTGATTGATTCGGTGAATCTCCGACCCGCGAGCCTCGAGCCTCCGGCGGCCCCATGCGCAGAGTATGTATTATACAGTATGCGAAGCGGCGAGAAAGGCTCGCAATACAGAGCCTCGCGCTTTCACCGAGCAGCGAGCGCCATCGGACGACACGACACGACACGACACGACGGCAGGGGCATGTTGGTGGATTCAACTTTTCCTCGTGGACATGCCGAAGAGATGGGCGAATGGCATACCGCAGGCTCTTGCGCTTCTTGGGCTGGAATCGTTCGCCATCTCTCGCTCGCTGTCGTACAATGCTGCCAGACGGCGCCGGGCACATCTCGAAGGCAAAGCGTGCCGACGTCAACAGAGACGACGTGGCAGCCCATTCATGCGTGTCTTGTGCGTTCTATCCTTTTCTCGACAAGCTCGCCTCTGGCCACGCACGGCAAAAGCGTCGCCCCCGCCCTCCTCGTAGACCGCAACCGGACCGGACCGGACAAACGGCTGCAGCTCGCATCTTGGCCCGATCGTCTCTCGAGCGCTCGACTGCCATCCTCTGCAGCCTCTCGGAGGACTCGCGGCGCTAGATCTCAGCTGCACACCCCCGACCCCGGCACGATAAAGCTTCACTAGAAAAATTTAGATACGAGTCTCGCGTTTGAGTCACGCGGCCTCGGAGAGCCCGTCGGCCATCAATGATCGTCCGCTTCTATAACTTGAACCGATGCGCAAAATCTGAGCCTGACAGTGACAAAGTTGAACTTAGCGAAATATTTTTCGATGCTTATCGCAAACTCGAAGCAGGAATCTCCGTCCCAGCCACTTGCCGATCGCGATGGCTGCAACGACGTCGAATGTGCGCTTCGACGCACGAGGTGTCCGATTGCATTGATTTCGAGGGCGGGTCAATCGCCGACGAGACCACCACTATCCCCGGCGCGGTAAAATCGGACGCCCTCTGCCGGCCGCGCCGAACTGCGCTGCACAGAGGCCGCCGAACGCGAACTTGCATGGAAGTTTTTCCCGAAAAATGGGGTTACGATGTAAACCCACACGAACTCGGTGATGGATTTGCAGATTATGAAGTCTTAGGCTTCGTGGACTCGAAGGCTGCAGCACAATACGTTCAATGCATGATCCGGCCTCTAAACGCAAACGAGGCCGACTTGAGCCAGTGCAATTATTTACCATGCAATCAGCACCTGAATGAAAGCTGTGAGAAGCCAACTCGTGGCTTCAGAGTCCACTCCAACATCAGATCGCTTCGAGTTGTGGTGTTCGCCGTCGGCCGAGGCTCGATGTGACAGGACAAGTCACATGCAGTCACTGGATCGCGCAGGCCGTGAAATATCTCGAAACCCAACGCCGATGGGATTCCAGTCCCATCGGCATCAGATCAGTTCAATTCGGGGTTTTGGGTTTTGTTTAATTGCCGTGCCATCCCTCCCTGACCTGTCGCCGTCCGACCGCAGGCAGGACCGACTCGTGGTGTGACGGACAGACAGTTGCACATGCGATCGGCTCTGCAAGGCACTAGGCGATCGATGCAATAAAATATCTGATGAAGTCGCGTCAGAAATTCGAAGTCCAAGTCCACATCCGCATCCGCATCGACATCTGCAGCGCTGGGCTGGGCTTGCGTTTTGATTTTCGCCATCCACAGGGACGTTGGGGAGGGGGCGCTCCTTGTCTCAGAAAGGACACTGCAGATCAGAGAGCGAAGCAGGACGCGGACAGACAGGGGAGGAGGGTAGCAGCGCGCTGTCCAGCTGGCGCTCTGCCACACCGTTAGTGAGCACGCGGGTGCGGAGTCGCCCGGCCCGCGATGGAACTGGAGTAGATGAATTTTAACGGTTGAGGTAGGGACCACAAATAATGATCGTAAGTCTTCCGATAATTACTGCTGCTGCATCTGTCTGACGGAGATAAAGTCAAAACAGAGCCCCAAGGGATCAGAAACGAGCGCCCGTCGCTGTCGAGCTCAATCCAGGGCGTGAGGATCATGAGCCGGTAAAGCTCGATGTCTGGATCACATGCACGATGCTCGCAGCTCGCGCTACAAGTCACATTCATTCGAGTCTCGAAAACTTTCGTCCACTCCCCCGACCTCCGAGCCTCCTTCCGCTACGTGCTTGCGAGTAGCTTTCACTGCTCGGGCTTGGGTCCTTCCTGCACACTTCCTCACCGTGTGTGCCTGCCAGGCTGACTGAGCGGCTGCAAGCATGTCTGTTTGTACTCGAGCTGTGCTGCGAGCAGTGTGAATGCAATCTGCGAGTCCAAGGGCCCGTTTGTTTTCTTCCCGAGTTGCGACTCGGACGCACGGTCCGACTTAGGGTTTAGCTGGTCCTTGGATCCACTGGGCTGTGCATAGCCTCGGCGATTTCCGAGCATTTGCAATCGAGCCTTCGACACAAGGCAGTGAATGAGAGAAGCATGCTCTTCTGGAGCGGCGAATTTGCATGTCTGTGAAAGTCCTGAGCACGGCGACGTTTGGACTCGGGGTAAAACCAAACCTACAGTCTCGACTCGTTCAGCTATCGATCGCGTCTGTAGTGAGGACAAGCTGCTGGTCACAGGCTCGCCCGTTTGTCAACGGGCGCGTATTAACTCGAAGATCTTCGTATTTTGGATCGAGTGAGTTCCTAGTCTCATACCAAAACGTGTCGATGAAGACCGACCGCGGTGGGTCGCGGATTCGGAGAAAGTAAATTTCATGTCATGAACAGCCGCTGCTGCAGCAGCAGCAGCTACGACAACGCAGCGAGATTCCTCGATCGTTCATGGCTCTGGATTCTGCGAGGAACCGAGTGCAAGTAGAACAACACCTCAAGTCCCGACTCCGGACATCGAGTAGATCCTACGCTACAGTCCACAATATCGAGTCCACGGATACAGAGTCGTGAGAGAGTGAGAGAGTGAGAGAGTGAGAGAGTGAGAGAGTGAGCGTCGGGCTCTCGGCCCCTCAGTGTCTCCAACTCGGCTCAAAGTCGAACGCTGCGCTCCGTCTTCAACCACAGCGCAGCCCCGAGACCACGTACGGTCCGTCGAGCCGAGCTGACCACGGCTCAACTCTCAACAATCTGGAACGGAGTTTTCCGCACTCTGATGCTCTCGGGGCCTGGCCCCGGCTTACCCGATCGCATACATGCATGTCCGACTTGATGGGGTCTTGGTGTCTCTTTTGATCTCGAACGGGGAATGTCAAATCCATATTAGATCTCAGTACACTCGTTGAAATGCACATGACATACAAATTTCAGTGACCGAACGGAAAGCTGCGGACTCGGCTTTGCGATGCTGGCAGATCACTGACCGTGGTGTCACGCTGGCGGCGCCGTGCACATCTATCAAGCAACAGGCCAATGCGAGCTGTGCCTTACTCTGTACCCAGTCGTCGGAGCAGAGTGTGCAGCAGCAGCAGCAGCAGCGTGGATGCTAGGAGACGGGATGGGAAGAGGAGGGTGGAACGTCCGCCATAGCCGACAGAGGTGAAGGGTAGCGGGTGGTGATTCTCGGAGGGTCCGTAATGTCTCCGTATGTGGGCTGCCGCAGATGCTTTGACTGTTGATGTGAATCGCTTACTGGACCGGCCGGAAAGGCAAGTGCGAAGAGAATTCGAGGTCAGTTGCTGGGTAGTTATAGTCACGAGTTACCTTCGTCGGACAGGCACGTGTGTGCTGACCCGCAGCTGCGATGATTCTGATATAAGAACTTTCTCCTGTACTTGCTGCTGCGTAGAAGTTGGGGAGGAGAACAGTCCCTGGCAGACGACGAATGTTCTTGCCGGAATAAGAGCCTCTTGCTGGATCTTGCGACCTCGCTTTACAGTGATCCCCTCCGGGAATTTCCAGGCTCCTGTCTCAATCCCCAGGTCCTCTATATTTTCCCCTTCCGCTTCGACCTAAAGTAGATTTTACTTGCTCTCCCGATCCCCGGATGTCAAACAATTCTGCTTAAATTTTACGTAGCATAGTGCACTGAATTAGTCCTATGAGCAAGCAAGCAAGCAAACGAGCTGAGGTGCTTTTGGATCCCCCATATTTTTTCTCAGTCGCGCACTTTTGAACTATTGGGCGAGGTAGCACGATTGGAGACAATAATCAAACTCAGGTTCTGAGCTCTTAAGTCAATGTTCGGCAAATCTGGTGTCTGACGGTCTTGTTGTCTCCTCAAAGTTCAATGAATGGGTCGAGCGGGCACAAGGCTAAATTTGGGAGATGACTTGACCGTGCATCGGAGCAAACGGACAGCAACCCGAGAAAGTAGCACATCCATCCCCCTACATGACACATGTTCCCTCACAGGTGTCACTGTGATGATCATAAATGCGCAAAGTGTTCGACCTTGATCGATCGGAAAGGGAAGAAACTAGGATCCACGAAGATGAAGATGCTTGTTTAAATCGCCTCACAGTTCTGTATTGTGTTTGTAATCAAACAATCTCCATTTTGTTTTGCATGGAATGGGTGTACAGACTCCCTCTATAATTCAAAATTCGGTACTCCTTCTGCACGCTTCGCTGCTCCTATCGTGGGCAAATTTAATGCGGCGAGTTATCGACATCGGAAATGGAAATGGATCTTCGGTGTCCATTTGACTAATATTCTTCTTCCTCTATCATGGGACGCCTTGACCACCTTGACATAATCATGAGAAGTTACGAAATCGTCACCAGCTTAAGTACTCAGTGTGGATGTCAACAGCCCTAAGTTAGTTGCAACTAGAGTACTTGCGCAGAGGGTGTGCCCGAGACAGAGTAGTCCATGTGCATGCCGGTCCCCTAAGTTAGATAACGTTGGCGTGTGCCTGCCACAAAAACCTATCCTGCAGGTGAGTTGCCATATACCAATTAAGGATGGGGATCACAACTTTCCCAATAATCCAAAACTCTAAATAATGTGTGCCTCCCGGGCATGAAGCACCCACGAAACCAAGGACTCCATATGCATATGTCTCCGGTGAGGCACGTAGACCCAGAATTCAGTAGAAAGCTTAGGTTGACGTGGTTTAACGTAGACGGAGACAAATGATTAATGGAAATAAAGACGTGGTAGAGATCATGATGAAAATAAACAAAAAGATGGAAAAATGATTCGTCTCCTGATGTTCATGCACATCGTTTCTAGCACAAGTTGGCAAGGCCCGTCTTCCCTTATCCTATGTCCGGAGAATATCGTCGAGATTAGTTTACTTGATAATCCGAGCAGAGAGAAAATAAAAAGGATAAGTTTCTTCTGGGTGACGGTACGCCTATGGACCGTAGCTCGCATTTGTTCAAAGAACCTTTTTCTCCCTTTACCTTGGGGATGTTTGGTTGGTTGGACTCGTAATGTTGGGCCGGCGATGTTGACCTGGTTAGATACACTTCAATCCGCTCACCACATGCTCCACCCTGGTCACGTCACCACCCAAGCTCTTCAAGCATGCATGCTCATGAAAGTTCACACTATGGTAGAAAAGCGGAGATCGGAATGTGGTGAATACACGCATGAAATCTTTTCATTGGCTGATCGGTTGCAAGCTTATGCTGTGGACTGACTCAACGTTTCACTCTCGCACTCTCTCCCCCTTTCAGAAACTGCATCCCACGTACATCCAGAAATCAAATAAATCTCGAATGATTCGACTCCCATACCGGGCTAGCCCTTGATGCCGGCTCCAGCACTCAAACCAAGTGAAATGTCAGCTCAGCCGCTGCTGGTTGCTTGTAGGCGTGGATGACTATGAGCCTTGCCATTCAAAGTACTGCCGAATTCCTCTAATCGACTGCGCTTGGGGTCGCAATAGAAGTAGCTAATAGGGAGTCTTATTATATATAATTGAATGATTCCTCACAAGAACTATAACTCGACTTTGTTGGGACTTCTCCGTAATACATTACGCTATATCCATACAAAGATATCGAGTAATTCCAGATTCTAAATTCTGCTCACTTGAAGAAGAAGGGCCTCCTGAGCTTTCAATAGGTCTTATAGTAAAATAAATAAGATATAAAATAAATGTAGTTGTTTCCAAAACCATCTTCTTTGGGATACGGTGAGCGTTCCCATCCTCCATTCAATCCTCTTAGATTATATTTTAGAACGTATATCGGTGATTCTACTTTATTACTATACTTCACCCCAAAAGGAAAGTAGTCATTCTAGAATACTGAGGGTAGGTAGTGGAGAGGAGGAGAAATCTTGAGAATACAACTGATCATACAATTGAAGTATTTTTTCCAAGTTCTATAAGCTTTAAAGGTTCATTTAAACTTGAGTGAATCATTTTCATAATTTTTTGAAAGAAATTAAGTATTTTTTATCATAGATCATGACGATAGTCGCAATTAGGGAATATAATCAATAGCAAAATGGTACTCCCATCCTCGAATTGTACCATAAATGGGGAGTAGGAATATTCATCCTTTGCTTCCCAAAGACGAGGATAATTGTAGGACTATCCAAAGAAAAAGCTGCAACATTCGGAGCAGCAGAGGTACTGTTCGCTCCCCTCGCATTCCCAAACGCGAGGGCCGATTTCCTGGTCCCTCGTTGGAGTCCGAAGAAGAAGAAGCAGAAGAAGCTGGCACACGCGGCTCCAAGGAGACACTGGTTTCTTCCGTGCGAGTACAATCCGCATCCAACCAATCACTCAAGCAACTCAGAGTGATTGAATCTTCTCCTTTTGTTGCTGTGAGGATTACCCCCTCGTAGAAACTTTACTGCCAAACGGACCATTATAACGGCCGGACCGGTGATTACCAATCTTGTAATTATTAGCTGCGTGGTTGGTTTTGGGTCTTCGTGCAAGTGACGGTAGCAGCCTCACTTTGTGTAGTTCTGGGACGAAGAGAAAGGGGAAGAGGTATGGGTTTAGTTTGATGTTATAATATGGCATAGATTGTTGCAAAGAAGCAAGTCGCTAAGTCACCCAGTCATCAAAAGATATTCTCAACCTTTCGATATGTTTCTGAGGACATTATTTGATTTTCCGGAAGTCGAAAGAGTTTTGACAACGATTTCCTTCGCTCTGTGGATATGAATTTTGTTGGTTTTCTCATTCCCCTATGATCACCGCCGTTAATGCCGAGAAGACTCACGGATTACTTTTTTCACACATTTTTTCCAGGCAGAATTATTAGCTCACAATCAGAATGAGAAGATGTATTCGGAGGCATGTTTTATTCCGCCAAAATAATTCAATTATTAAAACTTGGGCCAATCAGAAATTCCCAAAGTAGATTCCAATGCACAACTTATTGGGATAATGTAACCGTACCAGCGCCTTCAATATATAAATAAAAACTTGGATATAAATATTACTGCATATGATGTAAGCAAAAGAAGAAGAACACCCTTCTTTAAAATATTGATTGTCTTAACAACAAATTATTCTACTTTGTGGCTTGCGGTGAGTAAACTGTTCTAACAAGGGCCCAGTAAGAACCGGAAGCCATCAAAAATTCGTTTGGAAGATTAGTGTCACTGCTCTTGGTAAGATTAGCCCCACGTCTTCAGCAAGTATATTTTAGGCAGCTACCAAGGATTTTGTCTTTTCTGGTAAGTGACTACTGAATGACTAGGCTAAAACACAAATTATTCCGTCACAATTTATTCAAGTTAACACATGACGAGCGAATGTACGAGCAAAAGTGTAGAGAGAGATATAGAGAGAGCAGGCCGTGATACTCTTTTTGTCATATACAAAGCTCTTTATTTTAGGTGCAGATCCAATCGCTCATAGTGCCCATGCATTGCGTACAGTTGTCATTATGCGTACATATTAATCTTATTGACCGGCAATGATTTCCTAATCTTTATTCTGCTTCTTTGTCCAAATAAGTCCCCAGCTCAACTTCAACGTAGGATAGAAAAGAAACAAAAGATCGTGGACTGTCGATTGTTCTTTTCATTTCTCAACCATTGTTGCCTGGCCAGCGGGTGCAAAACTTTGTACGACAAGCAAAATTCAATGAGTAGGGCTAGTAATGCTAGTTTTATTTACGTATAGGACTTAAGGTTTCTAGTCTAGCCACTGAGCTCCTGTTGTAGATCAACACTAAATATATTTTCAATTTGAACAAAGTATGCTCAATCAAGCATTAGCATTCAAATTTTATGGGTTCATCTCTTGTGCAGGTTTGCAGCAGTGAAGATGTTGGAGGCATTGTCCTGGTGTGACAAGCGTTGTGCTTGGGCGTTAGACTATATAAGAAAGAACCTACGCAGATATTTGAAGGTCTTGCCTTCTTGGAGAATTTTGAGGTAGATGGGCAGGTTAAGGATATGATCCATGAAATTCCTGCAAGTTGATTTTTGCCCATTTTACACGAGGAACTTGAGCGCGAAACGTTGTGAATTGGGCCATGCACATGCTTAGACGAGAGGAGATGAAAAGAGACCATTGAACTAGATTTAGACTATGGTCAAGTTTGGGCAACATTCCTGCTTCATCTTTCACTCGAGGTCCCCTTCCATATCCCTGAGACTTGACTCGATCGGAGTCTGGACACCCGGTTGATATGTTAGGTACCCTCCCTCACCCACGCACATCGAACTTGCACCAACTTCATTTACTCCTTACAAATTAGCACGAGAAGCGTTGGCCTTCATGTTTGGAAGCTGAGCCTGGAGCACCAAGCATCGAAAGTGGAAGAAAACCAGGTGACTTGAATGTTCCAATGGCAGTGGCAATGATAAGGGCATGGAGATTCCATAATCCTTGAAGGATCAAATTTCGTATCAGGTCCAGTGCAGACTGTGAGGATCATCTGGACATAATCAATGATCCAGGGCAGGCTCATGTGTCGACAATGCTCGCTAATACATTACAGGAACGGGAGTCAAGCGATACGAGTCAGCGTCCATCGCCGCTGGCGACTCTAGACGGGCTGCGAAGTGCAGCCGGCCTCATCGCCAAGTATCGCAGCCATCAAAACAGAGTACGAGCTGACAATCGTTAATGAGTGCCCGCTAAATATGCGAGGCGGTGGCAGCAGAGGTAGTAGTAGAAGAAGGAGTAGTAGTAGTCGTCGTCGTAGTGACTGAGAGGGCCAGTGTTCCCAGCTCCATGCAGCGGCGGACGGAGAGCAGACGCGAGGCCGACCACGAATCTGGGTCCTGCAACGATCGCCGTGGGGGGTCCGGGCCCGTCGTTTCCCGGGGGCGGGTCTTCCTTCCAGTTGGCATCTCTCTATCACGAACAGACTAGACTCGCCTTTCCCGTCCTTGGCACGGTGCCGACCTCCACCTCACCTCACTCACCGGCTATTCCAAATCGAGCCTGCTGACTGGCCGCGACGCCTGTTGCGAATGTTCGTGAGCGAGCAAGCCGGTGGTGGTGGCCAATCGGGCCCGGGCGGTCCAGACCTGCGGCCGCCCCTCGGGGCCTGGCGGACGGAGACGGGAGCCTCACAGAATCATGCTCCGCTCGAAGGCTCCGTAAGTGTTATGACCTCCTGTACCTTCTTGTATGTACCACAACATCATGAGCAGATGTGGCTGCTCCTGCGTCCACCACGTGGCGCGGAGGATCACCGAGTTCATGCTGGCGTGGGAGGAACCGGAGTTTCCTCAGAGGCATCAGGCCGCAAATCCTCTCCCGCAGAAGGCAAAGGAACGGACTTTTACTCGCGGGAATGATGTCGGCACGAGCTGTCTAATTGTTACGCACCGAGGCCGAACGCTGCAGCGACCTGGGGATCGGCGACTGGACGCGGGCGAAAATTCGGGCGATGTAAACAATTCGGGCCAGCATCCGGCATCCGAGGGCAGGCCCGAGAACGTGTAACTGCTGATGGCCAGTTCCGCAGAGCGCCGGTGGCTCAGATCGGATCCACAGCTTCTTACCCAACCGAGCGCATCGAAGTTAGTTGAGGGACGCGGACGGTCGCATTCGGCGAGCGCCTCGGGCTCGGGGCGCGTCGTGAGACGGAGCGAGCGCGAGTGAGGGACAAATCGCCCTCCGTGGGTGGGACCCGCCTGCGGTCATTCGCGTCCCCGGCCGCAGAGCATTCTTCTTCTTCTGCTTCTCCTTCTCCTCCTTCCTTCCTTCCTTCCTTACTTCTTCTTCTTCCGCCTCGCCTCGCCTCGCCATTAGCGAGACGAGAGCCGAGAGCCGCCTGGTGCAATCCAGTGACATTCGGGACAGTGACCGTGTCACTGTCCGACCCTGCGCGGCCCGCGCCGTCTGGGCTTCGCATTAGCTGCCGAGGTTTACTTTTTTTACCCCGGACGTAGCTCCCGAAGCCGAGCGGGCGGGCGTGCTCAGGGAAGGAAAGGAAAGGGAAGGAAAGCGAGGCCTGCGGAAGGAGAAACTGAGGAGCACAGAAGGAGGGTGAGGGTGAGGCTAAGGGAAAGGGAAAGGGAAGGCAAGGCAAGGGAAGACTTTGGAACAGTGGAGGAGGTGGTGGGCCCGGGCAGGGCTGCCACGCCGCTAACGTCTTGGTTGCTTCGTGCTCTTTTTTCTACTACTGCAGGCAGCTCCGCCTTTTTCCTGGCCTGCCTTCGCCTTCGGCCCGCGCTCGCTCGCTCTCTTTTTCATTCTCTGCTGCTGCTGCGGTCGCCTCCTCCTCCCTCTCTCGCTCCGCGCCTGGGAGCCGCCTCCTGCTCCTCCTCCATCCTTTACTACTCTCTCTCTCTCTCTCTCTCTCTCTATCTCTCTCCCTCTCCCTGTGTCGCCCTCGCCTCTGGTGCTGCCGGTGCCCACTGCCTTTTATGCCTGCGAGAGTCTGCGAGAGCCTGCCTTGCCTTGCTGCCTGCGAGGACGACGTCGTCGTCGTCTTCACTTCGCCTGTCTGCGTTCGCCATCCCTCTCCTCTCTCGCGCGTGGAGGTGGCCGGGGCCCGGACGGGACTCTAGTCGTCCACTCTCCTGCTGCTCCTCCTCTTCACCTCGCTCTCGCTCTCTCTCTCTCTCTCTCTCGCTCTCTCTGCAGTACGAGTATCGTGTCCCGTCCTGTCTCTCTTGGCCCCCGCCCTACCCGTCGCGCTTTCGTGTCCGTCCTGGTGCTGCTGCATCTGCTGCCACCTTTTCCCCGATTACAATCGTCGTCCCGACTGAAGAGATTGGAGCGAGCAGTTTTAGAGGTAGGTTCCCATCCTCCCGTAGCTCGTCGATTTGTTTGCTTGGCGGGTCTAGCATCTGATGTGAGTCAGTCGGTCGCGCGGGCGGCCCGCGGACATGGTCGTGTGTGGCAAGTCCGTCCTCTGTCTCTTGTGGACTCGTCCGAGGTCGGGAAATGGGTGGAGCGGCAGCTTTGATGTATGCGGGTTTATGGAGAGAGCGAGAGAGGGAGAGGCAGAGAGAGGGAGAGAGTGAAAGTCGGTTATATCCGCATGCTCGTTTACAGCTGGGACGCAGCTGCTGGGGGCATGCGCGTCGGGACGGGACTTGGTTCGTATGCGGCTTGTGCGGTGTCGGGGCCGTCTTTTGTTTGCATTACGTCGTCTGCCGAATGGAGAGGAGTGGATTGTCTAGCAATCCGCGTTCACGTCAGCCGGCCATTTCTTGTCGCTCCTCCCGCGAACCTGTATGTCTTGAAGTCTCTTGCTCATGCACATGGACACATTCTCTTCTGCCTTCTGCGTCTTTGCGTGGACACGTACACGTACAAATCTAGTCGTTCCGCCAGATTAACATAAACGTTCGAAACTCTCTCTCTCTCGCCGTCGTGCTGTAATCCTCGAACGGATGCTTTAAATAGCCACGTGTACCATTACATTGTCCATGGCTCTCGCTCGATTCCTCGGTGGTTAACGTTCTCTTGCTCTCCTCCGTTCGCTCCGAATGGCGTCGGGGCTATTTCTCTCATGTCGCTCTCTGTCGCAAATCGCCTGCTTTTGAGTCTGTCTGCTTTGACACGTGGGCGTAGAAATCCACTCTCGATTTTATTATTGACGCATTGCGTGACGCTTCGGAAGTTGAGCCAGGGACACCGGTAATTGGCTCGCTCTGGCGAAATAGATGGCAAATGCGTGTCTGTCGGTCAAGCCGGCTGTGTCATTGGCAAGGTAGGGCGTTTTCTTTAACGTGAATCTTTAGTAGCCTCTGTCCAAAGTATGAACAATGTTCCTGATCATGTCGGGTATTCTTCAACATAATCAATTTCAAATTTACGCCAGACGCACAGGGTTCATGGTTGCCACCAACTTCCCCACTCATTTTCGATCGAGTGACACTGTGGCAACACTAGGACAGAAAACAATACCAGATTTTTACCAGTCATGATAGTGGCACAAGTAATTCACTTGACGAATTGGCATGGCCACATGCTTGTTCTCAAACCTGAGTAGTAGTCTTCTGCCAGTCTCTTGTCTGTATATGTGTTTTCTCCCATCAGAGATGTGAGCCTTCGAACTGTGAACATTTATTGTGATTCAGCCTTCGAACCGTAAACATTCACTGTAGGATTATATTGGGATCTAAGTGTTGAAGCCACTGGCTTTGTTGAAATTAACCAAAAATCAGCTTGGGACTGCTACTACTTTTTCCTGCCAGAGCCGAGTGATATCGTCGCATTGCGGAAGATGCAGAAGTCTCAGTGAGGTAGACAGGGCATGTCAGACCTTGTTATCTTAGCCTTCCTTGTATTGAGGTAATTTAGGTTTAGACTTTGTCCCCCGGAGTGGCTGCGGTTAGACATTTTGTAGTACACATGGTGAGGAATGTTCATGAAGGAAAGCCACGTAGTTTGCACTGCACTTAGGGACAGAGCTGTAATATAATTCAAACAGGGTGATTTCTCACGTTAAAAGGACGTCCAACATGAAAGCAGAGTGTTAGACGATTAGCAGGTACAATGGGCTTAAGATTATAGAGATGCAGATATATTGAAGATAGCTTGAATATTGTGGGGTCAGTCATTTGTGAATCAAGGTCTCCGTCTCCATCGTTCACAGCAGATGAAGTCAAAGAAGTTTGTCAGGCGGAAAATTATCACACCGGATCTCGAGGACTTGGTGTCTATTGAAGGCTGTCCAGATCGGGGTTAGTTTGTCGTATTTATTCTCATCGTTAGAGGAATAAAAACATCCAAAATTGACTGACTAATAGGAGGTCAAGACTTAACTGAAAGTTACGAATTTATGTTTGACTTGGTTGATTTATGTTTGAAAAGGCTCGATTGCGGTTGCAGTGAATACCAAGATAAAGGGACTTTTGAAGATTACTTGGAGAAAAGCATTTGCCACATGTTTGGATAAACCTCGGGATGAAATGGAACCTGAAGTTTAATGGAGTAGTGTACATGCCTAGAAAGTTGAAGTGCATGATGACAGGCAGGAGATATCTTTATTCATCATGGGAAACAAACTTGGAATAGAAACAACGATCATGTCCTAACTTTGACTCTCCTTATTCAGTGAATGTATATATAGAGGCATGGGTTGAAAGGTTTAGTGAACATATTTGGGTTTTAGGCACTTAGCATAGTCATCACTTACCAGGTAGGAAACCTTTGCTCGTAAAGTTGGACAGCTTGACACAAAACTACTAAATTTCAGTAGGAAGAGCCGGGCACAATCACTAAATTTCAAAAGCAAATGCTTTTCGAACTCTATAATGGATTATCGAAATAAACTTGGATAATAGCGAGTACAAGCACAAATCTTAAAGCACCATGCGTAGGAATTATTGCCACAATCTATTACTTCAAATTTAAGAGATGGGTAGTCTCCAGATGCACTGGGGAAAGTTTTAAAGTAGAAATTGTTGGGAGGATCCTAGCGTGTTCAGGTGCAGAAATCACACTCTTGGAGATATCTACCACCAAGTATACTGACCTATCATTACAGTTCAGGTATCATATTTTAACTCTTCAACTAACTGTCTTACCCAACGCATAACGTAGCACATGGGAACGACATATAGACTGTTGAAGGTTGGTAGACTTCCCTTCTCATCAACAAAACCGCTTCTATAGTACATGTTGACTTCTCAAGTTCATGTATTCTACCTTTCATCTCTCTGACTTATGTTTGAGATTGCTTTCACTACAGTTTATGCACTCATTGCATATTAATTTCAATGCGGCTGATTATGTGTTATGTTCTATGATCTGTACATATTCTATATGTTTAGAAGGTTTCCGTCTCTGTTAGATGTATCGTCAGTGGGTATATCCATGTGGATTCCATCAGGTATAGAACAACCTGAGAAGGGTACATACCAGACATAAAAACTAAATTTTACTCCGTTATCATTTTCATCTCCTGCGTAAGATCCTGATCAAGTTTTTGAGGGGTTAGGAACTTATGAGGTTGCTTGCTATCGGTTTCTTTGTCCCCAATTGCTGCAACTAATTTTGCCAAATAATCAGTACTAGAGTAAGTGCATTGTTCAAATACACCTGCTTTTTGTCGTCAAGTTCCGTCGTGTATATGTCTGTTGGCGTAAAATGGAAGTTACTATTTTTATTCTGCTGCAAATGTCATCAGTGTTTGCTTGCATATTCAGCACACTTTAGACCAGGGTTGAATTGTTACTTCGGGTTTCTCATGAGAAGCAACTGTATTACAGGATCAAACTTGAAAATCTTACCTGACTAATCTCACTTCCTGGCTATCTCATGTCGAGCCATTTTTGAAAAATTCTGTTGTCGACCTTTTACTTTTGATCGCTTTCAGAATAAATTATTAATGAAATGCAATCAAAATCATAACGCTCAGTTTTTTACATTTTTATAGTGGAGTGAACTGCATACCTCATTCCACAACATTTCTGTTGTACTCTTGGTCTAATATTCATGATCAGACCTGTTTCCAGTCTTTTGAGTGTTCTTTCTCGTATACCTTGTACCAGCAGAAAGGTGTATTCTGATTTTTTCTACATATAAAAACTGTATCCCCATGTGCAGTCAATCCTTATGCTCTCGATATTTTACTCTATGGTAATACTTAATTCTCAGTAACATTTTGTGTGTTGTGGAATTTGTCCTTTTATCAAAGAGACGGTTAAGCATTTCATTTCTTTTTCTACCGATCTTACAATGCATGAGTTCATGTCGCATGTACACAATATTTACATTGCAATGTAAAATAAAGAAGAGGACTTTTTATGTTTCTAAGAAACTCTCTGATTTGTCTGACTGTAGGGTCGGATGTGAGGGAACAGCATTTGGGGCTCCTATTGTTGTGCAGCGTAGCTAGAACTGTGCTGATATCTCTCAGAAATGACGATGCCTTAAACGTGGCCTCATTTCCAGTACTGAAACAGCATGTTCTTCAACAAGTTCCGTTTGACTAAGCATGGTATGTGCTAAAATTTTACTTGTTTTCCATTCGCTTGAACTAGGAAGGTGGCACATAGTTCATACATGTATTGCAGCTTTGATTGACACTGTTGCTTACCTTCTACAAAATCAGGAATACCGTAGGCGGGTGGACTGTGACGTTTGTGAGTAAGAGGGTTCTCAAGTGATCACTGAAGGCGATATACTTGCACCAACAGAAGCGGCGTTGACAGTGTTCATCGCAGAAATAACATGACGCTCACTCGAGAACAGGGCTCAGCTGACTTCAACCATCAGGGACCCTCATTCTGAAGACATATAGAGATATTATGGCAGATACTGTCATAGATTCTACATCACCTTCTAGAGGTCGTGATTTCGGCCCTGGTGATTTTGTTGAGGTTAATGGTGGCCTTGAGGTCTTCCGCCATGCCTGGGTTGCAGCACAGGTGTGCATTCCTACTATTGATGTCATTGTCAATCTTTTCTTTCCTTGAAAGTACCATGGTGAATTATCTACCTTTTTTCCAAGTTTTGTCTCTCATTTTACTTTTTTGATAATCGCAGATCATCAGGGTTGAGGAGATGCAAGGATTCTCACGTTACCTCATATCATATGACTCTTACAAAGACACTCGTGAGTATACTAATCTCATGCAAAATATGAAAGGGTTGATTTCATTGAAGACTGTATTTGCTAGTCGCATGGTTGAAATAACATAAGGCTCTGTTCTGCAGTTGAACACTGGCTGGCATGCGAAGAACCTGATGCTAACATATCAGAAGCTTTTGACTATCCTCATGGTGGTACCATTCGTCCAAAACCACCAAAACAACTTGAACTTGCGTTGCATGAGGGGGATACGAGTCTGATTCCCTTCAAGGAAGTATGTGTGAATGATACGGTGGACGCTGCCATTGAGAATGCTTGGTGGCCTGGGAGAATCGTCAAAGTCATGGCTAAACAGACACTGGTAAACTCATATCCGCCACAGTTTTTAAACTGAATTTTTTGGTCGCAATTTATTTTAGTACCCTTTAAATATGATGAATTGCCTGGAATTTTAGTAAAGACAGTATTTAATATACTCGTCTCTGCAGATCGCATTGAATGACGGCAGGGAGGTGACTATGAACATGTCCAAACTAAGGAGACATGTAGATTGGACGGGGGATGACTGGTCTTTGCCAGGGCATGAGATAACATTCGTATGTGAAACATTTTATTTTCAAAACCTTTTTTTTTTTTTGGTGTCTTTGTGGTAGATAGGATGTTACAATATAACACAACTAACAAAATCTGTATAGTTCTAGTATTATTTCGAGTCAATCAAAATATTTCTTATTTGAAATTTTGACTTGGAACTCTGCTGTCTTTAGCTCGGTGTGTACATGAACAATAATATGATGTACATCACGTTGAGTGCAGACACTTATTGTGGAAGAAGATTCGAAGGTGACATTCCGACCTTACGTTGGTGAAGGCTTGTTAAGTCCTAACAGACACATGGTTACTCGCTTGACGAAGAATATGACAACGCATGTGCCTTCATTTGCTAGAGCCCTCGTGAAACGGTGTTTGGGCCCAGCTGGCAAATTGGTGAGCTGACAAGAACATTTCCTTGGATTGCAGTTTGATTCTCATACAATTCTTGTCGTCTCATCTTGGATCTAATTGATCTCTTATGTTTGCCCACATGATGGATGGTATGCAGTCTTTTCCAGTGATGTTTATGAAGCAGTTCATCAAAGGAAGAGAAGGAGTAGCAACTCTGGAAGATGCCAAAGGGGCCAAGTGGGAAGTTGAATGGGCTGCGTGGGAGCAATCTGGCAGAAGGCTTGCCCTTACCCGTGGGTGGCCTGAATTCGCTGAATCACATCGAGCACAAATAGGTGATGTTTTGCTCATTGAAATCCTGTCTCGGGATCACTTCAAGGTCCGATTTATCAACTCCAAACTCAGGCGGGCAATCAGATCTCGTTCCCATTCTAAACAGGTACTTCTTGCAGCTCTTCAAATATCTGTAGTGACTAGCTGGAAACGAAAGTTTTATATATATAATCTGTTTGATATCGATTTTGAAGGTGGTGTTTTAGATCTGACATGACTCTCTCACATGACTTTTGAGCAAACTCTTCACTTAAAGCCTTTCGGTTTTTATGGTTACAGGCCAAGTGCAAAAATAGGGCTCGACCTGAGAAAAGCAGGAGTGATGATGATAGGAAGGTGAAGAAAACCTATGGAGATACGTATTCGAGCAAGAAACTGAATGGTGCCAGCCAGCCACTAAGGTTTGAGGGTGGAGGAGAGAAGACTCCAAGCCAGAGTACGCAAACAGCAAGTACAACGCTTGAGGAGTCTTCTGCCTCCGACAAGACTCTGTATGAACAAGGAGGCAAATCGGGGAAGGAAGATGACTTTGAGGAATGGGACCTACAAAGATCATCTGGATATCCTTCCTGGAGATCTCTTTCACAGGGCCATGGTTCTGCTTCAGAGATGACCTCTCTGTCCTCCATATCACGAGCAAGAACTAATTTTCGAAAACATAGTATCCGCGGGGGGCAATGTCCACTTCCTTGGGCTTCTGTAACTAATGGTGCACAGCAAACGTTGAGTTCACCAGTGAGGCCCCCGAAGTCCGGATCAGCGCTCCCGTCTAAGAGCCCTATCTCTGGCAGGACAAGATTTCATCAAGTGGTTAGCAGGCCGAATTCTTCCACAGTTGTGTATTGCCAATCAACGAAGAGCAAATGTTCGCAGTATTGCGTTCAAGGTCACCAGTTCTGCTTGTGGCATATTCTTGAGGACCCTCATGCTCCTTACAAGCAGTGTGATTACGTTGAAGCTTCATCAAAAGATAGATGTCGCTTCCCTGTGAACCTCCAGATTGAAGATAACAGGTGAAACCTTCGTTATGTTATCCTTTGGTCGAGAAACTCATGTAACGGTTACACAACTTAAGTGAAAGAAATGCAACTAATGCGTATGACTGCTAGTGGATCCCGTGGAGAGGTTGTCTACAAAGCCTTGTCGTAGGGGTTTATTCTTCAACCAAATGTTTAATATCAACATCACTTGCATGTCTACTGCATGATGCTCACAAAGCCCAAATTTTGTTTACATTGTGGACCTACCTCAAGAATAGAATCATCTGTTGAGAGCAAAGTCATGTTGTTCAAGATGTATGATTTCCAACATACTTATAATTGCCTTCACGTTACCATATATGTTAGTACTAACCTATTATTTGTCCTCATTTCAGGTACTGCCAAATGCACAACAACAATCATGGATTTACTCTAAGTCCTCAAACACTGAAGAAACAACAAGGTGTGGAACGTCCTCCAATAGGAGAGTTCACGCTTCTGGTTCTAGCTGCAACGGTGGCGAACGATGTGGAGGTGAAGGAGCCTCCTAAGATTGTGCGCACTGTAGAAGCAAACAATTACATCCAAGTCAGGAGTATTTCCAACGATCCAAAGCAAGTAGCTATGGACATTAGAAAGAATTCTTCAACTGCAGTTATTACAGTTTCGAGCAAATGTGCCAAAGCCAATGGGCCAGGATTCGTCAATTCATCAGGAGACAAATGCCGCGTCGTGGAAGAGCAGTTTCTGGGCAGATCTTGCAGTACAGATGAAATCATTGGTGAACTTGGTGCATTGTCTACCTTTGGTCAGATCAGGAAAGAGGACCTGAATGGGACTTTGAACATTTCGAAGAGACTCAAATCTGATCACACAGGGTTGCCAGGTAGCACCCTAGACAAGAATGGACTCGTATGCCAACGTACTGCAGCCAATGCGGAACAAATCTCCGCATCTAAAGGAAGAAGTCCATCAACTGGAGCTGGACTGTCAGAAGTGTTGACACTGATCCCTGGAGGGGCTACTTCAAGTAGCAAGTCCGCGATAGATGGTGCTCTGCCCTTAAGTAAGAAACCAATTATGGGCATAGAGAAAGTCTGCAGAAGTAATCCCTTATTTGCCCAAAGTAGTGCTGTAAAAAAGAAGTCCACCCTGAACAACATACTCTGTCCTATAGATATTGGACAGATGGATTTTTCTCGGGTTGGGCTAAATTGTGTTCCTTCCAGGCTGTCAGCCTCCTCAGCAATCACTGGTCCAAAGGAAACTGTTGTGAAAAGTCCTTTGTGGTTCTTCCGAAGTGTCGATCTAGGTGAGATGGATCCTACAAGGATGGGGCTAAAGTGTTCATTTGGTGAGACGAAGGCAGCCTCAAAACTGACCATGCCAAAGCGGAAACAGAAGGAAGATACAGTGGGACCGGAGGCATCCAGCGACAAACTACCAGGAAAGAGGCGATTCTTTTCTCAGTATGTCGGTGTTCGAAAGCGACCTTGGGGTGCTTATGGAGCTGAAATTCGGACTCCTGAGGGTAGGCGTTTGTGGCTAGGGACTTTCACCACAGAGGAGGCAGCTGCACGAGCATATGATCATGCCGCTAGATTGTATCGTGGGGAGGGTGCAATGACCAACTTCAATTCTGTGGGATATCCGGTTGAACCAGTTGATGAGAAATCTGGCCTGAAGGAGGCTCCCAAGAAACGGAGGTCTTCAAACAATAAACGCAAAGATGATGAATCGGCTTCTAGCCCAGTCGGTGAAGGCAAGAGACCTAAGGTTCAGAAAGCAGAGGCACAGAGTGCTGGTTCTGGCACTCCACCGACTGAAAATTTTGTACACACAGAAGCAAGTGAGGCAGGAAAATTTGGAAATTTCCTGGTTGATCAAGGGAATCAAAATAGTGAAGGTGGCACCTCTGACACATCTTTGGCAGCTCAACAAGAGAAGGAGGGGATTACGTCTCTGCAAACTCCAGAAGGTCTGTCCTCTGCGGGATGCGCCCATGTTCCTTCTACTGGAGAAGATTTTGAAGCAAGTAGGTCAGCTGCGGGAGATCGAGGAGTTCAAACAGTTGATAGTGAGCAGATGAAAGAAACGAAGGCTAAGATTGGAGAAGAGGCAGACTTAATTGTGGAGCACACTGACACAAGCAAGATTGCCGAGTTACCCGAAGACGGTTATCAAGCCACTGAGCACGATATGCAGGTTGACTCCATACACGCTGGGTCCTGCGGTGGGAATACGGTTTCGCGGCCCAGTCGTCAGAAGAAGTTCAAGAGAATCTCCACAACAGTGGTTCATGACTCGGACAGTTCATCTGGTAACTCTTCAGATGAACGGAAGGAATGCGAAGAAACGTCTGTGAAAGAGGAGGACGCAACTTTGTCAGGTGAAGAAAGTCCACAGAGCGGATCATCAAGATTGGAGTTGACGGAGGAGGAAGGTGTGCAGGTGTGCACAAATATTTCTGAGCCTCCTGTTAGAAACTTTGCAATTAGAGAATTGGTATCTCCGGAGAAAGTTAGAAGGGAATTCAATTTCAGGGGTTTAAGGAGAGTGTCATCACCTAGATTTGAACCCATTGAGAAGGAGACTAACTTTACGGGTGTAAGAAAATCTGCATCAGGGAAATATGAAGCCAGTGTATATGACAGGAATAAGAGAAAGAAGGTTTACGTGGGTATGTTCAATTCTGATATAGAAGCAGCTCGTGCACGGGATCAAAAAGCAATTGATATGGGAGCAGCTTCTACTTTGAACTTCCCTGACATGAAGAAATTGCAGGCAAAGATGCAAGGAGACATACACGAGGAGATAACAAGGAAAGGGAAGGCTAAGGATCTCGCACAGTGGTTCACCAAGCAGCGCCTAGGGCCAGGTAAGGGCTCAAAAGAAAACAGTCAGTGCAAAACCATCAAAGATGATTTTTCTGAAGTCCCTGAGAAGGAAACGAGTCTAGGTAAGAGCAACAAGGCACCTTCATCGCAGATGGAGAAGATGCAGCCTCGCAAAGAAGAAGGACGAGGGCCAGAGAAGAACAAGGTATCCACGGAAGGGAAGAGAGCGGTGTCTGCAGACCAGCCTCCAGTTCAAAAGTCAAGTAAGGAGTCGAAGTCCTCAATCAAGGTTGCAGGGAGTAAAAGTGTGCCACCAGAGTCATCTCTTCCAAGCTCCAAAATTGTTACAAAGAAGGCTGTACCGAGTGTCTTGGAATCAGAGAAAGAACTGACAACAACGAAAATTGCCACAAAGAAAGGCAGTTCTAGTGCCAACAGGTCTAGCAAGAAGCCTTCTCCAGCATCCGGGGAAGCAACTAAAGCACAGCAAGACGGGGGTGAAACACATCAACCTGTGAAGAGAGCTCCTAGAGGAGATTTTCTCTCAAGAATTGGGGCAGATTGCTACATAGAATCCGAGTATGCACGTGTGTACAAGACAACATCGAAACGAAGGGCAATGCTGGACAAGAGTGGAACAAATCAAGCGGCTGCTGCTGCTGCCGCCGCAGCAGCAGCCTCTGACAAAGATTCAACAGAGCAATCGAAAGGTTCTTCTCAGAGGAGTGCACCTCATCAGGCCAAGGGAAATCCTTCAGCTACAGATGTTTCTACGCCTAGTAAACACAAGAAGGATGAGATAGCAGACGGTGATTCTATTCATAACGAAGATGATGATACCACGAGGTCATCAGGAGGAAACAGTTCTGGTGCGAAGTCGAAACGAAAGGAGGCTGACAATTCTGGTGTTACCAACCACTCCAAATCTGGCAAAAAGAAGTTGCTAGAAAGAACCTCATACTTGGGTGTGCAGTCCACACCGAGCGGTCGGTATAAAGCCAAAATTTACCTGCCGAAGGTAAAGAAACACTTGTATGTTGGTATGTACGATTCGGCTGAAGTTGCAGCTCGGGCATACGATGAAGTGGCATTTACGAAGCGAGGAGAATGTGTTCGCCTAAACTTTCCAGAAGAAGTACCTCTTCTCAGAGCACGTCTGAAAGAGGCTACTAATGAAGACGCCGTGAAATCCAAGAAGAACGAGGTACCATTGAAGAAGAGTTTGATACAAAGAACCAATTTTGGGAGCTATCACGCGATGTTGTATGACCCTGGAGTGAAGAAGTACAGGTTTCTTGGGGACTTCACTTCTGTCAAGGAAGCAACAAAGGCTTGTGATGCTGCGTTTAGTTCTCAGTGGGACGATGCTTCAGCTGATCCTCCTGATGAAGAGGAAGACTCCGACAACGAAAAGCTCAACACCTTTTCGGAAAAACGGCCGAGAACCAGTTATGGTGGAGGTTCTCCAAGGTTTCAAGTCCTTGCACTTTTTCTTCCCTCGCCTGTGTACATGTTCATTCTTATCCTGTTACTTTGGTAGATAATGTTCCAACTCACAAAAGATATGCCGTTATACTTCACTATCTAAATTATCACCGCTTATTGTTGTGATAGTAAGATTATGCGTAGTTAAGGGTATGTGTTTCCTAGTACATATTATTTAAGTGTATAGTCATTATTGATCTTCGCTTCATTGTTGAGTGTCAATGTATTGACTCCCTGTCAGATCTATTGAAATTACCAACTTTTGACCGAAATTAGCTGACTTATTTCTCGTCATTATTGGTTTAGGTCAACAACTCGATCTTTACGATCAAATGAAACTTCTTCACCACATGACGCTAGCGAGTCAGCAAAGCAACATGATTCGAAGAAGCCAAAGCAATCTGAGTTTAAAGGTGTATATTGCAGTGGAAGCAAGTTTCAAGCCATATACTACAATCCTGAGAACAAGAAACCCACTTACATTGGAACCTACCTCACTGCACCTGAGGCAGCATATGCCTACGACCAAATCGCCTATGAAAGGTTCGGAGAATCTGCTGTGCTTAATTTCTCCATGGACGAGTTTCCAGATCAGGTTGATAATGGTGATGTGTACAGTAGGCAGGGTTCAGATACCAATAGAATTGGAGAATTAAACACTTTGGCAAGCTCAGCTTTGAAGAGAGAAGGCACAGATTCTGTAGAAGTTGATGCTATTGCAACAGATTTCCTCAAAGATCTGGGCATGAGGAAAAGTCTACGACGGGGGAAAGATCTTAAAAGCAATCTTGCATCGGGATCCATTCAAGGTAGTCATGATGGGGGAAGCAAAGGTTCAGGCGAGAAGAGGCGTATGAGCGTCAGAGAAGATGCTGAGAGCGCCCGAGACAGCACAGGTGGTGACGATGAGGAGGCAGATCAGAGAGAGAGCTCTGATACAGATAATTTGCCTTGTACGAAAACTCACTGGTGTTTAGAGACAGAAGAATCGGGAAAGAAGATCCATGCCTCATATCATAACCCTGTGCAGAAAAAATCCTATAGTCTCGGAGCATTTGATAGTTTTGAAAAAGCAGCTCTAGCTTTTGAAGAGAAGGTAAACGAAGAACTTCAGTTATCTAGAGCTATCGTATCTGCTGCGGAGGTTAGAAAAGCTTCTGGAAAGCAGACTATTGAGTCCAAGGTTACTGAGCCTGCCCTTTTAGATAGCCACTTTTCCACATATGAGCACGATGGGACTTCATCCCTTACTCTCCAAAACACGGGCGCAAGCTCAGGTGGTGAAGGCCCAGGGGCTGCTTTAGATTTAGACACAGGTGATGATGCCCCAGAGGTAGCATTGACCATGCTTTCATGGGCGAGTAGCAAGGTCGCCCCATTAGCTGCAATTGATGGCAAGAAAGTCCGCAAGCTGAATCGTCCTCTTGATCAAGGGGCCCCAGATGATCTAGCACTAGCTCTGGACAGGCGACCCGCTGTCTTGGGAGTGAAGGCTCCCGAAAAGACTTGTAAGTTTTCGCTGATTGTGTTCTTGAAGTTTTCATGCCAGAATATGCTGATTCATTTCTATATAGATGTGCTTGTTAGAAGTGCCACAGTTGGAATGATTGTTTGACATATTTGGCTCAAAGGTCACATAGTGCAGTTTTAAGCTTTGTTCACAGAAATTCCCTCGCAAGCTGAAGTTCGTGTTGTTTGTTTGATGTTGTTTTTGCAGGGTTGAGTCTGTAATAGAATGTACATGAAACAGCCCTAACCCATTTTTCGGTGACTCGTCCCCAGCTTAATTATACAGTCAAGCTGATTACTCATTTATTAACTCTGAAGAACAGATGTTTGTCATTTGCAAATATCTGTTCTGCCACAACTAGGATGCAGTGGAGAGCAGTTGAGTTCGGCTATGGTGCTGGAAGTGTACAAATCTGCAGTACCAAAGTCTGTCAATGAGCTCTTGTACTTTTGTATAGGAATTAATTTACAGCAGGCATGGATCCAGGACAGTGACCTTTGTGGAGACGGTGCCATAGTTGTAGTCTCAGGTTTTGTAATGAACTGGAAAAAGTTTTCCTCCTCTGAGTCTTACTCGCACCTACCGACCATCCACTGTCCGTCGCAGGTTCTCATGCACCTGGGAGTTAGATGCTGTCTGAATTTTTCTTTAGATAGGGAATCAGTAACAGCATTGCCCATGATCAGAAAGTATGAGTCTTGCCCCACACATCAATGGGCGAGTTTGATGATCACAACCTTACGGTAGGCAATTTACCAGTTACTGCTTTCAATCCAAGTTGATGCATGTTATGTCTTCAGTTCCTTGCAGTCTCTATTAAGCAGCTCTGGTCCTGAACCATTTGAGCACTATATCATCATTTGGTTTGGAATACATATCATCTGGACTGTTCTTTTTAAATCAACTGTGCAAAGCTGAAATGTAGGTTTTCCCCTTGTCTCGACCTATTTACTTACGCTCCGTTGAGAAATGTCTATCATAGATCTTAGCCTTCAATACGTTAGCCCATGAGATGTTGATATTGTGAGAAAATTTTGAAAATGAATATGTTTAAAGAACTGTACATAGGAATAGGAAGTGACAGAAGATAAAACAGGCGCCGGTCAAGGAGGGAGGGGCTGTTGGAGGCCAGATTAGAGTAGAACTACGCGAAGTGTTAATGACATCACGTATGCTGGTTTAATCAAGTACTCTCGCTTGCACCATGTGAGGTAAGTAACGTGCTACATTTTCTGAACATTATCTTCGAGACTTGTTGCCTTGCTTCGTGCGTGTTTTGTAAAGATTGGACGAATCATTCGGCTTTTTTTTCATTCATGTATGTTGTGGTGGTTTTTATTTTTTAGATGGAAAGGAAGTATTTTGTAAAAAGTTATTGAAACTTATATTTTTGAAGAAATAATAAATATAGTCTACAATTCTTAAAATATGCTCTCCAAATATAATACACCTTTCTCTTCTCTAAATTGTGCGTCAACGGTTTGCTACACATATCGTTGATGCTCAGTCTTCACTTAGTTAAGACTCTATTACACAATGATATAATAAAGGGTCAAATAATAACTTCCTCTATTTACATTATCGTTTAATGAAAGAACTTTCGATGCATAAAAGAAAAGAAGGAAATAGTATTGGAATTGAGGTCTGGTAAAACTATTGATTTTTGTAGTGATATGTGTCTAGTTTATTTTGTGGTTAAGGTTTCACTTGTATAACAAATTTATATGTTGAATCACATGTATGAAAGTTGTATGTAGTATGATTTAGTTTCTAGTGCGGTACAATACATCTTGCAAATGATTTCTCTTCAATATATGAATGGTCAAGATACAAAGACGATGTATGACGACGAATGGATTTGATTGAGCATGTCCACCGACACGGGGCGCATATTCACCACACCTTAGATGGGCATGAATCAGACCGTATGATTGTCTTCGATCCAGCTTATTTCTCATACAGTTTAAGGGGAATGGGAGTGTCCAGCATTACCCGGGGCTACTGAAATGCTTGCCGGGGCAATGCAAAGACAAGGTTTTCCATCGATATTCAAGGTAGACAAAATCACAGCTCTTGATTCTTTCAATCTGTCTATAGTGAGATTGATTATTCGCTCATGTGTATACATTGAATTAGTAGAAATATCACACTCATATTCATTTTAAAATAATTGATAATATAAGAGATAGTGATGATCATTCTCAATGAAATGTTGCAAATAATAGCAAAAATATATACTTCAGTTTTTACAATCGTGACACATGAAATGTCGGATGTATGTTCATATATGATAAAAATTTCAACTTGTATGACACTTCACAAACACGTTTCAAAAACAAAAATGAACCAATGAACATAGGGTTAAACTTTGATGTTCATACTAGAAACAAATGTAGATAGCCAAACATAATATCTTACCTCAAAAACATATCTCTACTATGAGCATCGGCATGCTGTTTTTACCGATTTTGAACTATCCCCAACTTCTTTTTGGCTTCATGTAGTCATCGGTGAATACGCTCCACAAACTCGTTGACTGCTGCAACTTTCTTCGAAAATTTCTATTTTTTTGGAAGTCGCATCAAACTTGAAGGAGTTATAGGATGAGCTCCATACATGAGATAAAATGGAGACACTTTTGTGGATGCATTTACAAATTTGATATATGCAAATTCCACAAATGGCAAAAGATTGTTCCACTATCTTGTTATTTTAATGTGAATGCTTGTATCATATCCTCTATGGTTCTATTTGCCTTCTCCGTTTGTCCATCAATTTGAGTATTATAGACCGTTGACATTGCTCGTTTTGTTTTGAAAAAATTGAACAAATTTTTCCAAAATAAACTAGTGAAATGAGTAACTTTATTAATGATTTACACTCTGCTTAAACCATGATTCACAAAAACTGCATCTAGATACAATTGAGCTAGTTGAAAAGTTGTTTCCATTTTTGTGGTTGGCATGATATGAATCATCTTGCTCAATTTGTCTACAAAAATCACCATGGAATCATGTTCTAAAGAAGTCTTTGGTAAGTCACATACGAGATTCATGGTGACATGTTTCCACTGCTGTTTGGAAATAAGAAGAGTTTCTAATAAACCTGTTGGTTTGTGATTACTTGCCTTGTTTTGTTGACAAGCAACAAAATTTCAAACATAAGACTCCAAATCCTCACTTATTTTGGGTCATTAATACACACGTTATATGGTCTCCACGGTTTTCTCCACTCTCACATGACATGCAATGATTGTGTCATGAATTTTGGTCAAAATCATTGTGCGCAATCTTGATCTTATCACCTCCATTTATGTTGTTTGTAGTATGTCAAAACTCTAGACTTTTCCGACTTTCTAGTTTGTAGTGCTCGAGTGATCTCTTCATACTCCTTTGAAGCTTGTGTTATCTTGCTTCACCAATCATCTTGAATTTTTTTCATTTCTGCAATATGATTCAAACAAGACATGCGTGTGAGAGCATCCGCAAGTTGCTTCTTCTCCTCCACGTACACAATATTCATGTTGAAGCGTTGACGCCAATCTGCTATCAAATTTGTCGTTTAGATAGATCTTTCTAAGTTTCCAAATAATCCAAGGGTTTATGATCGGTCTCCATTTCAAACTCCTTATCATCCAAGTAATGTTTCCAATGTTTGGTTGCCAACCCAATGGCTAACTCCTTCCGTTCTGTCATGTGATAATATTGTTCAGCCGCCACCAACTTTTGAGATTAGAAAGCAACTAGATGCCATCCATCATCCCATTCTTGTTGAACTATGCCAGCTACCGTTATACTTGATGCGTCAGTAGCCAACTTGATATGACGATTAGGATCATACTACTTGAGGATAGATGCATGTAACAAAACATCTTTCAATGCTTGAAAAGCTAACTCTTGAGCAATTTCTAATCTCAATTTTTGACCTTTTTCTATCATGAAAGTGAAGTCGTGAGTTAGGCAAGCAAAACCTTTCAAAATCTAAAATAAAATGCAGTCGGCTCCGAAAAACTCTTCAACTGAGTTTGATACTCAAATGCTGTCCAATTCTGAATGGCATCTATCTTTTCACTTATCACTTGAATTCCCAAAGTTGTAACTCTATGACCCAAGTAATCTTCTTCTGATTTTCCAAATTCACATTTTGAAACTTTGATATACAATTGATTATCCCTCAAAACTTGAAGTACTTTTTGTAAATGACCTCTATAATCACTCTAAGTTTTTCTATACATCAATATATCATCTAGAAAAACAATGACAAATTTATCTGGATAAGGACAAAAAATATTGTTCATCAATACCATGAATGTAGCTGTGAGACGAAAAGTCATCACTAGATTCTCAAAGTGGCCATACCTAGTACAAAAATATGTCTTGTGGATATCTTCATCTGCAATTTGAATTTGATTATTCGCTTCTCAATTCTAGTTTCATGAAGTATTTCTCTCCTTGAAGTTGATCAAACAAATCATCTATACAATATAATGGAAATTATTTTTTTATCGTTTGCTGATTCAACCCCCAGTAGTCAATGCATAGTCTCATGGATCCATCATTCTTCTTCACAAAGAGCATTGGACTTCCATAAAGTGAAACACATGGTTGAATGAATCCCTTGTTCAACATCTACTCCATTTCAGCTTTGCACACTTCCAATTCGTTTGGAACCAAAAGATATGGAACTTTACAAGTTGGTGTACTTCCAAGTATCAACTCAATCTTGTGATCTACTCGCCTCTTTGGTGGTAATCCTGTAGATAGATCATCTAGAAAAACATCTTTATGCTCCATAAAAATGTTTATCAAGTACTCGGGGATGTAAAGTTTGTACGTGAATCCAATATCTTTTATAAGTTCAAGGTAACATACATCATCTTTAGATATGGATGTTTTATCCATTACAAAGAGAGATAAATTTCTATTCTAAGATCTAAATTTATTTCCATAGATCTTTCAACCACTACTTGAAATCACTTTTCTTCTCCAATCTATCTCCGGATTATATTGCTCCACCCATGGCATTCCAAGGATGACATTATATCGAGCTAAACAAATTACTCTCCATTCAATGCTCTCCTTGTATCTACCTATGGATAATTCTACACTCAATAGTTGTGTTTCTATCACTTCAGTTTGTCCGTTTAGCAATTCAATTTCCTCACTTACGTTCTTCATCAACATCAAACCTAACTTCATAGCAACACTCATTGATAGAAAATTTTCTGTCGCTTTAGTATCAATTAAAACTCTCACATTGTGTCTTTCCATCAAACCGTTAGTGACAATGAGTTGAGCTTGCTTCTTATTCCTTACATGAGCTCTTAATCATTGCCTTCTATCAACCTAGCCTTTTCTTCGCTTTGTACAACCGGTAAGGCCGCAAGGCAAGTTTACAGGTGATCTTCGTTTTCCGAGACTTTTTCCTTAACCTCTTCCCTTACATGAGCTCCCAACCATTGCCTTCTATCAACCTCGCCTTTTTTTCGCTTTGTACAACCAGTAAGGCCGCAAGGCAAGTTTATTGGTGATCTTTGTTTTCCGAGACTTCTTCCTTAACCTCTTCATACTCTATACCCTCCATATTGTTGAAAGATCGTCGCTGTATGGATCGTACTCCTTGTGGGGCTGGTCAAATTTGGCAAAACTTGGCAATGTGATACATTCAACGACATGCATAGTATTGACGATTGTCACAAACTGCCACTCCTCCTCGAACTATTCCATTTTTTGCATAACCTTCTTGCAAATTTGAAACTCCTTATCGCCAAATCTCACCTCCAAATATTGACAGTGATACTCTTGTTGGTGCAAAACCTTCTCTATCTCAAAGATTTTCCAACTCCATCGGTGTTGGAACACATGGGTTTCAAAAACTGCTTACTGATACACCGTGTG